ATAGTATAGTAAGGCATAAAAAGTCACAAAAATGTCATATTATAGTAAGGCATAAAAACATCATAGTATAGTAAGGCATAAAAAGTCACAAAAACGTAATAGTATAGTAAGGCATAAAAAGTCACAAAAACATCATAGTATAGAAAGGCATAAAAAGTCGTGAAAATGTCATAGTTTAGTAAGGCATAAAAACATCATAGTATGGTTAGGCATAAAAAGTCACAAAAACGTCATAGTATAGTAAGGCGTAAAAAGTCATGAAAATGTCATAGTATAGTAAGGCATAAAAAGTCATGAAAATGTTGGCATAAAAAGACACAAAAACGTCATAGTATAGTAAGGCGTAAAAAGTCATGAAAATGTCATAGTATAGTAAGGCATAAAAAGTCATGAAAATGTTGGCATAAAAAGTCACAAAAACGTCATAGTATAGTAAGGCATAAAAAGTCATGAAAATGTCATAGTTTAGTAAGGCATAAAAAGTCACAAAAACATCATAGTATAGTAAGGCATAAAAAGTCACAAAAACGTAATAGTATAGTAAGGCATAAAAAGTCACAAAAACATCATAGTATAGAAAGGCATAAAAAGTCGTGAAAATGTCATAGTTTAGTAAGGCATGAAAACATCAGAGTATGGTAAGGCATAAAAAGTCACAAAAACGTCATAGTATAGTAAGGCGTGAAAAGTCATGAAAATGTCATATAATAGTAAGGCATAAAAAGTCAAAAAAACATCATATAATAGTAAGGCATAAAAAGTCACGAAAACGTCATTGTATAGTAAGGCATAAAAAGTCATGAAAACGTCATTGTATAGTAAGGCATAAAAACATCGTAGTATAGTAAGGCATAAAAACATAGTATAGTAAGGCATAAAAAGTCACGAAAACGTCATTGTATAGTAAGTCATAAAAAGTCATGAAAACGTCATTGTATAGTAAGGCATAAAAACATCATAGTATAGTAAGGCATAAAAACATAGTATAGTAAGGCATAAAAAGTCACAAAAACGTCATAGTATAGTAAAGCATAAAAAGTCACAAAAACGTCATAGTATAGTAAGGCATAAAAAGTCGTAGTATAGCAAGGCATAAGAAGTCATAGTATATTAAGGAATAAAAAGCAAAAAAAATCATAGTATAGTAAGGCATAAAAAAGTCATAGTATAGTAAGGCATAAAAAGTCGTAAAATCATCATATTATAGTATGGTATCAAAAGTCACAAAAAAGTCATAGTACAGTAAGTATCAAAATGTCATGGTATTGTTAGGCATAAAAAGTCATAAAAAAGTTACACTATACTAAGATATAAAAACGTCATAGTATAGTAAGGCATAAAAACATGTAGTATAGTAAGTCAAAAAAAGTCATAAAAACGTCAAGTATAGTAAGGCATAAAAAGTCGTAAAATCATCATATTATAGCAAGGCATGAAAATTCAAAATAAAGTCATAGTATAGTAATGCATAAAAAGTCATAATATAGTAACGCATACAAAAGCATAAAAACGTCATAGTGTATTAAGACATGAAAAGTCACAAAAAAATCATAGTATAGCAAGCCATATAAAGTCATAAAAACAACATACTAAAAACTACTAAACTACTAAAAACATCATAGTCTAGAAAGTCATAAAAAAGTCATACTATAGTAAGACATAAAAACGTCATAGTATAGTAAGTCTTACCAAGTCATTAAAAAGAAACAGTATAGTAAGGCATAAAAAGTCACAAAAAGTGATAGTATAGTAAAGCATAAAAAGTCATCAGGTGCAATAAAAGTTGGGTAATGGTCACTTCATATAAAGCAGATTGGTCACACAATCATCTCTGACAGAGCTTTGCTATAGTGGGAGCCATTACAGTCATAAATAGAGTAAATTCTGTTCTACGCCACTACTATTTTTAGACATGCTATACTGCCATTATAAGATCAAATGCCATTTTAGTTTCTATTGGTGTTCATTTCTATCACTAGTTCATGAGGTAAATTTACTCAAATACTGTCCTTACTTACAATATCAAGATACTGTCAGATTGATTCAAGTTCATTTAAAACAGCCTGAGAAGCTCTTAGATTTGTTCACATGTGAGAAAATAAGGGTTTTTGGGAAACAGTTATAGACAATTTGTCTTAAAGCTTTTGCACTCTGAGTAACTTTTGCAAATAATAGTTCTAATTAAACACTTTTACTTGTAATGGAGTATTTTTAGATCGTTGTGGTACGTTTACCACTAAGTAAAAGGGTTAAGTACATATTCCACCACTGTTCAATACCATTTAATTATCAATAGCTGCAGGCTAAATAACTTTTATTTTGGAATAATCATAAGTGTCGAGCTGCTAAGACTGAGAGGAAGTATAATTACTGACTAAATAAGATGACATTAATAACATGAATAAATAAAATCTCTATTAAATCACGTTGGTGGCACAGTTATGTGTCACGTCGCCTCCTTTTACAATTAACATTAGCTTTTTAACTGTGGTTATAACGGTTAATTTGACTGTTTCACATGCTATGTTAGCTAAATGACATCAATCATCGTTCAGTCACCGTGTCGATGGCTAGACGGAAAGACAATAAGCTCAAACAGGTGTCAGACAGACAGACACATAGACAGACGACTCACCTGTCATGTAATTCGTCCATTTGTACAGAATCCCTTCCATTGTTTCACTTTACATCGGCTAATTTAGCCTCTTAGCTAACTAGCTTTTCACTGTAGCTCGGCTTGCTAACTGTAGCAGCGAGCCAGCTACCGTTCAGAAAATAACCTTCATTCCGAGCTGCTACTTCTCTAAAAATATTTGCACTGTTTGTGGTTTGTGTCGGAGGGTAACTGTCATGGCGAGGGTTTGTGTTTGTGTTGAGCTGTTCAGCTAAACTTGTAGACGGTCAGCTGATGGATAAAAAAAATGTCAACAAAACAGGAGCTTCCCGTACGGAAGACTGCTGGGGTCATTTCAAAATAAAAACACTTTATAAAGTTATAACTTTATTAAATGTTGTGACATTATTATATGATGTGTTATAACAGCTTATAAATTATTTTTAACCCTTTTAGCACCATAATAATATATATATTTATTAAAACGCCTGGTCTTTTTTGTCTATTTTTGTCAATAATTGTGTCAAAAAATGCCCTATGTGTAAATAATGTAAATAATGCCGCGGTGTCACCGGTGATCCCCGTGGTTCTAAAAGGGATAAAGTGTTAACAAGCTAATTAATGAACTAGTTATAAACTATTCATAGATTCTTTATAAGGGGAGTCTTATTGTAAAGTGCTACCATTCTGTTGTTACACAAGAAATTTGAATGATAACACACACTCAGAGTTTCTCAACCTATGGCATCAAGACTCCACAGTGGGTCACGTGTATTGGTTCAGTCTCACTGTTCTCAGTCTCATTCTCATGTCACCTCAGGCAGTAAATAGTTCATGGATAACAAAACACAGCTAAAAGGTGAATGTTTTACCATCATCAGGTAACCACAGACTGGATGTGTAAACATACAACTGTGGGAGCTGGTTGCACCAGTTGTTCAAGCTTAGCCTAGTTAACACAAGTGTTTACTAAATAGGGTTTTATACATCAGCAAATTGAAATGGGCTGCACCACATGAACTGGTTCTTTTGTTTTCTTTTGTAATAAATATTTACACCCAGTAACTGCCAGGTGTAACTGTTGTGTTACGAACTGAACTAAGTTAGAGTGAAGAGTAAAAGACATGATATGGGACATACAGTAACCTACCTGAAACTTGATAAATCATGTTTGAACCTTGACCATTTTAAATTACATTTCACAAAAATAATAACATACTACAACTTATAGATAGGCCTGTACTAATGACAGAAAATTAAATTTAAAAAACAAGAGATTTTTTTTCTCCCAGGAATGAGCCAACACACAAATAGAGGGGGAAAAAAAATTAAATAATCAGGTCGATGCAATTTTCATAATTCTTAATCTCTCTTTATTGCATTAGAACATACATTTCTCATATATATCTATATATATATTTTATAAATGTGAATTTGTACACTACAATCTTTTATTGTAACATGTTAGAAAATACTCGTAACGCTCCAAAAACATAGCACTAAAAACAGTTACCAAACAATGATTATTACATTTCCTCGTTTTTGTTTTATGTTTTGTTTTGGCCACCAAGAACAGAAAAACAAGATGGCGTAGATGAAACTGTCGACCTGGAGGAGAGGAGAGGACCACAGTCGGAGAGAGACGGTTGGGTCGTCGCGGTTTGTAGTAGCAGACATTTTGTAATCAAACTGGGGCGGGGCTCTATCACAACAGGTACACATAGGAGGGGAAATATGAGGGAGGGGGGAGCATGGACAGCGGTGAGCATCAAGCAAAGCCTCATGGGAAAGCTGGGTCACTTGTTACCAGTGTGAGCAGTCCTGCTTGGTTATTGTTTGACCATTCAATCTCCAGTTAATCTTAAAAACGGTGACATTAAATAAAACTTGAGTGATTAACTTCGTTGCCCCTCGGCTGTTTTCAGTTTACTTTGTGGTTTGGGAAGTTGTAGAGCTGTTATTGTTTAAATTTGTAGCATTAATCACACAGTTTAACCAAACAACACTAACCTTATAGTGTAATTTAGCAATATGCTATATGTATAACTACATTTGACAGACAGACAGAGAGCTCCAGTGAGATGCCCATCTTTCTCTGATATACTGTAAACTGTAGTGTCACTTGTGCTGTCAATTGTGATGGTCAAACAAATGCGTCAAGGACGACTGAAACAAACATAAAACACTTTGACATTTTGGACTGCTCTTTTTTTGTAGCAATAAAGAGACAGTGCAATATGTCACCCTTGAAATTGTGCGCTTATCATGTAAATTGAAAGTTGTAGTACTGAAAGTAGCTAGTAGCAGCTAGTAGTTACTAAGAACTTCGGAAGGACTTTCCGCACAACCTTGCAAAGAGCTGATGCAGTGTAGTTAAATAAGCCAACAGCAGCAGTTAGGATGGAGGAAGTTAGTGAAAGCAGGATGAGGTGAGCAGCGTAGATAACAGCAGTTGTTTTTGTTTTTTTTGTGTAGTTTGTGAAGGGAAGTTTAGTTGCATCACAGAAGACACCGCAAGCAAGTGGAGATAAGAGGCAGGTTATTGTGACCAGCATTGGAACAGATCTAGCAGAGAGATAGGGCGAAGAGGGGGTACAGTATAACAATCTAACACACAAACACACACAGTGTGGCTAAGGGTTTAAAAACTAGCGATACGGACACAACAACTGGCACTGCAGGGAGGCAAGTGGGGCGGTGGATAGATGTGTTTGGATGTGGATGGGTGGAGGGGGAGGAAGATAAAGAGGAGACGTGAGGCATCAAGGAGAGTCCCCCTTTCAACAAGTCCAGAACTAAAACAGTCCTCTATTTTTTTTAGCAGATAGGGGAAAAGGGAGTGGTGCAACACCGCGTAACATCACAGAATGATTGTCCTCTTGAACGTACCTCACCTCCCCTCCTCATGAACACTATGCCTGTCTTTTTTTTGTTTTGTTTTGTTTGATTTTGTTTTTCCTTCAACCCTCCTCCTCCCTCATCCTCCATCTGTTAGTTTTACTTCTCAGGGATTTCCTCTTTCATTTCACATGCACACACATACACACAAAACCCTGTGACCATAAAGGACATTTATATATACACATGTACATACACTCGCTCACACACGACACACACGGACACAGGTTGACACATTTTGACCCAATAATACGGCTGACTGGTTTGTTAGCAGGAAGCAGAGGATTGGATAGTGCACCATAGTACCAAGCGCACAGACACGGCAGTCTGTTATTGATATGACAATCAGTGCTACAGTGGCACAATATAACTGTACTAGTACAAAAATCAATATTAACTATTACAATTTTATGAATGAGACTGCATTTTTTTCTCAACATAAGTCCAAGAGGTGTTTCCAGTTGACCTTTATACAGTTAAAATGCAGAAAACAAACTAAAGCAATTAGAGAAAATTTACAGATAATTTTGATTAATTCTAATTAAGTCATTTATCAAGCAAAATTGCTGAGCCTGCTTCTCAAAAGTGCTGCTTTTTACTGTTTTATATAATTGAATATCTTTGGGTTTTGAATTGTTAGTTGGAAAAAGAAAAAATTTGAAGGAAATTATTTTTGTCATTTTTCTGTCAATTTATTAACCAAACAATTAATTGGTTAATTGAAAGAATAATCAAACCATTTTATATCAATAATGAAAAAAATCCTTACTTGCAGCCCTAAAAACATATTTTATAGATTCAAACAGAAACTCTAAACATATGCGATCTCATTTCCTCCTCATTTCAGCCACACTGCAGAACAGAAATGTGCAGTCACAAAGACCTACATTTAAGACATCTCATGTTTCCTTCCCACCCCCTCCTCCTCCCTGTCCACCTCTCCCTCAGTGAGCAGTATTGTGGTGTTATGATGTTAGGTTCCTAAGGCAGTATCACAGTACAGTCCATAGAGAAACAACAGCAGTACAGAATTACACTGGCCTGCCCAGAACCTTACATCCAGCTCAGGTGGGACACTGATGGCATCTGGATTTTTCTTTTTCTTTTCTTTTGTTTTCTTTCTTTCTTTTTTTTAAAGCCTCCAGTTATTTGGTTTCCAAAACTGTATGTTGTTGCCAAGCAAAGTTAGCTGAAACTGTTTCCTGCTGTTAAAAGATTACTGAACATTCAAATCAGGAAGCAACGAGGGGGGAAAAGGATTGGGAGGTAACTTAAAAATGTTAAAAAATTCTCATTAAAATCTCATTTCCTGTGGTGCCCTGGTAGCTCAGCGGGCTAAGGCACATGCCAAGTTCTCGCAACATCATTGGTCTGAAACCGGCTCATTACCACTGTCGCATGTCATGTTCTCTTCACCTCTGTCCTGTCACACTCCACTGTGAAACTCAGAATATGATGGCCATTTAGAATTATTCATTCAACCATAAGATTCCTCTGTCCGGCATCATTTCTTCGCATAACTGAAGTGTTTTTATTGACTGTGCAGTATCAAAACAGCTGGTAACGATGGGGAAGACAACACGACTGCTTGAAGGCAGGAAGTTAGCTAGTTTAGTGGCTAGTTAGCTATGAGGAAACCAGATTGTGGATTTGATCAGGATGGCCCTGTCTGTTGAACAGTGAGTGCTGTGTGTAATGTTTGATTTTCTGAAATCAAAACTTTCGTTGCAGTATTAAAAACATCTGCTGATCTAACTGGAGAGGTTAGTTCACAAACAGCATGTGCTTTGACAGTATAATAATAGTAGTATTCAAGCTGCAAACAGTCATTTCAAATAGGCATCAGTTTACGCTGACAGTATTGTAGATCCTTAATCTTATATTTAATTTAAAAATGTAACTCTTGGTATTGAAACTCGACCTGCTGGCATCATTTCTGTTACTGTGACCACAGAGGAGTGTGAAGTGAACCGAAAATACATTTTCTACAACAAACATTTGCAGAGCTGCTACTGGACGTGGGGGAAGTCTCCTGCTCTGACGCGGAGAGTCTCCTTTTACGACTTCTTGAGGCCTCCAGTAAATTCAGTGGCACAACTCTCAGATATAGGGTTCTGGGCCAGAGCTGGGCCGGGAACCGCCCGGCATGATGCGGGTTGGTTCTGGCACCGAGGTAGCCGATTTCTGATTGGTCTAACGTACGTGAAATCGGCCAGGGACAGCTCACACAGCTTAGGTTGCCCATGTTTCTTTATGTTGAGATGAAGGAGGTTCAACCATTTACTATGACTATTAGACAGTTACCTATTACTAACAAGTTACAACGACTGGAGCCACTGGAGCCTCCCACAGTGCCAGAACCATCCCAGATGTCTCTGGTTTGGGTGATATTGTAGTGCGTGTGGTCTATAGTACAGTAGCATCAACACAATGGTCCAAGAGACAGATCAGATAGAAGATATCATACAGATGGTCCAATACAGTTATAGTACAACATCTATACATCAACTATACATTGTGCGTTTTTTTTTTTCCTTTGTTATTATTGTCAAGGGGTCTCGGGGGGTTAGACTTGGTCACCATTACATCACTGCTGTAAGACGGGGAGGGGGTCAAAACAGTGGTGGGTAGAGCCATAGATAAACAGTGTTTGATTATTACAGTTTTACAGTACCACCGATGCAATCTTGTTACCTGGCAACTGGTGTGGAGGACCATCGCCAGAGTGCAACACTGTCAAAAATAAAGAGAGTATGTGAGTTGAGTGGCAGTAATAGAGCAATAAAGTAGGCAAGTTCATATCTACTAATTTAGAGGTAGAGTTTTTGGAGTTTTAAGAAACAGTAACATTCAGTAGCTGGAGTTTTACTTTCTATCACTTTTGAATAAAAACATGTTGCAGAGTTTTTTGTTTCCAAATGCAACTACAAATCATTCCCACTGCGTTAGAACCTCACGACAAATTTTCTTTGCAAACAAAGCCAGAACACAACCATGTGTTGTTGTTGTTAAGTAAACGAGGAAGTTACCCAGGTTTGTTACAAGTATTAATACAGCAAGTGCCTGTTCATATTTTTAAATGTGAATTCACAGTGGGTAAAAATACTCCTGACAGCATCTCCTCCTCTCAGTTAGTTTCTTTATTCTTGCTCCCTGTTCACAGTTTCTGTATTCACTCCCAACTTTCCACTCCCCACTAAAGAGTTTAATAACAACACCCTGGAGTAATAACTACAGTCCTAGTAGTACTTCAGGGTCTACTCCAACTTTCCTGTAATAAATATGGCATCGCCTTTGCCCACATCTGAATACATCTCCAAAACAATCGGTAATGACTGGACTTTTCAGGGTCTTTTTTTTTTTTTTATAACTGTCCAATCATCCCTACAACACTCTTTTTTTGTTTTGTTTTTTTTAAAGCCTACAGCTTTCCATAAAGCAGCCGTGCATTCCACTCACATAGCCTGTCAGAGAAGAGGCAGCAAGAGGCCGCCACAGTCCAACCAGACCAAACCTTCTGTCTATCCATGGCTCTGGTTCCAAAACAGGGTGAGGGTCAAGGGGCGTAGGAGTTACAGGAGTTAAAGGGGTAGAGGGTTTTAGGGTAAAAGGACTAAAGGGGTTACAATACTAAGGGGTTTGAGGAGTCTGGATGATGAGGTGTTGAAGTTTGGAAATGACAATCAAGGTTTACAGTGATGAGAGATTTACCGAGATACAGGATTTGAGAGATTTACGGGTGAAGAGGACATGGTTAGTATGAGTCTTATGGGTCGGTAATGTTAGGATATGACTGTGGCCTCCGTAACTATAGCAGGGTCCTCTATGTCAGCTTTACTTTGAACCATCCTCAGCTCCAGCTGGGGCGGACTGGGCCTCCGACCAGGACCTGCTAACTCTGAGGGAGAGAGGGGTGGGGGGTTGGGGGCAGATAGAAATGCAGAGATGAATAAAGATGAACATTAATTTTATGCATTTTTTTAAATGTAAAATTAGACACACTATGGCAAGTGATGCAAAGCTCCCTAAACTAGGCTCAGCCAGCTGTTGTCTTGCCAGCTGCAGCGCCAACCAAAACTACACAACCTATAGCTAATGACAGGAACAGCAGCAGCAGCTGAGATCTGCAGATGTAAACCACTGTGTGGGATGTTATTTATCAAATGGAAACATACCTGTCCCCATGAGACAGATAAGTGATGGACATCAGAACAGGCTTTCTGTGTAGAGTGCCCATTATGTCACTGCATTATACTGAAAACTGCAGCTCACATGCAGCTAATCTACTGTGTCTTTACATGTCATTCTGAGCATTTAACCACTATTCGTTCAATTACTTCTACACAAGTATTTTCTGATGTAAACATAAACTCAAGCCAGTCAAAGCTTTGAGCAAGGGATTGAAAACAAGACCTACTTTTCTTACCGTGAGCATAAGATATGGTCCTCTGGATAACATGGTGCATCACTGAAAAAGTCTTCTCACAGGCCGTCTGAGAGAGAGAGAGAGAGGGAGAAGAGTAAATTGCTATTGGGATATATGTGATTTATGTGTGTCCTTGTCCTTTGGCCACTTGGGTGTTTGTACCTTTAGGTCATTAGGGTGGTGGTGTGTCCACGCTAGCAGCATAGCAGCAAACAAATCTCCGGTTCCTACGAAGACGGCGTCCACTTTGGGAACTTCTATTCGAACTCTCTGTGTTGTCCTGCTGCCGTCTGGACGAACTGAACAGCACAACAGAGACACAACAAGTTAAACGGTTTATTAATGTCAAACTCTGAACTCCTAAAGCAAACACACACACACGCACACACACATACAGCATTCAGTTTCAAACATCACCTACCATGTCGCTGGCTGCCCAGCGACACCAGGAAGCGGTCTCCCAGTCTGGAGGGCAGATCAGAGGAGGTGATGACCACTGTGTCTGGGCCCATAGCATGGAGAAGGTCCATTACCTACAGACAGTCAGTGAGTGAGATACTGAGGCATGTATGTAGTCAGCAGGAAGTGTATAAAGCAAAAATAAATAAATAAAGCTATGTAAGGTGCTAAACAACAGCTTATTCTGTAAACGAAGAAACTATGCAGGAAAGGAAAGAAGAATGAGATAATACTTGATCTTTTACCTCTACAGCGTCTTTCTCTGTGCTGATGTTTTTCCCTGTCAATAATCTAAAACACAAGCAAACAAGCAGTAAGTCAATAGCACTGAAAAGGAAACAGCGAGAATGAAGTTATTAAACAGACAGACAGAACAAGAAAAATCCACAATGTAAAGTCAGCCGTTGAAGTCCAGAAAAAAAAACAACCCTTTATTCTGACTGAAGACTGAAACACCACTAGAGGGAGCAACTTGACAGTGAAGCTGGAGCTGAGCTGAGACAGAAATCTCTTAGACTGTGGTTTAATGTTACTGTTTTTCATACATGCAGCCATTTAGTTAATGCAGGCAAAAAAAAAATATGGAAAACACCTTTTTATCTGCCTGTTTCTCCACAGGGGAAACAACAGATACTGTTATCTCCAGAACTTATACCAGAGACACTGAGATCAAACTCCACTGCACCGGTACAATAGGTCCATCTTGGTCAAGCATTGCTGAAATCCTCTGAACTTTATTTAAAATGTTAGTTAAGATCCCAACGTTTCCATGGATACCAAATATATGAGGCTAAGTTCTGTAGAAATGTGTATTTATGCATCTGCTGCATTCCCATTGGATGTAACTGTGCAGCCACAGAACACAAAGCATCTCAGCTTTGACCATTTCTTTTAATACAGGAGTCATACAGCTTCACTTTGTTTATAAAGTAAGGGGTAAAACTGTATCTCAAAAACAACTAAACAAGGTTAAAGTGAGCGGAGCTGAAGCGTTTTTTTCTGTTAATTCCACAAAATGGAGGTATTAGATAACAACGTGAGTGGCATTACATAAAGAAGGTTTGCGCTAATACTCTGCTACAGTTACAAACTCAATGAGGTGTCGGTAATTTAAAGAAATGTCACGTTAGATTTAAAAGAATTTAAAAGTATGTGCATTTGCAAGCATGAAAAAGTAAAACACTTGTACTCACTCAGCCTCAAACTGGTTAGGAGTAATAATGTCAGCAACAGGAACCACCTTGTTCTTATAGACCGGGTAAAGATTCTGAGGAACATACTGTGGAACGAGACAAAGGTTAGAGTCACACAACATCATGAGAGCTCACAAACAGAGCTCTGAGGAAGAACGACACGCTCAGTTAATTCACAGCTTTTCTTTGATCTTTGTTTTCATAGTTTTAAATTATGAGCACCAACTGACAGAAAATGATCTTAATCCCTGAAAAATGCACGTCTGCACAATGTAATACATACACAACACACACACACACACACACACACACGGTCACTGTGTATATGTGCTTCATTTGGATTGCAATTATCCATCTGTCACTGAGAAATGAGCCTTGTAATACACCCCCACAACACACACACACACACACACACACATATATATATGTATACAGATAGAAACACACACAGGGATAAACACTAAAGCACTCCCACACACTTTAAAGGCACAAAGAAAACTTGAAACTTAAAAAATCTCTCTAATAACAACAGAGATACACAAAAACAGAATAAAACTGCCAGTGGCCTCACCATAGATCCGTGATCACCCAGGACGGGGTCACATACTGCAATGACAAAAACACAATCAAGAGTCAGACACTCAGCACAGACCCGCACAGCTCCAGAAATCATCACATTACATAAACACTGCAGTGATAGGAGGCATGAAACTGGATTTGGGGATGTAAACACACTGAAGGCAGCATGTGAAGAGACAGACAGAAAAACCTCCATCACCACATTCTCTTTAAAAACAAGGCGACTGCGAGTGGCTCTTTAGGTTTAAACTGATTGTTGGCCAGAGCACCGACTTATTATCACCTTATAGAGTTAACATGGTGAACATGGTGCCAAACAGGTAGTTATTTACAATCGAGCAGATGCTGAACAACACCACCATTCACTTGAATAAAACAATAAATACAATTTCTATACTGTTCTACAGTAACTTACTTACTTTTTCTAAGTTCAGTATAAAATTAACAGAATTATTGTTTAAATCAGAAAATAACTGACTAAAAATCAAGTAAACAAGGCAAAAGAAGAAGCATATGGTGCCATGTTTTAGTACTTGAAAGGTGTAATACTTGTTATGGACACAGTTCAGGACAGTATTAAGGTTTGATCTTCAGGCCAGAGTGCAACACAGTCACAGACAGAGCGCCTTTTACTTTTTTTGATAAGAAAACTCCTGCTCTCTTCCTCTGTTAATACTATCCTATCACTCTCTCCGTAATGAATCTAAAAGAATATGAGACGCAACTGGGACCAACAAGGAGGTAAATTACAACCTTTTATCACAGGACAGCTGCAATGTCTGTAACGTCACAGATACTGAGCAGTGTGAGAACATCTGGCAACGTCTTCTAGACACTCAGCACTATATCGTATCACAGCACTTTTTGTACACAACAAAAAAATGCTTAACAAACACATTATGCATGTCACCCTCTGGTTGCTTATTATTTTGAACAGTGGCAGTAGGTCTTCACTATATCCACTAACACAGTGTCTGCAGGCCAAGCTGCAACAGCCTTGACTTGAGTGAAACTGATTTGGTGAAACACGAGATGAAAATCCTCCTGGCTAGAAGGAGAGAGACGTCCTGCGAGTTTGTCCACAGCGAGAACTTCTCCGGAGATCAGCATCAAGATACATGAAGCTGGATCAACTAATGACTTTATTTACTGTGTAATCGCTTAAGTTAGGTTTCAAATATAGTCAACTCTTAATTCAGTCCTGTTCAGATTGAATTTTGTGTCACTGGCTCACATAATCTTATGTTTCATCAGTTTACTCATATTAAAGAGCCACTAATGACTATTCTACATATTAATAATGTATCATGACTATGCTCCATGTCAGTGGGGAGAATTATCACCCGACTTGGCAACAACAACATTTTTCAGAAACATTAGTGGTAACAGCAAGTAAGGCAAATCTGAATAAGGCTTGAATGTGTTAAAAGTAAATATAAGCTACAGCTTTTAGACTTTGCAGGGTCCCCACTGTTGGTGCAACCACATTACATTTCCACTGATGCAACAAAAACTACACATTACCCAAACTGCATTAATTAACCTTTAGGAAAAAAAAAAAAGTCCCGAAGCTAGCTGCAGGCCACAGTAATAATAAACAATGCATTGAAGACCTGTGAGCTACAGCTCTCCTCCAATCAAAAGCTTGAGTGATACAATTAAAATCAGAATTTTGGCCAGAAGGAACTTATGTGTGCAGAAAAATAATTCACGCTCCACTTATGATTTGTATTTTTCTCATACTGTTCTGTTGTTTTATGGGCTGAACACTTACCATACACCAGGTTGGGGTTGGCTCTCTTTAACTCCTGAACAATGTCCACCACCATCTCCAAGAAGGATGTGTCTCTGGTATACCCTGAACACAACACAACACACAAACACACACACACACACACACACACACATGAAAGTTATATTCATTATGTGCATTATTAGCCAGGCTCATTTAAAAAATACTGAAGCTGCAGTAACTTGTGAAAATGTCCTGTTTACTGATTAGTCAGTGGTCACACATTTCAGTCAAGTGCAACTTAAAGCAAAGTAGTTTAGTTTAGTTACAAAAATTTCATTTATTTCAATATTAGATCCTCAAGATTTTCACTGTGATCTAGGTTCAAGTTTGGTGTGACAAAAACATGTAAAAGAAATGATGAGACTGAAGGGAAATAGCTGCAGACACATGATCAAGTCTTTCAGTTACAGATGTTGTAATTCAAGCAGTGCAGAAGTGATGAGTAAAGGACATCGGATATTGGATATCCACCTGTTAAAACATAGTCATAGTGGTGCACGTTGTTCAGTTTGATTCCCTCATAAAGAACATGGAGCTCGTCTGCTGTCAACACCTGGCCTTTCCAATGGGAATAACCTGTTGGGAGGAGAAGAGAGCTGTTATTGCGTTTGGCTCCCATACTTCGCAATCCATTTTCTATTCTACTGCCACATGAACAAAAATAGACACACACACACATAATGTGCACACTAACAGCCCCTATAGATGTTAACACACACACGCCAACTCTTGTGCTCCTGTATCGCTTCAAGTACTTTTCCACTAACCTGATTAAACTTTCAGTTTTATACCTAATATCAAAATTCAACAACTATTTACACCGAGCATGTTTGCAACTATTGTGCATATTAAATATATGATGTGATTATAAAATATGTTGTGCTATTAACTACACAATAATAATACAGTATTATTAAGATTCAAGAGCCTTTTTTGTCATATGCGCAGTAAAACAGGCGGATGAGTGGTCTGAACTGACACTCATATCCAGCTGTTTCCACGTGTTTCTCACTGGTATGAAGATAAATCACAACAAAAAGCTCCAATGCGAACTCTAAACACTCAATTTTTCTTGGTCAGTTGCAGAAACTGGAATCGATGTTGTTTGGACTCCTCTCTGCCAGCGTGACTCAAAGCATCACGTGACTTCTGCCTGAAACTGAGTAGAGTGAACTTCAATGAACTATGCACAAAAACAAAAAGAAAAAAAGAAAACATCTTGCACTACGGCTCAGACCAAAGAAAACTGTTCTTTCAAAATAAGAGGCCGCTATTATTCCAGATAACTTCATCCAGAATAAACAAATCAATCCCCAAACCGTGTTTAATCAAATTAACTGGATGAGAATTAACAAGATAATTTTAGCCTGTTAACAGCATGATAACCTGGATATGCTGAGCCACATTTCAAGACCAGGGCCAAGAACTCAAAAAGATGCAAGAAATACACACGCGTGCGCACACACACACACACACACACACACACACACACACACACACACACACACATCGAGCAGCAGGTCTTAGTGCAGCCTGCAGCCATAGTATCTGGTCAGACAGGGATGGGGGGGTGGGGGGGGGTCACAGGCCCCCTCTACTAACGATTACACCTATATTGTGTGCGGAGGGGTGTATTGTGTGTGTGTAGTGTGTATTAGTGTTTGGTACCACATGTACTGATGTGGATGTATATATATGTGACGTGAATGCCAATGTAAGCATGCGTTAGTGCACGTCTGTCTGCGTATGACATGTTTGCTGCAGGCCGATGATGTCGCAGCTCCAGGTGAGTCACAGCCAGGTCACGTGGTGGTGGGGGGGTTCTGGTTGCTAAGCAACAAGCCGGGAGAAAGCCAAAGGGGCTAAGAAAAAGAGATGAGCAGTCAGAGAGCTGCGTGAGTGTGTGTGTATGTGTGTGTGTGTGTGAGAGAATGAAGGCAGGCCTACAGATAAGAGCTGCTTCTGTCGTCATCATTCGCTGCTGTCGCAATTCACAGCGCCTGCTGCTGTTTACTGCTGCGTCCCATCGCTCTCTCTCCTCTCCCTCCCTCTTTCTCTCTATCATCCGCTGTCTATCTCTCCGATTCATTTTTGTCCTGTCTCCATCTCTCTATTCACCTTCTCTGTCCCTCTCACCAGCCATCCCTCTCCCTCTCAGATTCAAGCGTCTTCTTCAATATGCCACACCAAATTAAGCACTCTCCTCGAAGGAATTGCAAATGTTAATTTCCAATACACAAGATCTGATTAAACCAGCACTGCAGTCTCTGGCATTTTTATGTTAATGTCACTCAAACAAACACAATTTGCACTACAGATGAGAGGATTTTTTTTGCCATTGTCCTCAGCTGATCCCACAGGCTACTCAGCACACGGGGCAATAATAATGATTCTTACATGTTCTCTGGTCTAGTCCTTGGGTCCTAAAGATTTAAAGAGAACTTAGATTTTGCTGGAAGCTGACAGGGATCCCATCTAGGCTCTGATGCGACAGGCAAAAGCACAGCAAGAAAAACACAACCTCTTAATTCATTTAAATGGGACTGTGGGTGTACTGATGCAGAGGGCTCTGGCAAAATGTTGTACCTGGTTAAACGTTCGCTTCAAAGCAATCGCAACAACATCTGGGCGAGGTGCTGCAGTGATTTTACAGTTTACTTGGAGATTATATAAAATGCAAAGTGTTTTGGCCTCGGATAAGTCTTCAAACTCACGGGTCTGTCACTCACAGTAGCCTTCCTGGATAGTACGTCATCATCTCTCCAGTAGCAAAAGCAACACACACCTACCAAAGCATCTCTTTGCAATTTTTAACATGAATTGTTTTTGGTCTGAAGCCTCAACACAAAAATCACCAAAATGGCTCTTATGTCCGTGAACTGTATTTTGAGAAGCAGTGACGAGGGCTCTCCAGCCAGTGAGTGTCCTACAAAACAAACAAAAAGCTTCTCCTTATCCTACCATCTTCAACTGATGACAGGAGTACTAACAAGAACACCAAACCTAAGTAAACTAACACTGGGACATGAATCACCTGCAAATAAAGAAGATCCTGTACGCAGACAGAATTCAACCTTTTGCAAACGTTATGAAATAAATAAAAAATAGAAAGGGGTAAGCACAGTTAAAAAGTGGCAACAACTCACACAGGGAACACAAACACCTCATTAAGAGGCTAGAAAATAAAAAAGCCTGATGCCAGAGAAGCTACACACAAGGGCTTTTTTTTAATTAAAAGGACCAGTCCCACACTTACAGTAACAGCTTTACCTTGTTTGCAGAAGTTTTGAGATACTCATCAGTGAAAAGTTCTGCTGCCTCCTACAACTGGTTTTTACTATTTTCTGTTGGATAGAAAATAAAAGTGGGACTCGCAACACTGTACAATTCTGGTTTTCTTAATGACATTTAGAAAGACTCTGCTTTTCTTTTCACGTCAAGAATTTTTGGATCCTCTGCATCAGTCACTAAGACTTGGAGGTGCTTTTTGAAGAAGTGTAGTGTAGCATCCAAAACTCCTCCCTTGTCCCGCACACTGTCCATCAGTCAAACTCATTCTATTAAGACAATGTTTTTGTCCTCTTTGTTATTATCTTTTAAATGTAATAAAGCAAAGTTTTGAGTCCTTGTCAAACATAAAGTCTCTACAATTTGTTTGCACTCTGAAAGAAGACCTGAAAGGTGTGTGTGTTTTGAGTGAACTCAAACAAGCATGTGGAAGCTGAATAACCAGCTTCCTGTAAATGAAGACAAGTCACTGTTGAGTTTTGTACTAATCAATCATGTCTGTAGAGAAACCTGGTCAGTGAAACCTCGTATCATAAATATTCGGATGAATCCAGACTACAACATTCCCAAATGGCTGAAATGTAAATTACAGCATTTCATTCATCTCTGCATCTGATGCCTCTCACTCACACAGTGACACTTATCCTACACTTATACAACACCGTTATACTTGCCCTCTGTCTGCAACAAAAGAAAATATTACTTTCACTATTTTTAAACTCAACGTCATCCATGTTAATAACAACGAAATGCCAAGACCATCGTCTAACCTGGCTGCTTTCAAGCAGCCTGCACATCAGCGTAGAACCTCCATTATCACTCAGATATTAAACAGCTTGCTGACCTTTTCCAGCTTGAAGCTGAATGCAACCGAGTCAGGGGTAATTATATAGAGTAGGTTATGATTACCTGTATTCTCAAACTAGACCAAATGAAAAACTAGACAAGAGGGGGTCAACATCACCCAGTCTGCACCATGTAAAAAAACAATGGGGAAAAGAACAGAATCAAAGAAATGTCTATATACCACAGTTTACTAGTTTCCCAAACAGAGCAGCCATTGGCATTATTAACTAAATACTGTGTGTATAAGAGGGTGTTATTGTCAATATTCTTATTTATGGTAGCAAGAAACTAGCTTTTACTAATCAGCCAAAAACTATTTAACAGGATATGATTTCTAAGTGGCTTATCAAATAATCCACCAGCCACAAAAAAAAAAAAAGAATCCAAACTTTGTCTTAATGTGCTGATGCTGGGAGGATTTCTGAGTCTGGACACTGCTTGTATCCACTGTGAAGACAACAAGCAACAGCTGAGCAGATGTGTTTGTTTTCACAGGGCTCAGCTGATTCACGCTTCAAGTTCAGTGTGCGTGAATAACACGAGCTGAGACCACCCGTCAGTGCAAGACAGGGGAGGACAGAGCACAATCATTCATTCATGGGACTGGCAATTAGATCAAAATATTACGAGTAAATGTGACACGTGATGATGCAGACGCCCCGCTGGGCCAATCAGTGACAAGTTGCATCATAAATCCTAGTTTGTATTTTTTTTCAAAATCAGGTAATTGCAGTTGCTTGATAACTGTCATACGTTATAAATAAACTTTATTATTCTCATTATTTAATATACAGCACTCACTCAGACTCTGAACTTTAAGAAATGCATTACACAACCTTCATCTGGTCAATACACATATTTCTTCAAGCAACACCTGAACTGCATAAATCATGCAATATAAAATATGACAATAGTTTTTGTTGAATGTTATTGTGATAATTAACAATAAACACAAGGAGGCTTGTTCTGTAAGCTTGTGTAGCGGACTCATGTCATGTGGCAGACGATTGTGTTACAGAAATATTTTGTTAACTCTGACAGAAAACAGGACAACAGAAGAAAATGAGCATTTCTGGATATATATCTAAATAAAAATGTTGACCTCAACTATCTGAGTGAGGTTTCTTTGTTCATGAACATAGTTCTTATAGATTATAGATCAATACTCACTGAGATACTATAATGTATTTTTCAACATTTTGGCCAAAATGTTACAATCAAGTTACTTTACTTTAGGGACGAGTGCAAAACAATAAATAGGTGAAAGCACCTGAGATGTCCAAAGACTGAGAGAGAGAGAGAGAGAGAGAGAGCCCATATAAAATGTGAATGGAGTTTGCGCCCCACAGCTATTTCTGTGTTTGAGAGCTGCTCCGGTGTCAGAGAACGAGGTTACTGACCTCCCCAAAACTTGACTCACTCAGCTGTTGACTCGTCAGCCTCAACGCGGCCACGGCTGCCTCGACAACAACCGTCTCTCTAATGCTCGCTAACACCTCATCACGACACCAGAGGCACTGACTGACTCATACACACCCACACACACTAAATAAAACATGCACACACACACACACACACACACAGACACACGCTTCCAAAGAAATGTGTTATTTCATCAGCCTTACCTGTATGGTTGGAGAACTGGACAGAGTTAATGGAGTCCACCTCAAACCCTAAAACCTGGAGACAGAGAGACAGTTCAGTTGTCAGGAGAGATTAGGATTAACAGCTGTACTCATCAACTGTATTTTAATTGTAGTCGTATAAATACATCACACTCCTGCACACACAGTATGCAAAGTGTATAACAACCGCAGCACAGTCCTTAAGTATTAGCACTATGCTTCAGCACATTCAACATAAAATAAACTAATGGATATGACATTAATGTGCCATGTCTCATCTTTAATTTCAGTGGGTTTCCATCAATACTCAGAGAACTGTGTGGGAGATGTAGTCCTTTTAACACTGTGCCCAAATTACAAGGCTTCAAAAGTAAGTGGACACTCAGCTACTAAATGTTTCTTTCTAGGGTAGTCGTGTGTCATATTGTGATTCAGTTTTGTGCATATTTGTGGTCATTTTATGTAAATTTTTTGGTTGTTTTGTGTGTGTGTGTGTTTGCGATTGTTTTATTGTTCGGTAGCTGTTTTGTGTCTCTTTGCTGTCATTTTGACTCTATCTTTGGTAGTTTTAAATCTCTTTTTGGTTGTTTCTGTCTCTTCGTGGTAGTTTTGTATCGCTTTACGGTCATTTTGCATCTCTTCTTAGTTGCATTGCATCTCATTCTGCTTGTTTTGTGTCTTTCAACTGAGCTCTATGACAAGAAATAATAACAGTTAGTTCAACTAAAGCTCTGGCCCAAAGGTCCCCTGAAATCTCCGCCCCTGGGTCTGTGCCTCGCAGGCCTCTATGGTAATCCATCCATGTCATTAACCATCATTAAAATATCATCACATTACATGAATATGAATAAACACATTTGGTGAAATATTGTGTGTATGTGACATTTTTTCTATATCATCACAGTCATGACTGCAACATGTAAAGATGTATCTGGGACTCTAACTGTTAAAGGGGAAAAAAAAAGTGTTGAACTCAAGCTGTGATCTGTGAGTGGAGATAAAAAAAACATCATCTCAGTTTAACTTCAGCTGAAATCTGCACGGAGCTGGAACAGTTACAAAAACAACGACTCCCGGTGTCCTCCCCCCTTCTCCGTCTTTCTTACAGATATTTAAAAAAAAAAAAAAAACTACCAGAGAAAGACACATGACTCATCCACATGTGCAGCCAATTGTCATCTGAAGGACTTTATTTAATTGGGCGAAAGCAGGAAGGAGGCAGAGTGAATGAGTTCTTTGTTCTTTTCAATTGACTGTAACTTCCAGATATAAGAATGTGCTATTCAGAGGGGACAGGAAGTGATATTAACTGTGACCTTGGAATAATTTGTCGATGCTGCTGCTACATTCTCAAATGCTGCATATGTTTTCTGAAAGGTGACATGCTGTATTTGTGTCGTATTGTATAGAACTGTGAATGATGATATTGTACTTACTACTTCTAATCTTTGTGATTTTTTTCTTGATATGCGACGGGAAAATCCTCCTCTGTTAGGAGGTCAAAGGTCGTACTCAGGGACATTTTAGCAAAGGAAATGATTATCATTGCTGTTTAATTGCTTTGTGTTGTACTATACACTGATATAAATGGTGTGGACAAAAGATTAGAGGTAATGCATTTGAAGAATGCTTATTTTTAATGTCTGTTGGCAGCCTATTAAATATTTTATAAAAGATTTTTCTAGTTGCTGTTCCAGAGGCCTGAATAAAATGCAGTCGACAGTTTTAGAAACAGGAGACTTTGACATAGGAACAACCTGTCTCATACAGCGTGTTCCTTTGGCTGTGCAGAAAGCAAATTGACTGTTGATGTAAAACAGTATTTACGGCCTTCTGATGTAGATGGGGCTAAGAATATGCTATTTAGGTCACATCCTTTATCGCTCTATTCATGAGCCTCAAGTCACTGACACAGATAGACTGTTTACATTACTGCTGACTGGAAAGCTTCCACTCAAGCATCTTCAGAAATGGAGGAGAGGAAATTAACATATTTGTAAACATTTTGCCTTTTTGAAGAAACACGTAAAACACTTCTTACTTGATTGAAATGTCTTTTTGATCCTGCATGAGTCTATAAATAAGACATTGAATTTGAATTTTCACTGCAACCAACCACTCTGTACTCGAGTATATTTCTAATATATTTAGTCGATAAAACGACAATATCACAAACTACAGCACATGATGTTTTCAAATGACTTGAACAAAAATAAGACTAAGAGTCAAATGTCATGCTAGCGGCTCTCTGAGGTTGTACTGCTAAATGCTAATGTCAGCATGCTAACATATTCACACTGATAATATGTAGATACTGACGTTCAGCCGGTGGCTATTTGGTCAAAATAATAATAAGAAGAAGAAGAAATCAAAGTACTGGATGAACCGAATTTTTGACTAGACATTGGGGATATTAGAATGAAGTCAGGGGATCACCAAAACTATTACAATTCATCATCTGGGATTCATGAATGCCAACATCAAATTTCATGGCAATTCATTTAGCAAAGTTTAAGATATAGACCTGCTGAAGGCGTTAGAGTCAGGGGATAATCAAAATCATTATGATCGAAACTCGGGGCAAAATCCTGACTCTATAACCAATAGATACAGTAGATACAGAGAGACGTGTGCCTCTCGCTCCAAAGGGCCATACTGGCGACTGTCTTCTACGGAGAGTAGCACAGGTTTGTTGCTAGGTGTTTGAATGAAAACTGTTGAGAACTGCTGTAAACGCCCCCTGATGATGTACTGAGTTCTTCTTTTGAGCAGTGTGATCTTGATCAAAACGTCCTTCCTCTTGAAAGAGTGATTGTTGGGCTTCAGTTGTTTGTTCTTGGAAGGAAACCAAACTAAAACTGATGCCATGCATTCACTTTAAAAAAAAAAAAAAAAAAAAAGGAAAAAGAAATGCTAAAAATCCCTGTTTTACATTGTGACAGAAGGCAGCACTCACACTACAGTTTGGTTTCTGTGTGAAAGCTGCATGTATCCAGTCTGGCTCTAAGGCAGCCTGTCTCCATCGTCAGTGACGTCATTAGGAGGAATCCTGCAGCAGCCAATCTGAGCCCTGCTTCTTCAAACCGTCGTCTGCTGCCTCCTGACAGGCCTGAGATTCTCCATCGTGACAGCACAGAGAGAGGGATACCCCACACTCTCGCTGACGACATCATCACCATCATCACCATCATCACCATCATCATCTTATCCCTCATCTTCAACGCCAACTGAATCATGGTTATTGCTCTGAAAATGAGAGCAGCTCCTGTACTGACCTGTGGGCTTTCCATTTATAAGTCTATATTTAACACACTGTCAGTTTTTTTTTTCTTTTTTGCTCATGTCCACAAGCATCAGTCCGGACTCATTCATAAACAGACTGCAACACTCACCATCCAAATACACTTACTACACTGTAAAAATACACTTAATCAAGCTGGCATCATTATCATTTACATCATTATCCTTCTTAGCATCTCATTTCTCACCAGAGGAACTGCGCCTAAAGATATCACCGCATCTGTAAGACTCATTATAGTTCATTTAAATGTTAAAATGCTATATTTAGCTGCATGCCTGACTATTTAAGATTTTGTTTAGGTAATATAACATGCAGGTGCCCTGTAATAAGACTTGCCAAGGCTTTTTTTTTTTTTTTTTTACCAATACTGTCTCCATAATAAAACAGACTAAGTGACAACTTACACACACTGACGCACATGACAATTTACTGTTTTGTTTTTAAAAACATTTTCAAAATTGGGAAGAAAGATCGCAATTCAGACTGTGGCCCGTGTCAGTGTGTCAAAAAGATTGTGAAATTGATTTTTTGGAAGATCATCCACCCTTAAACTTGGTGATTGTGAAAGTGGTATTACTTTTTAGTTTTTTTCATTTACAGCTATTAAACTTGAGCCTGCTTGTCACTCACTAGCAATAAACTCTGTGTATCCACGAACCCTTCAATCAGTCTATACGATGTTATATCAGACAGACTTCTCTTGCAGATTGTAGATGGAAAATGAGAACCGTGCAAGTTTTCCTTTTGTATCAAGCAGCAAAAAAGTTGTAGCATGACATGCTTGAGTTAATTTGCCTTACCTGACATTGCATGTCCTGCGACGAGACTCTTGCACATACTCACATTGCGATAACAATGCTGGAAGGACATAATGTGTAGCCCTAATGTGCAATAATAATAATAAATGCTGCCATAATCTATTAGAAATTATAATTTATTTTAAAAACACAATCATTGTAACACGGATATGTATCTTAACTGTAGCTGGTTTGTTTCTTGTGCTGCTCTAACACCTGTGCCCCCCCCCCCAAAGATCAATAAAGTGTTACTTTCATCAATAATGTTGATGCTGAATTAAACTGCCACATCGTTTAAGCTGTAAGCAGCTTGAGCCCAGGTTTAGTATAATGCACTGGCTAGTATCAGTGTCTAGAATAAGCTTCAGTAAGCTGCACTGGTAAACATTATTTTAACATTAGACTGGTACAAACAGGCCTTAATCAGGCGTAGTAGCTCAACATTAGGGGCAGCACTGAACCCTGGTGACATGCATCAAAGCCCAGCAGCCATTAGGATAACTGCAAAATACATCCTGGAGCGCTGCAGGCTAAAAATAGACTCGGCACTTCTTACAACAAGTGACTGTCTTCCAGGATGATGGGACATACAGTATACCGCAGGCCTACAATAGCAATACTCACTGCCACACCACTGCTCGTGTAAAAATATTAAACTATAACAATCAGCAGCATCATCATTCGGCAATTATAGCTCCAAAGCAATCACTGGTATCATCCTACTGTCAACATTAGGGATCATAAAAGGAAATGACTATCATTTTCATGGCCGGGAGGAGCCAATAACCCCTGTGTCCTTTCAAATAATATCATATCAATGGCTTGTTTTGAAAGCATTTGCTCTTTTTGGCTCCTTGTTCTGGTAGTTATGCCTTTATGTAAAGCACTCTGTAAACTATACCTTTAGGTAAGAGCTTTATTACAACTGCTGATGTAGATAATGACTTAATACCAAAGTGATTTGTTCCTATTATTAAACTCAAGAACAAGACACATGTTGAGCCACTCAAAAGCAGCATACAACAGTTCTTTATCTGCAAGTGCTTTACAATCCAGGTTAATTGACTGATGACTGCTACCCTCCCCTTTCTTCAGATGTTTAGGGTGGGAGTTAAAATTACAGAAAAACTGAAATTCATCATCCATTTTCTTTACTGAGTTTAACAATTAACCATGAGATTAACCATTAACATAGTGTAAAGAATCACTGCTTCCTATGGTCACTTTCCAGCTTACTGATGTACTGTATAAACTAGCTAGTTCTGAGGTGTCCTTATTTTTATCAGACACTAGCCGACAACTAACATTATAATAAGATATGATACAGTAATAATAATAAAAACACCCTGCCCAGTAGAGCTGGACAGTCTGACCTAAAATCTATAATCAAGATAAAACAGATTTAAACCAATAAGCATAACAGGGCATGTATTTCCTTTATCATGTTGGTTGGCCTTTTGCTAAGATATCAGTGGTTATTGTAGCTCTTCTCATTTAATAGAAATGTATTTAAAATAGCAATACATTTTGATTAATGTTGAACCATAAAGGCCAAACATCAACAGTATCACGGGTAAACTGCGAGACAGTCAATAACCACAATTAATCTACAAAACAAAAGAGACTGGATTCACTTTAACTGAACTATTGTGATAACTGAGAAAGTAGTCTGCACGTTTGCGTTGTCATCATCATTGTAACACAGAACACACAACAAAATGTACATGTGATAAATTATTCTAATGAATTCTGACAACATAATCAACATTCAGAAACCAGTACAGCTGCTATGTCTGTAGTAAAGGAAGAAAACATCGATGATAACCTTTTCCCCAGATCCGTGCAAGTGTATCAGAAAACTCAAAGCAGGAAACAGCTGTATTGATTATTTGCCAGTCTAGTAGTACTGACTTGCAGGTTATCAACTGCAGGAGGATGGATTTGTCCATCTAGATGTCCCCATACACATCCAAACCATTACAGCTGTCTGCTGCTGTGAGCAAATGATAGAAACTTGAGGGACCTACAATGTGGTGACTGGTTAATAGGCTGAGTTACAGGTACAGATTTTCTTCTGACCCCTGAGATTATCATTAGCTTGCTTTTGCAAACCGTGCTGGCCAATGTATACCGTCACTGAGAGGCCAAGTGAGGACTTGCACTGACCTATGAGTGAAAACCTATCCCCATGTATCAGTAAATGTCATTTCCACCACTCATCCAAGTAGGGGTCATTTGATTAACACCAGGAGCTCCATCATCAGACACAACAAACTAGTGATTAATAACGTCCAAGTTCGCATTTATCATCAGTTTATGCAGCACATGTATGTTTTGACGTGACGGACAATAAAGCTTCACAAAATAAAACACTCTGCTCCATTATCGGACACCCTCAATGACAGGTGACGTGCTACAATTTATCCCTCAGATGATGAGTTCCGCCTTCATGAAGAGTCTCAATGTAAAACGTCATCAAATACATAAGAAAACGTCGGCTACTGTCATATTTATCATCCATGTTTCACATCCTTCAGTGCTTGTGTGTGTGTGGGGGGGGGACATATTTTTGCACGACACCTGTCTTCGCGTTTATTGCTTGAGATCTGGGTTACTATACGGTTATTTTTGGCTTTTCACAGCACGTCTTCAAATAACCATCATTTATGGCCTTTAACACTGAAATGGCAGGAAAAATACAACTAACCACGGCCACAAATCAACTCATCCAGCGACGGTTTAGGCGGATGACCGATTACCGTTAGCAAATATTGCGCGAACTTTGTATGATTTAATTAACACGTATCATTATAAAACTCTGCACTTACATCAGTCGGTTTAGTGTTGATTGAAAGTCGCGGTCAAATTTGGTGGGTAAAGGGCAACCGAGCGCGTCAGACCGGGTCGTGTCCGAGAACGGGTGTCTCACCGCCCGGTGTCCGATAATGGGTGCATGTGAGTTGTTTTTACCTGTAATGGGAAAGAGGCGCTCTTGTTGCCCACATATCCCCGGACTACATGGCTCTGTATGGACAGCACACGGCATTCCATGGCGGCTCCCGGTCAGCCGAGGAGAGGTGCAGATAATCCGTAATTTCAACGATAGTCACGTCTGCACATAACAGTACGGGGAAAAAAAACAAACAAAATGTAAACACAACGACAACGCCGCGCCGGTTAGTGAGAAGCAACGTTAGTTAGCTTGTTGGCTAACCAGCCGTGGGTCACACGCAGGATGGCGGAGTGTGGAGCGCGTGTGGCGGTTGTAACGGGTGTTGTGCGGTGTGATGGGGAAGAGAGAGAGCGAGAGAGAGAGAGAGAGAGAGAGAGAGAGAGCGTGCTTACCCTCCCCCGCCCCCCCCCCTTCTCTCTCTCTCACACTCACTCACACACACACACACACACACACAGACAGACAGACACAACACCGGCAATCGGTTTAATGACGGTCGTTAGAGCTGTTGTTAGTGTTATCGTTAACGTGTAGCTGTGTCACGATCTAATCAGACAACCGAGGGGTCGTGTGCACCACCACCAACAACACTGAAGGACAAAACATACACACTCACAGACATATGCGCACGGACGCGCGCCAGTATTCTGTACAGGCAATCTGAGTGACCGCCTAAACCGGATGACGTCACCACAGGGCCGGCTAGGGCATCCTGATCAGATCCTGATTAACACAGCTGGATTTGAATGACTGTGAATGACAATTCTTCAGTTTTGTTCTATTCTATTCCACCCTATTTACATAGCCGAATTGTTTAAAACATCTATAACATTATTTTTTTTTTATTCAGATGTGTCTTTTCCCTGCCAAAATAAAAGACAATTGTAAAAGAGTATCTTTTTTCTTTTTTTTTTGCTGAATTAAGGATGAAGTCTTGGTGCTGCGCTCATTTTTGTGTGTGTACGTCTGCATCTATGGTTGTGACTCACACCATCTTTATCAGAGTCGTGACTGAGGGGGAATTTGACTTGGCAAAGACTGCCTCTATCACCACACAACACATCTGGTAGCGATGGAGAGGGACACGAGTGCATGCACAGACAAATATAGCCTACAAATTCAGGTAAGAGAGATAAATCACAGGAAGAGGGAGAGGGAGGGTGTGAGGCATAGAAACAGAGAGGTAGACAGAAATAAATGGATCCAAATTAGAAAGATGTTGAACTGACAGCTCCACCTGCTGTTCATTGAGGCCTTGGCTGCTCTATGTGATGCTTTAATTGCAGGTCACGCACACAAACACACGCATCCTCATCATCAGAAAACACCAGACTTACTCGTTGGAAAGTGGTGCTTTAATAAAATAAAATAAAATAGTTTTTATCATTATTGCACAGTACAAACAAACAAACAGGAATATATTGTTTTCTCTTTCTTTTACCAGCCGATCACCCAAACAAACTTTGGATGATTCCTCTTATGCGAGGACAGAGGAGAGATAATGAGGCTGACAAAGAGCATAAAGAGCAGGAGGCAGGATTCATGGGTCATGTAGAGTCCTGGTCCATTTCGGGCTCTAGAAAGAAAACAACAGAAGTAAGATACTGTACATTAGAAAATGTATTTATTTTGTTTTTCATTAAGTCTGTACATGTTGTAATGGGTCTGTGCTACAGAGCTGAAACATCATGTTCCAGAGGTAAAAATACAATTCATAATCTCCATAGGGAATTGGGTTATCAGCCATAATGTTTCACCTTAACAAGGAACAGCCTTATGTCAGTGTGATGCAACGACTGCATATAAATCAATATAAATCAAACATATATATAAATCATACTGGATTTCTGACCAATATTTAAGAGTTTGCAAAATCAGATGACAATATATCTTCTAAATATATAGATAATAGATTTCACATGACATAAACAAACACTTTTGGTAATGCGTTCCTAAATTTGGTTATTAAAAAACTTTTAAAAATCTATAATGTGTACATTTTACAGTTGAAAAATGAACTTATCAGTGCTCTCTGGTGGACAAAATATGCAATGTTGACACCATTTATAATTTCCTAAAACATATCATTGGTATTTGTGCACCGCAGTTTCTTGTTACCTATTGGTCTGACATATATGCCAATGATAATTAATGTGTGATAAGCTAATTATCCATTGGGCACTACTTGTAACTGATGATGAGCAGGGACATTTCCTGTTTTCCCCCATGTACATCCAATGACCTGCTGCTGATACACCTGTACATGAAATGTTGTGCACTGAATCACAGGGACTGAACCTCTCCCTCCCCTCCACGTCTCTCTCACCGGTGAAGGTGAACTGAGGGAAGATGCCCAGGTCTCCTCCTCCATAAAGTCTCTGGAGCTTGGCGGTCTCCTCTGACAGGTATCTCTCGTAATCTGGCCCCGCCCCCACTGGTCCTACACTCAACCTTGGAGGAGAGGACATGGGAGGAGATAGAAGATGGAGGGGGGGGGTTAAAACAGATTTGTCATTCAGTTGATGTGTTCACGTCCGGTATTCAATCTTAAACTTCTTTTTACAGCGACTGTTGTAATGGAACATCCATGTGTAAAACAATAGAACAGGACCTGAGAGACATTTCTCCTTGAGCACGCTAAATCTAAAAGCCTTTTCTAATACTAACCACATTCAGAGGCTTGTATCATTCATAACCAACTGTGGAATGAATAAATCACAGGGTTAAATCCCCTTGCTTTTGGTAGCTCAGGGTGAGTCCAGCAGTGTGGGGTTTCCTATTGAATAGAATAGGAAACTACCTGCGCATGTTGTTGTATTCTCTGATCTTCTCCAGGACGAGTCTCTGAACCGGATCCAAATCTTAAGAAACACACATGAAAAACAACAGTGTTAAAAACATCGACTCTGGACAGCTCTACAAAACTCTAAGGAACTAAAGCATGAGTCTCTGTCCCCCGACACCCCGTCACCGGCATCTGACTTGAGGATGCTTCATCTGAAAAGATTTCTGTAACTTTACGAAGCTAACAGTCACTTTCATGCCCGTTAATGCCGCCTGTTCAAGGTAGAAATGTTGCGTCTTTATTCCGCCTCACAGTTCTGTGTAAAAGGTACGAAGACGGTACGGAGGGGCGTCGTTGTTCTGCCTTTAAACCGGCAGCGGAGGTAGTCACAGAACCGGATCAACATCTGTGTTAAAGCAGGATAGCAGGATCTCTGTTTCAAACTAGCTTCTGGAAGTGTGTGCCCTTATCTATATTTGAATAATCATCACAATGAAACAACAGAAACCTTAATTTTAGGCATTTATTATATATTTATCTATTTTACTCACATGTTGCGCTATTTTTATGAACCTAAGATTTTGGTAAACCAATTTTAAGCATCAAAATAATTCATCCATGTCAGTAAGGGTTTGTTTTCACAAGAGGTTTAAGAAATTTAAAAAAACTGGGCTTCAATTTCTGTGTACGAATGCACGTGTCTGCAAATGTATTTACCTGTGTGTGTCCCTGTACCTCCTTCATTCCCCAAGGCTTCAGTCTGCGCTCCCTCCTCCACCAGCTCCTGTTCCAGCAGCACCTCCTTCAGAGCAGGAGAAGCTGGAAAGCCACTGGCGTCTGTAGCCGCTGTATCAACGCCCTCTGACCCCGTGGCAACTGCTGCTGTGGTGACAAGCCCAGAAACAGAAACGGGACAAGAGCTGATTCCACTTCTAAAGCACAAAATTCACTTTCTTGCAGAGAGCGTTGAGGTGATTAGCCTAATTCAAAGACTGGCAAGCCTGGCTCTCCACCTACGAACACCCCTAGAGATCTAAGACACGTTGCATCTTGTTTGTTTAATCGGTTCACAATAAGAAATGTAAAAATCTGATTTTGCGGGAGATTACATGCTCGGAAGATTTCTTGGGAAATATCAGTTTAGCAATCCACCCAGGAAGTCACCACAGCCAAAACACAAACTGCAGTTTTTACATTTCTATTTGTGTCAAATGGATCAGATACAACATGTTTATTTGACAGAGCCAAGCTAGGTTTCTCCCCTGCTTCTTGTCTCTATGCTAAGCTAAGCTAATTGCTCGAATTTAATACTTAACACACAGACAAAAGAAAAGAATTGATCTTCTCATTTAACTATTGCCAACAAAGTAAATACATGTTTTTTCCTAAAATGTCAAAGTATTATGTTTTTTAGACCTGCATTTCTTTGCATTTTCACAAATTAGCACCATTTAAAGGTTGCCGAATTAGCTTTCAGCTGTTCCTGTTGTACCCACGGATGTACGGACAAATATCAATGGATTTCTTTGATACTGAAGAAAACTTTAAAATGTGATGATTGCCAGGAGTTATTAGGAATGTCTTTTTTTTCTTTGATTTCTAAGTGGATCTATTGACATTTATTTGCAATTGACATCTGAGAAAAAGATATCAAAGGAAAGTGCAGTCAAACTCAGTCTAAGAATATGTATATCATGTGTATTTTAGGTAGAGTGCAATATTTGATGCAAATTGCATCACTACGTAAGAGTTTTATTTACTACCACCTCCTCTTTTCTGTTGCTTCTCCTAATGTCTCTTCACCAATAACAGGAGTTAAACTCACCATCCAAAATATTAATAAGCCTCTGAGGCTCTGTTATGCCTGCTACGTGCCCAGGAACGGTAAAGAGCAGCTCCTCCATCAGTGCATCTGTCTGCAGATCTTCAGACAGACCATCAGCTTCGGGCAGAGATCGTGACTCGACGTTCACATCCTCAATCATGTCATCGGACGCTGCTAATTCCCCTTCCTCTTTCTTCCTCTTTCCAGCAAGAATTTCAGCTTCACTCTCGAGGTAAGCCGTGGTTTCACTCAGAGACTGGTCCTCCAGAGTTGCGAAAGAGGCCTCGACTTCAGCCAACGTCACGGACTCAAGAGACACGGCCTCAGAGACACCTCCTTCCTGCTCTCCGGACTCTGTTTCTGCTCCCCGACCGATCATTTCATTCTGCGGTCCCGGTGTCAGAGTGTCAGGTGACTGCGTCAGTCCTTGCTCAGAGCCAAACATTGCCTCTAACATAACAGATGTCTCAGCTTCTATCGCATCGGTTGCCTCAGAGATGGACTCTAGAGTTAAAATCTCAGCCTCTGTTGTGTCCTCAAAAACAACATCCTCTATTGCCGTCTCAACTTCCATCTTCTCCTCTTTTGCTAATAAATTAGCTTCTTTCTCAAGTGCGTTACTTGTTTCTTGCAGAACTTCGGTTTCAAGATCTCCAACTTCGGCGTTCACTTCTGCTAAAGTTATTGATTCCAGCGTCATGGCTTCTTCTTCACCTGCCTTCTCCTCCATCTGCAAAGAAGAGTCTCCACTTACTCCCACAGGCTGATCAGAGGCTGAGCTTGTTTTTACCGTGGCAGGAGGTTTGGAAAGCGCTGCAGGGACATGACAGAGAAGCTCCTTCATCAATGAGTCGGTTTCTCCTTCTAACTCTTGAAGATCTTCAGACAGAGAGTCCCATTTTGACAGAACTTTAGTTGAAGTTTCACTCTCATCTTCGGTCGAATTCTCAGCCTCAGCTGCAGCTTTGTGTTCGGCTCCGACGCCTGTTCGGACCGACAACAGCTCCTCGAGTCTTCGCCCTGCTTTTTCATCAAGAATAAATTTAGTTTGGGCGAGCTCATCGGTTTTTAAAGACTTCACCAAAGCCACAACTGAATGTAGTGTTACAGACTCTAACGTCATTTGTTCAGATTCTCCCGCCACCTTTTCCACAGCGACATTTCCTGATGATGGTTCTACTATTGATTCTGTTGTAGATTCTACTTCCGTTTTCAAAGGAAAGACTTTGGATTCATGTGAATTTTGGATTAAGGCAGCTTGTGGCAGGTGGTCAGCACCTTCAGTTTCTATTGTGGGCTCTACTGTACCTTCAACAACAGCAGCTTGACTCTGTGGAGGCGAGGTGATGGGCTCTACTGTTGGTTCTACTGTACTTTCTAATAAGAATTCTACTGTTGCAGTGTTTGAGTCTAAGGTCTTGGTTTGTTCTGCTTGAACTGCTATATCTGCTTTGGTTTCTATTGTAGTTTCTACTGCGCCTTCAGCAACAGAAGCTCTAGTTTCAAGTGTTTCCACAGGAGGGGCGCTGACCTCTACTGAGGGGTCTATTGTAGTTTCTAATAACGGCTCTACTGTTGTACTGTGGGACATTTTAACCACTCCCAAGTCAATGCTTTTAGCTTGCGCATCTTCAGTTGAAGCGTCTACTGCTGCATCTACTGTAGATGCTACTGGTCCTTCAGCAGAAGCTCCAGTTTCTAGTGCTCCTGCAGGAGGAAAACTGGCCTCTACTGATGATTTAAGTGTAGTTTCTATTAAAGCTTCTTCTTTGGCACCAAATAAGATGTCAACCACTCTTTCTTCAGATTCTATTGTAGGCTCTACTGTACCTTCAGCGACAGCAGCTATACTATCTAATGTTACCCGAGGAGTGATGCCGGTGTCTACTGATGGTTCTATTGTGGTTTCTATTGAGGGTTCTACTGAATCTGTGCTTGTGATTTGAACTTCCTGATGTGCTGTATCTACTGCGATGTCTATAATTGGCTCTACTGGCCCTTCATCAGCAGAAGCTTTCGTTTCTAGTGTTTCTACAGGAGGAAGGCTGGCCTCTACTGATGGTTCTGTTGTAGTTTCTATCAAGGGTTCTCCTGTAGCAGCTGGAACAAATGATTTCTCTACGTTCTTCTCTACCATGTAAGCTGATAAAGGCAGGACAGGAGCAGCTGTGAGTTCATCTGCCTCTGCAGCAGTTTCTACTTTGGTTTCTCTTGTTTCGGCTGGAGGTTGGCATTCTACTGTAGCTGCCTCTGATCCTGATGACGCAGGCATTGTGCTGGTTGGAGGAACAGTCACACCGGAAACACCATCAGAAGTAATGTCCTGAATAATACCAAGAGGAAACTGTTTAGGTGTTTCAGAGGAAAACGAAGTCTTTGGGTTTGCGGAAGTTGCTGATTTTGGTTGAGGGGGACGCGGCGCAGTGTTAGAGGTAGATGTCGTTTTCTTGGAAACAGTAGAAGCAGCAGGAGAGACAGAATCTGCCGGTTCTGTCTTTGACAAACGAGGAACATTTGAGGTGAAGACCTTCACCGAGGAGGTGGTGGGAGGATTGGAAGAGGCTTTGGCAGGTTTAGCTGCAGGAGGAAGATAAAGGACATGAAAAGAGAAATAAGCACAACGAATCAGGTAGACATAACTGTCCTTCTGGCAACTCAAGAGCATGCTCTAAAATCTATGTTCAATTGTAAGTAAAGCTGAAATGATTAGTTGATTAAACACAATTAATTTCAGTTATTTTTCAAGCAGGAATAGTTTAAAAAATGGCAAATATTTTAGAGATATCAGCCTCTCTCAGGAGACCATTTGCTGTCTGGTCATCGACAAAATATTTGAGTAGAATGATAAATCAGTAAATAAAAAAATTGTAATTACAGATGGTTTTCCATAACTCTATGATATCACAGGGTGTCCACAGAGACCTGAAATCATCAAAAAAATACTGTGATGTAGAAGGCTTTGGTAAATTTAGCTCACAAATCCCCACAATTAAATCTTCTTAATCTGCAGGGGAAAAAAAGTCACCTGTTCTGTAATCAGGTAAGAAACATCAAGAGGTTGCTGTCTATGGCCAAGACTTTATTCTGACACCCTGCTCTTCATAACGTCCTTAACATACTGACCTTTACCAGCAGCAGGGGGCGCTGTGCCAGGCCTCCTCTGGGAGAAAAGTTGCTCCAAGAGTTTAGCAACATCGACAGCAGGCTGAGGTTTGGCTTTCTCTGCCAGCAAAAGACAATACATGTTGAGAATTAAAATAGTTTATGGTAGAGGCCACTGTACATGACACTGACCACAAATAGACATACAGAAGCAAAGAGATGTTTCAGGTTTTAATTTGCTCACACACACTTTGATTACAGGCAAACAAAATACAGAAAACAAACAAACACGCTGCGTCTGACGTACATGTCTTTTCTCACCACTAGTTACTTATTCTTCTATTTATGTAGAAGGAACAATAGTTACACTTTACTTAAAGTCCCCGTAATTAGCATTTACAAACAGTATGTAAATAATAAATAAGCTGCAGGCAGTTGTAAGTGTATTTGTTCTGTTGTGTTTTTGTCTTACTGATGTGTGTTCTTCGTGGTAGTTTTCTGTCTGATGGTTTGGAGCTGAACAGAGCAGCCTGCGGCCTCCATACGACTCTGCACAACTCCCTGTGAATACACTGGATTCACACACACACACACACACTCATAAGTATGGGATGCACAAGGTTTTGCTGCAGCCAGATGGCAAATTTGTGTCTAGTCTGAATAGTTAAGTTTTCAGGAATTCAATACTTATTCAAGACTACTACCTAAAAAGAAAGAAAAGTACATTTACATTTTACAGCTGAAGACACAAATAATAACGCAATAACTGGATGAAGTTACAGCTTTAAATGAACTAAAAATATTAACCATATGAAATATTTTATATGTGTCTGTATGTATGACTTAACTACCAAACTTTAAATAGTTCAAAGTTTCACCATGACCATGCTACTTATCCATAAATGAATGCATCAATATTAACAATCATATATAATATATCAGTCACAGGGGACATTTTACTGCAGAGAAGGTACTTTTACTTTGAGTACATTTAGCTAATAATACTTCTGTACTTTTACTCTAAAAAAATGCATTAGTATTTTGAAACTGTGGTACTGGTATTTTTACCTAAGTAAATGAATTCTTCCACCACTATTCATGGAAACAAATTAAAGTCCTACTTTTAACCACAGACTAGAAAAAACAGAAAACATACTTACCCTGAAACATAATCCCGGTCCTCTTCTGAACAAAGCAGCAGCCATGATTCCCTTCAGTAAAAACAAATAAAAAAAGATATATACAAAAATATAGTTTGTATTCTAATTTATCTCTGTACTGAAGTGTAACGTTGAGGAATATCCAGTCGCTGTGTGAAAGTACTAAATGTCCTGAGCGTGTCTCTCCTCCACCATGTGAGTCTCACTCTGATTTTGTCGCTTCACCGAGGAATAAACATTTTTTAGCAAATTCCAATTGTTGTTTGTTTGTTTGTTTGTTTATGTGTTCACTAGCTAGCTAACATATCTGTCCTGCGTGTTTTCGTAGCGTTACAGTTACATAAAGCGCTCTGCTTAAAGCCTTCAATCAGCGGTACCAAAACAACACAAGGAAACACGTGTTTCCGGTCAGGATTATCAAAAGAAAAGCTTAAATTGCAAACTTGGAAAACATAAATTTTGAGAGAATGCTTGATTAATTCACAGGTCTAATTGACCCAGCCACTAATAGCATTACTTTAATTCAAATTATATAAGGCAAGTTTATTTCAAGAAAGCAATTCAAATGCTTTACATGAAACATAAAAGGTATTAAAAATAAACACAAGACAGTATAAAATACACATTTAGATACAATTAAAATGGGTGAAATAAAATAGAAGATAAAAATAAGTTAAAATTAAATAAGGCAGATAAAAAAGCAGAATAAAAATTACATTGCACTTACAATGCAGCAAGAGACATGAATAAATTGTTCTGTTTTGTTTAGCTTAATAAGTTTAACTTAATAAAATGCAGCTGCTAACAGAAACTCTTGAACCTTTATGTAAAAGAACTCAGTGCTGGAGCATAATGTAGTGAATTAGATAGTTATTTATTCCCACTGAACTGATCATTTGAGAGCATGACTTGTTTTCTTTGTGCACAATTCATTAGTTTCTGCATAAAAAATCAGTACAATGATATAATCAGCCTTCTTGCAATTCATGAGATGATTTTTTAAAAAAAAAAGAAAAAAGTAAAAGAAAGAAAGAAACATACCTGAGTTCTGGGCAATACTCTTTTATTTTGAAGGCAAAGTTAGTTGAATTCCGGCTTTTTTGTGGATACATTCTTTCTGTTTTGACTCAGCTCATTTCAGTGAAGACGACGCCCCCTTTCAGTGCATGTGTGAGCACAGAGCTGGAGAGAATGCAAAACATTTTCCTTCACGTTTAATTCGACCTGTGGATACAAGTGTTTATCAAATAATATATAATTACGGTCCGGTAACAACAACAATGTGAATTTGCTACACTGAGAAAATGGTCCTTTCTGCATTTCCAACCTTTTCATTGTATAGGTAACTTTATTTTGAAATTTGGCTCCTTAAAGTCTTACAGAAACAATTTACATACAGTATATCTGTGACATTGGAGATATTGCTTTGTAATATTTAGGCAGAGTAATAAATAGAGGGGAAAAAAATATTGTTTATTTTTTTACCTTTGATTTTAACTTTAACTTGAGAAAAATTTGTTGAATAAAGCAAAATAAAATAAAATAAAAAGTGTTACAAAGTCTGAATGCTTTATCATGTGACTCAGTGGTTAACAACTTTTTTGGTTGATTTCCTCAAAGAAGAAAGTTGGAAAAAATAAACATAATTTTGTGATAAAAACGTGTATTTTGTTGTTCTTTCTATTGAGTAAAACCGAATAATTTGCCACAGAAACCAGCAAAGCAGACAACTTAAGTCTTGGTCCAACTGGAGTTTATTCTGAACATTGAAAGACAACAACGTACATCATCTTCTACAGTGATAATTAACAGCAGGCTGTCTCTATCGCCCCCATAGCGCTCATATATTAACTCTCAGATAGCAGTAGTATTATACACAACCTGGAAGATAGACAGTAAGAACGGGTTCAAACTGGATTAGTTTCAGTACAGTGGGGGAGGGGAGGGGGGGGGGTACTGGAGAACAGTACAGAGGGGGATGTAAGACAAATTCATCATCATTCATCATCATCATCATAGTCATCATCATCATCATCATCGGCTTCAGTCTGGGGAAACACACATTCATACACACCTTCCTCCACAGTCAAGATGCTGCAACTGGCTGAGCCTCGCTGACTCCTGATTGGACAGTGGCTGGTCACTAAGGTAACTATTGGTTGTCTCGGTGGCAATTCTGTAGATCACTGTAACCGTGGCAATAAATGAAAAACGACTGACTAAATTTACTAACTGGCCAAGCTAACTAACATATATACAACTCCGCTGAGCAAACACACTGGAATTTTATCTGTACAACTGGCAAACGCAGCGGCCATTTTGAACACTCAGGTTGGGAAAATCTGCGCGGAAGATTAATGCTGCCTTCAAAGTAACTCCTGAGTTTGTGTTTTTCGACGAAAGAAATCGAGTTAACGATATGCATATAAAATCAAACTGTTAAAATTTGTGACAAAAACTGAAAAACAAAAAGCGATGCCTTATCTCTGCTGTCCTTTTAGAAAAGAGCGAAAAGGCTGTTTTTTGGCACCATTGCGAACAAGCTAACACAACCCCCATGTGAAGGCACCGGAAGTACGCAGCTGTACAAACATTTTATTATTTAAAGAATTTAATATTCTTCTTTCTAAACAAATAAGAAACGATCTGATCTCAACAACTGGAGGAATTACTTAACATTTTGATAACGTAAATATGGAGGTATTGACAGGTGCCAGATTATTGCAGGCTATTGCTAACTAGCTAGCGAATTTCCATGCTAGCAGTCGTAGCTGAGGTCCTTCCTACGGTTTCCAAAACATAATTTTCCAAGTCTTATTTAAAACGTGTTAATCTATGGCTCTGTAATTAGAAGACAACAACAACTACTTATGACTATTACTACAATAACTACTGAAGCCTGATCTAAAAATGCAAATACTGCAGACAACCACAAAGCTGAAGGTAGCTTCCAGTTCGAAGCTTTTGATTCTGCAGTCAAGGGAAACTAAATGACAATAATTTACTGAACGACTGATTATGTTTTTGTTTTTTTTATCATTCAACTGATTGTTGAGAAAGGTGTTAGACAAGCTAAAGCCTTAGATTTGTGGAACTTTTATTCTATTTATGAAAGAAAAAATCGGAGATTTCGCTGCTTTTTCTCCATCATGGAAAGTTTTCAGGTTATGCAGGTTTTCCAGAACACGTGATATTGCGTATTCTCGTGATATTTTATATTTTTTCTTTTTCTCAGCGGCTCTCATTAAACGACCAAAACCAACAAGTATTGTCTGTGTATCCACAGCCTGATATATCTCATTCCTCTGAGCCACAGAGCTCCATCGTTTCCCAAAAACTGTTAAAAACACATCAGTGAGCCTCACTGTTGTGCTGGGTGACAAGTTCCTTCATCACCACGAACACACACATTGAAGTTTATTTTGTATCAGTCACACATACAGTGTCCTGCTGCTCCAAATACTCACTAGAGCACCAAATGTGGATTAATCCGCTGCTGAAAATAGTCCCTGACAAATGCAGTTTCCTCCTATATAAGTTACGTTTGCTCAAAATTACAGTGCTCATTTGTTTTAGGAAATAACTGAGCCTTTTAAAAAAATAAAACTATATATTTGTGAGACATTTTTTTTATATTTATGTCTTTAGTAGGAACCAACGGGCTTGGGATTGACAGCTACAGGCAAGGCTAATACACTGATGGTTTTGGTCTGTCATGGGATTTGCTGACAAAAAGAACAACACTCTTCTTTATTATTAGTCGTCTATGTTACATTTCCTACTTTGACTGTTCAAAATGGCAGCTGTGTGTCATATGTCAGTCGAGTCGTATCCTGCTCTGCTCCGATATCAGCGACAGTGTCTGTTTTAAAAGTGCTGGGAGTGCCGACACACAGTAAAATTATTTCTACGCTGAGTTTTTCTCAGGGTTAGAGTGTGGGAATTGTCTAAAATGCTCTTCCTATAAAATATGTGTCTGTAGTACCTAGCATGTTCAAGGGGCCCCCCAATCAATCCAGCTCTGTGCCCCCCACCCTCCCTGATTCTTTCCTGTTTTTTCCCTCCCTGCATAGTGACGGCCACTGTGACAGCTCCACACAGCAGCAACATAACAACAGAGGTTGGATGTGTGACAAACATCACCTAAAAATAGAAACCCCCATGTGCATTCAACATCAGGAAATAAGAAAAAATTAAGACATTCTTCCTTACAGTACCTCAATTTAAAATAGCTGTTACACCTGTTCCCTGTTTCAGCCATGTTATCATCAGCATTATTATAACTGACACATGTAAAAAGGACATTTTGGCATGTCTCTGATTTATGTACACCGGACACTTGTCATATATTGGGAAGTAAAGTCTTTCTATAGTTTCAGCTTATTAGCATCGTTAGCATTTCTCATTTAACCTGTACATATTTAGCACTTCCTACGACAATGTGGCAAGTGTTCAGTGAAGGTCAAAACAGACCAAAATTCAAAACGTCAAGGTCCCTTTACACGCAGTACCTCAAAGCTGAAAGCCTGAAGAGTTGATCTTAAGACTGTGAGAGAGTTGTAAGACTCGACGTAAAAAAAATTAAAGAAAATGTACACTGAACCGTACCATTAATTAGCCTGTACACCTTGACACTCGTACCATTCATTCAAACCAGCAGACCGTCTCACACACACACACAGACACACACACACACACATACACACACACACACACACACACAGGGGGTTTGGGGGTGTTGGGACAAAGAAGGAGGGCTGGGATTGTCACTGGAGTGTCTGTGAGACTGTCTGATGAAGCAAAGGGAGAGAAAACAGTAAAGACCCAGCTGATCTCCAACAGGACTGGACTAAATACTGCACTGGACCAGACTGAAGGAGGCGAGAAGTGAAGTGGACCGGACTGGACCGGACTGGACTGGACTGGACTGGACTGGACTGGAATAGAAACATGCCGTGGATTTTTCATTCACGCTGGGGATAGTTAAGCTGTTAGAACAAAAGACGTCTTCATCTTTAAAAATCTACCATCACACTTTGGATCTGTTTAACTGGGACAATTTAAGACCAGTAAAACAACATTTAAGACATAAAGACACACTGTGTGTAAGACTTGTGTGGCCTGGAATTTAATTTAATTCTAATTTAAAACATTCAGAACCTGCAGACACGTTGCTTTAGGTTCAATATCAAAATCTTAAATCCTGAGACACTGAAATAATAATCCAAACTTTTTAATTTGTGTATTCGAAGGATTTAGACTGTTGTCTAATTATTATAACTGTCAATATAATTTTAATTGTTGCTCCTTGTCGATGCTGGATTCACCTGTTTACTGTCTGGCCTCAGAAACCAAGAAGCTCAAATTATCTGTGTGTCAGTTAATTGGTGTTAATTTGATGAACTGTAATTTAACAGGCAAATGACAATGACAGATACTTTCTCTCATCTGAACACACCGCCCTCCTAACAGCCTTTAAGCACTAAGAAACTGAAACAGACCAAACTACGAGAATCCAGACCAGTCCAGTCTGATCCAGCCAAGCTGTCAGGTTCTCGTAGTTCCTTTTCAGTCCGGTCCAGTTCGGTCCTGTTCTGGTTTTTATGGTTCTTCAAACAGCTGGAGGTCCAGCCTGACAACAATCTCTCCTGTGGGAACCTCATGGAGCAGCAACCGCTTCGTGATTGGTCCTTTGGAGCCCTGGTCCTTCTTTATTTCAGCCAACCGGATCTCTGTCCTGCCCAGGAAGTCTGGGGAGGGAGTCAAAGAGACAATGTGTGGGATGCAAATGTCTCTTCTTGTAGAGCAGGTAATCTGAGGGAAAATCTCTTAAGCGAGCGTTGGATTATTACTGACCGTCAGGTGAGAACTGGTCTCGCTCGAACACAGTGACACAGAGGACGTCCTGTTCCAGGTCCTTTATAAAAAACTGACAGTTGGAGTTCCACTTAGGATTCAACGTGTCCTACAGAGAGAGAGAGAGAGAGAGCGGAGAGACAACAAGCCACTGAAAGGATCTGATACACATACTGGAGTCATTCACACATTATAATAGACATATGTGAGTTTCTGCACGTGTACAAATGAGTAAATACAACAGTATCCTGTGGATCTTTGTCCTCACTAAATCATAAAACATCACTTCCAGCCAGCTGATGCACTGGTGCTTGTTTCGGAGTTATAACAGCAGACTTGCAGACGATGCAGAACCAGGATAAAGAATAAAAACAATGTTTCATCAGTGTTTATATTATAGTTTTAAACGTGCAGTTAACATCTTTACTATTTAAAAATTTAAACAAGAAAAATGTGAAAACAAGAATGGAAAAAAAATGGCCGAATGTTAGCAGGAATTAAGGGGGAAGTCCATTGAGTTCTTACACCATTTTCCTCTCATTAGTGTCTAAAGGAGGATGGAGGAGGAACATGAATGAATCTATACAAAATTCTCTTAATATCTACTCAATAACGTAACAATGTAAAATAAAAACCACACATGCCGAGGCCATGGTCATACCTGTAATGTTTTTGTGATATGGCACTGGGAACCCATGGTCACCTCACAGTATGGGTTACTTTTTCCTGGAAATACAAGACAAACTTTATCTTTATTAGTGTTTTCTGTTTTCTTTTATCGTGTTTTGAGGCGCAGGAGAAAAAAACTAAAGTAATTTCATGCACTTTCTAGTAGAAAAGAATCACTGCACATATTGAACTGTGTGCGTACGTACCATGAGAGCGACAGGGTTTCAGCTCGATTCCCTCCACGATGTTGACCATCAGTCGACCGATACCTGTGGCCCTCTGAGAACGAACTGAGAGACAACGTGGAAATTAGACGCTGTTATTGAAAATCATAAAGTTTGATTTTTATTCATTTAGAAGTATTTTTCTATTGGCTTCAGCGTGGAGCGAAGAAAAGGAGAGATACCTAGATACGCCTTCTCTCTCTTCTTCTTCTCTGTCTCAATGAAGAGCTCTGAAGCCGCCTTAATTTTCTGAACCCACGCCGTCCTGCATGAACACACACACACACACACACACACACACACACACACACACACACACACACAAAATCACATGGTTTAATATCTAAAAATAAGCACAGACATTTTAAGCCAACTTCTGTTTGTTATTTCAAGATCTCAGCAGTGAAGTCGGAGAGTAAAAAGTGATTGTAACCAACAGGAAAGACGGTCAAGACCATAAACATGAGACATGGGATTGTGAAATATGCAAAAACGTATCTGTGTGTATTGTATGTGTGTATTACCTTTCGTTGATGCTCTCGGCTCTGAGTGTGTAAACTCTGTCTATGTGAGAGATGTGGAAGAGAGGCTCATCTCCTGACGGGTCCGTTGGCAGCTTCACTAACACTTCATTTAGGAAGATTGGCTGAAGGAGAAGAGAAGAATAAAACACAGAGGTCACACAAGACAAAATGGACACAGACTTGGAAAGCTAAACCAAGTCTGGGTGTCACTTCAGACAAGGTAACCAAGACAGTTTTCTTACCTCCCGTTTTTTAACTCGACAAAATGCTGAGAAGTTGATTCATGCTTTTATTTCTGCTGCTAGACTTTTAACAAAAACAAGGAGGAGAGAGCAGATCACTCCTGTTCTGGCCGCACCACATCGGATCCCTGGATCTTTTAGAATCGATTTTTAAAGTCCTTTACTTACTTGTATGCAAAGCTCTTAACGGATTGGCTCTAACATCACTGATTGTCTGTCATTATCTGTCCCTCCACGAGCTCTTAGATCGTCTACAGCAGGGCCTCTAAATGTCCCAAATGTCCCACTAAATAAAACTGGGGAAGCCCTTCACCCACTATGCACCTAAACAGTCGAACACCCTACCAAGAAATATTAGAGGGGCGGATGCAGAGGACGTTTTTAACGACGACTGAAAACATACCTGTTCAATTTAGCTTTTAATTAGATCTTTGAGTTTTAGTTTTTTATTTATTTTTTTATGTTTTTGTCTTAAATGTTTTCCCTGTTTTTTTTTAATGATTTCCTTGTTTTAACTTCCTTTCTCTTTTATATTTGTCAAAACACTTTGAGCTGCATCCCGTGCATGAAAAGTGCTGTATAAATAAAGTTTATTATTATTATTATAATTATTATTACTGAGCAATTAATGACTGGTCACTATTTTGTTCATACAGCAGTAAAGACAGAGTGTGTGTGTGTCGTCTCACCGTCTTGTACATGCGGTACTGCAGGTGTGTTTTCGAGGAGAAGACTTTGTCCGAGCCAGACGAGCCCAGAGGTTTGGTCACCTGCGAGAGGGACGGAGAGAAAGATTTAGAAATAACTTCCAGCGACACACAGAGCCACTGCGAGGAGGCAGAGTAACGTCACACTCACCTGCGTCAGCAGCAGGAAGTCATTGAACAGGAAGCCGTAGAGCTCTTTGCTGCTCTTGGCTTTAAATAGTTTCCCGCTGTGGAGGAACTTCCTGGGACCCAGACAGTTGGTGACAGAGTTAAACACCAGTTGCTGAAGGACAGAGAGGGAAAGAAAATGTTTTTCTTCTATTGATGAATTCATCATTTAGTGTATAAAATGTCAAACATGACAATAATATAATAAAAGATTGAAATCACAAGTTACGAGAATCTAAAGTGACGTCTTCAAATGGACTTCTGTCTGTTTCGTTTGGAGCATGAATACTCACACAAACTACCCTGGATAGATTAGGGTTAAATATGAGGACAAATCAATAAAAACTAACAATATATATTATAAATCATCATTAGCTGCAGGAGCCTCCTGGTTAACTGGAAGTCGGTCAGATGAGATCAGAGCAGATTTCTGATGAAATACTGCAGATACTTATTAATTATCCTTTAACTCTGTCTGGATAACCACAGGTTTCTGCTGTTCAGTGTTTGGCAAGATGATGCACGTGTGTGTTGCAGTCACCTCAGACAGGCCTTCACACTGAACATGAGCCTGAATCCACTCCAGACGATCCGAGTTTTCCTTCTCCCTCACGCCCTCGTTCACCTAAAAACACGCAAACGCACGGAAGATCAAAAGACACACACGGTGAATTCCTGTGTCGCCAGAAGTTAAAAACAAACGCTTAATAACAAGGAAACAAAGCCGAGACATTTAATGTGTGTGTGTGTGTGTGTGTGTGTGTGTGTGTGTGTTCACCTGTGAACACAGCTCCTCTGCTTTCTCCAGGGCAGCTTTCAGGTGGCTGTGGTCTGGATGTGACTCTGGAGTATTTTCTAAGGTCTGGAATTAAGAACAACAGAAAAACAAGAAAGAACCAGGAAGTGAAGTGAGCTGCTATGATGTAAAGAGTTTTTGAGATTAAATTCCTTGGGGTTGTGATTGATCATAAACTAACATGGAAACAACATATTGATTATAGCAAATTCTATATAAAGCTAGGAAGCACAGAAGTGTTTAAAACAAGTATAAATTCAATAGGTTCACCACAAAAACGAGCCAGACATATTATTATATGATCACACCAATTAATTGTTTCTAAATTCTCAAACTATGAAAATTTATTGATTTAGTTTATTATGAAAGTTTTTTTTTTTAATACAGGAGAGTAAATATGATCTGAAAGGTGTTTGTAAGTTTATGGTACAAAAAGATAAAAAAGGGATTAAAAGGAATGTGTCTCTATAGTTGGTGTCAAATTATAGAACAACGCCAAAATAAAATTTTAAAATGTGTAATGATGCTTGATCTATAAAGTTATTTTTGAAGGTTACAAATGTGAATGATTTTTCTTTCCTTAATTTATGGAACAATAGAAATATGAATAAAATTTTTTTTAAAAAGTGTAATATCCTTTTGTTTTTGTTTTGTTTATATTTAATGTGTGTGTGTGTGTGTGTGTGTGTGTGTGTGTGTGTGTGTGTGTGTGTGTGTGTGTGTGTGAAACATACATTCTTGATGATGAGCGGGTAGCGTGTGACTCTCTGCATGGGTTTGAGCAGGAAACTGGACAGAGGCATTCCCTTACACCTGGGGTCCATGGCCAACCTCTGACAGAGAGACAGTGAGGGGGAGGGAGAGAGAGGGAGAGAGAGAGAGAGAGAGAGAGAGAGAGAGAGAGAGAGAGAGAGCATTACAACAGCTGCTACATCAATATGTGAATGACAGTGTACTTTAAAATTAAGTTTTTCTGCAAAGACTATCGGCTGAAATCATTAACATTTGACAGTGTTAAACGGCTGCAGTGATGCTTAATGCACAATGTTTAATTATTAGATCTGTTTGCATTATAATATCAAATTATAATACAGTAATTATGATTATAATTGTTCTAGATTAACCAAAGTTCCTGGGGGATTTACTGTGAAACTTGCCTTTTAATCAAAAGTTAACATCTTTACGTACATCGCTTATTTATTTCTTCTGAATGACTCAAATTAAAATGCAGAAATGCTCGACTTTAATGAGGCACCTTGAGGAAATCTTTGATCTCAGGATTGTCGTCGGTTTTCTGCTGAATCAGCGTGGCTCCGTTGAGCTGACACGAACAGAACCTGAGCAACGGGATGGATCAAAGGAGCGGGAGATGTTAGTGACGGTTCAGTTCCCGGCTGATCAAAGTCGAGATGAAACATTAGATCAGAGCAGAGACAGAACCTGATGTAGGGCTGCATGTGAGGCAGCTGGTTGGTCAGGATGTCACCAATCATCTTCACCGGCATCCGATCTCCTGACATCTTCTTCCTCACTCGCAGAGCCCTGTCGGGGGGGAAACGGGGGGATGATGGGAAGTTTGGTCTTCTGTGTCATTAGAGCTAAAAGATAAAAGCTGTATATATATTTAACTGTATGACACAAATGAGCCATGAGAAAAAAAAAACCTATATGTTGATATAAACCCAGAGATTTTTGGGGTTTCCAGCTGTGCCAGATGTGCGTCAGTGCCAAACCTCACTGACTTTTATGTAAATTTGGGAAAAGGCAGTGAAGAGAGAAAACAGGACCTGTTAGTAGCCTCATTAAAAGCAGCTGAACTTTACAATGCAAAGCTGCGTTCGGGGCCGATGTTATCTTTAAAATTCAAATGAAGGCCGCTGTGTTGCGCGTCAGATGCAAATATCTGCACGAGACGTAAAACCACGATCCCGCGCCGCGTGGGAACGAGTGTGTGGCGCTTTACTTGAGCAGTTTGATGTTGCACATGATGAGCTCCTTCCAGTTGACGAAGATCATGGCCACCTCCTTCTCCGTCAGCAGCTCGCACTCCAGCAGAGGTTTGTGGAAAATCTAAACACACACACACACACACACACACACACACACACACGGAGAAAAGTGCATTTTTAACATTAGGTACTTTACTTAAAAGTTAGTTTGTTACTTCAAATCTCACTACGGGAAATCAGTCAGTACTGTCCGAGGATGTTACAGCTTCTTTCATGTGGGACGTGTGTTTTTAATCTTCACTTTAACCATTTAAATGCCTCAAAATTAAAAGTATTTATTGTTTTTTCTGCTCAGGTTAATTCTCAGTAATGTGGCAAAACGAGAACACAAGAACCTAAAAGGAAGAATTTGCAATATTGAGAGTAAATTAAACGTCTTTGGTAAATGTTTTGAGTGTTATACAGTGTTTGAGCCCAGGTGATCACAGGTGTGTATGCGTTCTCTACCTCTGTGACGAGCTGCAGGTCGTTGACGTAGTTCTCCTCGGTGACGATGAGCTCGTGGATGTATCCCTGCCTCTTCCTCTCCATGGGACTCAGCATGTCCAGCAGATGGAGGTCAGCACACCCTGAAACACACACACAGCTGTCAATCAAACATCCTCGAGCACGGAGGGAGTGAAAAATCCTATTATCACCTGTGTTAATACATTACCAGCAACATACATACCTGAGATAAACAAAGAGGGTAACTGTGGTGCGCTCTGGAGGAGTGACTGACCCAAGAGTTTGTCGGTTTTTTAATTTAATGTGAGTCTGTGTTGTGATCAGTGTGTTACTGTGATTGTGCGTCTCACAATCAGATCTCCAACATATGTGTATTGGCATTTGTGTGAGTGTGTAGAGATTAAAGAGTGACGTACATTTGTGAAGCTTCCTATTAATGGCTTCCGCTGGATTCAGATTTGACTTTAAACTTTTAAATACATTTTTACTAGACTAAAAAGTTATTTAGCAAATGCTTGAATTTATTGACACTGGATAAGAAGCAGAAAATGGTTGGGTGGATTAACTAATAAGAAATATAATAAGATTAATAATAATGATAATGATTCTTAATTAATGTATTCATTTTTCATACAGTTTTAGCTTTGGTTGTGCTGACTTTAAAGCTGCATCAATCTGTTTTTGGCCACTAGGGGGCAGAAGAACTGCATAACAAACTGAGAAACACAGAAAATGATGCTATTATTGCATTATAAAATGAACTATTTATACAGCCTCTCTCTTAATCTCTTAGATTAAGTCATTTAATTAAGTGTTCATATAAAATTACTGCAGCTTTTAGCTTTATAACTCACTAATGATAAACTTAATGAAGTTAAAAATGCTGGCGTATTTTTTAAATATGTCTTTAGAAACAGGACCAGAAGTGTAAAAGTGAATGTTTTATCTATAATTGCCAATTTAACAGGAAGCTTCCTAAGGTTTAAAGCAGTTGTGTGTGTGTGTGTGTGTGTGTGTGTGTGTGTGAGAGAGAGAGTGAGAGAGTAACGAGGCCAGTCGACTGCAGTCTGTCTCAGAGCGTTTAATCATCAGGACCAGTCAGATTCACCGCTTCATCAAAATCTCCACCAATAAAACCTCAGGACATTTTTACTATCAACGCTACGCTAACATTCTGTACATTTCATTCACTCCGTCACTCATTCATCCATTCATGTATCCTTTTTATTCCTTTGTGTATCCATCTGACCATTCATGTCCATAAAATTGCTCATTCATGCTTTACTTTCACTCGCTCACTCACTCACTCACTGTTCATTCATGCTCGCATTGACACCAAGTGCAGTCTGGTTACATTTGGCTTGGCTGTTAATCCATTCGTCCATTCATCAGAGTTGCTATTTATATTTCACATGAAGCATCAACCGTTACCATTCATCAGATTAAGCATAGACCATACACAGCTTTTATTTTTTTCTAAACAAACCAGACTAGACCAGAGCCATGCCTCAGAGCATAGATGAGCAAAAAAGTGTGTGTTTTTGTTAAAAATAAAAATGTTAAAATTTTTCTAAATGCAAAGTATGTGCTGCTTCCACCTGAACCGTTCTGAGTCCCCAGATGATTTAAGATTAATGCTAACAGGGACAAAGGTGGCTGCAGATGGGAGCGTTAGCATGTAGTAACAGGAGGAGGTACATTACCAGCACGGCTCTGGTTTAGCTGGGTCTTTGTTCTAATCTAAAATACTCACTCTGACTGTGAGGAGTCTCGACCATCTGTTACCAAACTGACAAAGACTTAATCTCTGATGCTGAAAACCAGGATATGAATTTAAAAAAAAACAAACAAAAACAAAACAAAAAAATGCTCCCAAAACTAACGACCCAGTCTGGGCCTCCAGCCTCAGTTTGTCAACCAACAGATGGTCTTTGACTCATCAGCCAATCAGAGCGCTTCACCTCCAATACTGACATACTGAGGAGCCAATGGGACCCAAGCAAGTTAATAATAATAATAATAGTAATCATAATAATCATAATATCTCTATTGCTCGTAGTATAAAAAGTTGCGTAGTTCCATAATCGTTTCATCCGTTGTTTGTGTTTCTGAGGGTAAACATTAAAATCACAATACTGTCATCTGGATAAACAGAAAATAAAACAATACAAATCTGATATGGCAACCACTATAACACTAGTCTGTTGCTATGGGAACAAAGAGAAGTGTGGCTCTGTTGCTGTAGGAGAGTGGCAAAGATACACCAGGGGGGTGTATGTTACCATGGTAACCGGTGATATACAGTATATATTCTGTTTGAAAGTGAGGCTGTGCTGTTTGTGTCTGTATGTGAGAGTCCGTCTGTCTCTGTCCCTCAACACAGACTTTAAGTCGGTTAAACGATATGAGTGTAATATGATACTTGATGTTTTAAGGACTTGGTACAGCTCTGTGAAGATGTGGCTGCTTTTTTGGGAACACACTGTTAAAAATGTTCAATATGAGGCGCAGGAAAATTGAGGCTGCAAAATCGGATTTGGAAAAACAGCTAGAGTCAGTCTCTTCTCGCTTTTATGTCTAGTCGTCCAGTCCTGCGCCTCAGTAACTACTTCTTCCTGAAGATTTCGTAGGGGTGGAATGATTTTGATATGTTTTGATACAGTAGTTTTGCAGTGCAGGGGGAACTTAAAATCAGCTGTTCTGTGCATGAAGTATGGTGACAATGACTTAAGACACATTCAAATGTGCATCACAGTGTGGAAAATTCAAGGAGGTAAAATTACTTAAAAGTGTCACTGGTTTGTAAAATTAAGCCACAAATAGAAACAGCTGAGCGATTTAAATCAGATGAGAGGATCTATATAAATATAGCTTGAGCCTGGAGTTCATTAGCTTAGCTTAGCTTAGCATGAAACTGGAAGCAAGAGGGAAACAAAAAATACATAAACCAACACCTGTAAAGCTCAATAACAAACACGGTGGATTTTCTGTGTACAAACAGAAAAGTAAAAAAGTCAAGTTGTGGTGTTACGGGGTTATTCGCTGGATTTAAAAGGCATATTTTTAAATTATTTTGAATCACCTCTTGGTTCTAGCTTCATATTTAACATACAGACGTGAGATCGGTGCCAATCTTCCCGTCTAACTCTCGGCAAGAAAGACAATAAATGGATTTCCCCAAAAACTCTTTGTTTAACTGGAATGATCAAATCGTTCCACCCCTACGTATTTAGTACCAAATCTGTCTGTGTCATGTCAGTGTCTAGCCTTCAACAGTGTGACAGCGTCTCATCATCATAGCAACAGACAAAACAATAAACATGTAAACAAACAAAAAAGGAAAAAACAACAACAGAACATAAAACGGTTCATTTAAAGTTAATACATATTCAGAATGTTAAACTACTACGGATAAAAACATTATCACTGTGTCTGAGGGTGTGTGTGTGTGTGTGTGTGTGTGTGTGAAATCTGTTTAAGGTCACGTGCAGACTCCAAACTCTGTACCATGTTGTATTTTGTGTGTGCGTGACATTTGGTTAGCTCGTATGCTCAGCAGTTACAGCATGGCTTTCCATTTTAGCCCTGAGCTACGGGCTGAGTCCCATATCAGCTGCTCGCTCCCTTCTACGCCTCCTTGCCTCCTTTCCTAGCACAGAAAGAGAGGTGGGGAGGAACTAACAGACTAACTGGGAAAACCATAGAGGGTAGCAGCAGTGTGGGTTGAAACTTAGCCTTTAACTGCTGTGGGACGCGTCTCAATACTGCCACATTTTCTCTCCTCTCCTTTCCTTCATCTCCTTATAATGAGGGGGGGCGGGGGGGTGTAAGAAGGGAAGAGGAGGAAAGGAAGCGCGAAGGAGGAGGGAGGAGTCTTTGGCATTGAGGAGAGAAGAGAGGTGAGGAGAGGTGAAGAGAGGAGAGTAAAAGACTTTAACATTGAGACTTGTCCTCCAGCAGATAGTGGGTCTTTCTGTGAAGCTGTGGGAGGGGAGGGGTTAGTGAGGGTTGGGGCGGGCTGGGCTGGGGGGTGGAGCCAGCGCTTGTGACTGACAGGTGAATGAAGCTGCTGAACCAATGGGAGCAAGGTTAAAAAATAGAAATTAAAATAAAATAAAAAGGAGGAGGGAGGGGGGATGAGCTGAGCTACTGATTCTAATGACACATTCTCCCATGAAGCCACAAAATGACCCACTATCCACTTTACCGCACTAAGATAGGGCTGTGTGTGTGTGTGTGTGTGTGTGTGTGTGTGTGTGTGTGTGTGTGTGTGGATATATGTGTGTGTGTATGTGTGTGTGTGTGTGCGTGTATACAGTCGCTGTGATCCAGTCAAAAACATGTTCATCAGTCCAATCTGGGAGAAAGGAGCTCAATAGTCTCGTCTCCTCTTTTGCTCTCCTTTTATCTCCTCCCCTCCTTTCCCTTCTTAGCTAAACACCTTCCGACTGAAAGAGAAGGGGAGCGAGAAAAAGTGGGGAGGAGGAGGAGAAGAGAGGGAGAGGAGGAGAAGAGGAAAGCTGGAGAGGAGTCCTGACTATTGATCTCCCTCCTGTTGAACAGTGCTGTTTGGAGCCAGAGCCTTAGATAAACAGAGTTTGGCCAAGTCCAGTCAGAGCCATGCATAGACAGAGTTCTAACGTTACAGTCTGTCTGTCTGTCTGTCTGTCTGTCTCTCTCTCTCTCTCTCTCTCTCTCTCTCTGGCTTCTATTGGTGGAGAGTCGCCATTTCCGGGTCATGTGACCTCTTGGTGCTGTCCCATTGGTTGAGTGGCCTAGTGGGCGTGGCCTAGTGGGTCTCTTTGAGGGCTTTGAGGAGAGGGGGGTTCTGGGTAATGATATGATCCTAGAGAGAGGACGACAACAACAACATCAACAAAAACAACTAAACAAAACAACAACAACAACAACAACAACAACCAATCGGGTGCTAGGTGGGTGGAGCGTGCAGCAAGACAGAGAGTGTGGAGGTGTGGTCTAACCTAGCATAGAAATAGAGGGTCTAGAGCAGGCAGTGACAGAGCTGGTGTCTGTAGAGATGGTTCGTCACAGTGAAGTGACGTAAGAACGCGGCTGTTAATTGAAACCAGTTAGCTGCGGCCGCCATTCCTTTCTTGTAATATTTAAAAATGAACCGCCAACAAAGAAAGAAAAAAAAAGGCATTTACTGTGAAGACTACAGCTTGTTGCCATGATACAACAACAGGTAGACCCACGTTTAAAGTGTCTGCCTGTAAATTGTGCAGAATTATTAGATTTAAACAATCTCGAAGCGACAGTCAGAGCCGGAGCAACATTTCCTTATGAGTGAAGTACCACTTCATTTATTCATATTATGGCCAAAACATCTTAATTAATCTAACAGATCTAAGTTGATGATTAAGTCTAGCAAAAAATTAATTTGCTGCTTTTCTTTGTTTTATATCATAATAAGTTAAAAGCCTTTGGATTTCAGTCGGTTGGTCAAACATGAATCTGAAGACGTTGTGACAGGCTGCTTTTTAAATTCTTTTTTTTGACATTTTACAGACTAAATGATTGATTAAAAAAACAATCAAATCAAATAACAGATTAATCAAAATGAAAATTTGTTTAAGCTGCAGCCCAAATGTATTAATCTGACACATGATTCAAATTACTACAGTTATATTACAGTACTTAAAATGTTTTGTAGCCAAGTCGAAACTAATATCAAGAATATTTTTCCTCATATCATGCAGAAAATATTTAACTTGATTTTCAACTCAATGACCTGTGTCCTGCTGGAACTTCAGGAACTTATTGTGCAGGAACACACTGTAGCTCCGTGGTGCCTAAAAATACCCACAATTCTGTTCACAGTTATATCAGTTACTGCCGGTGTCTCAGTGCTCTGCTCTAGAAACTCTAAGTCTATGGTGGATCATGCTGAGGGAACACATGCAGGAAGAGGGGGAAACACCTTTGCACTAATGCGTGCATATACACACACACACACACACACACACGCATGCACATACACACCATACAAACACACACAAACACCACCCAGAGATGGTGCATGACTGGGAGGTTTATCAAAGAGGCCCAAAGGAGTGTCAAGGTGAAAGGTCAGAGGTCAAACCAACTCGGGGGTCAAAGACTGAGAGAGGGACAGCATCTCCACACCTGGCTCTGGGGTGTGTGTGTGTGTGCATGTGTGTGTGTGTGTGTGTGTGTATGTGAGGGAGTGAGTGTGTTTCAGTGTGTGAGTGTTACATTGAGAGTTTGTTCATTTTAGTAGATTGTGTGTGTGTTCTGTGATTCACGTTAGATTGTGCGCGTGTGTGTGTGTGTGTGTTTGTGTGCACTCACACTGCGTGCTCGGGTCAGTGTCCGTGGTGAGTTTGACGTAGTTGCTGGGAAACAGACCCTCCCTCCCGTTGAGCTCGCCTTTCCACCAATCACAGTCGTCCTTGTTGAGCACTGTGATCACCTGACCCTTCTGGAAGGCCAACTCGTCATCGTTCTGGGCCACGTAGTCGTACATGCCGATCACCTGACACAGAGCTTCAACACCACAGACAGATGTGATGGAAAAGATGTTAATATTTCCAGCTTTAAGGTCACATGTGACAGTGACGTGCTCTTTTATCACCGACTAACAGAAACAGACATATTTACACACCTAAGAACATATAAAGCTTTTACTAGTGTTGATCAGATCTCATTCAAATGTCAAAATTGATAATGTAATGAAGTAAAAGCAACATTATATGTCAACTTTCATTTTCATGACATCAAATAAACCAATTTTTGTCTCTTAAAGTTTTATCAAAGTTCAAACTTTCTAAAAGAAAGAGGAAAGACAGGAAAACATGTCTGCTTTTCTGAAAAGTGAATAACAAGTGTACACGACGTTTTTAATTTATTTAGCTTTAACTGCATAGGGTGTAAGCAAAGAAAAATGAGTGTGAAGGAACTATGATGTAACATTTTGTTGATTTTTGAAGTGAGGCAAAGAAATATTAAAATTTCTTCACCTTGAAAATCAACAAAATATGTACTTTGTTCTTTTTGTGCACAGCTGTATTTGCAGTCCACCCCGCGTGTGCGTACCTGTGCTCGCAGGGGCCAGTTTAGGAGGCGTGGGCTCGGTGGGCGTCGTCTTGCTGGTGCTGGGACTGAGCAGCTTCACGTAGTTTGCTGGAAACCAACCTATCTGGCGTTTTTTGCCCCGAGCCTGAACCAGCCAGAACACAGAACGCCATTAGTCATGAAACACAACGAGCGTCTGCATGTATGTAGATAAATATATAGAAGTAAATACAAGCTGCTGGTTCTGCCTTAAAATTCAATGTGCTATGTTTAGTGTTATTAAGCTGGAGTCATCAGACTTGACAATTTCATGAGGTCACTGGCTTTGTGGAGTTTAGGGAGATTTTCTTTCACTCCCTCTCATTTCTTTCTATTAACAGTCAAAGTAATCTTCGCATATATTAGAATAGAATAGAATAGAGTTTGTGCTTGTGTACCTGGAGCTCCCCCTCCCACCAGCCCCCTGGGTTCTTTTTCCTGATGAGGATGAGCTGTCCGGGAGCTAACGTCAGCTGCTCTGCTCCTGTAGCACTGTAGGGGGCGATCACCTGAGCAATCTCTGAGGGAGGAGAGTACAGGAAGAGGAAGATGGAGAGGGTGTGGTTAGTTCTGATCCTGCAGCACCTGAAACCTGGGCTGCGGTTCAAAAGTCAAAGTAATCTTCTTTTGTGAAATGTTGAAATAAGATAACATGAAAGAAAAATAGAAACGGAGAAAAATGAGCCATTTAAACTAAAATTTAAAAGAAATAAGGAACTGAGCAAGAGATTAGCATAAATTATATTCAGACATAAGTTTACAAGAGGCACTTTTGACATTTTTATGTAATTGTTAAGTAAAGAAAATTCATTTTTAGTGCTTTACACAATGGGAGGGGATTCAGTGAAACAACATTTATGTATAGGCTATAGTATTTTGTTATGATGATGATATTGTTAGCTAGAAATTCAACATGCTCGTTCTTTATGACGACTCCTAACTGGACAGATCTGAGAGAGAAGAGATCTATATTTGTGGATTTCAGTTTCCTTTGCTAAAGGAGATAAGATAGGAAACACTGAAGCTCCTTTCCTTATCATTTAGAGAATTGGACCAGCTCTTATCATGGCTGCTGCTCAGACACTTCGGGGTCATTTCACTCAGTTTGAACCTTCCTCAACAAAGAAAGACTTTTCCACTGCAGCCCTGCTCTGTGGGAAAATAAGAGAAAGCTCACCTGGTTTCTTTCCCAGGCTGCCTGTCTTCCCTGCTGATCCCAGTGACTAAAAATAGAAACAGAGTTTAGAGTAACAATCACCTCAAACATTTCTCTCACCCCATGTGAAAACATGAAACACACACTTGCCACCCTAATTTGTTCTGAATAATCTCTTACGTCTGAAGATGAGTCTCGAGGTTTGACATAATTGGACGGGAAGACTCCGGTCTTGCCCGCGACCATGCCCGTCCACCAATCCCCTTCTTTCCTGGTCACCATGACGATATCACCTTGCTGAAAACTCAGGTCCCCTTGTTCACTGCTCTCATATGTGTACATGGCCACGTACTCTGTACAGATGCACACAGACAAGTGAATAGAGTCAGTATTAACTACCCACCTATCTTTCAAAATAAAACATACATGTACATGTTTGCATGTGCTACCTTCTCCAGAGTCAGAGGGTTTTGTCGGGGAAGGGGAGGGTCGTTTTCCATTGGGGGGGCTTTCTGAGACTCCAGACTCACTAGAGGAGAAAGAAAACAAAGAAATGTAAATAAACTGAGCTTTTTTTTTTGTGTGCCAGGTTTAGAATATAAAATTAGGTTTTTAATTTCTAAAAATCAAGTTTGGTATGAAGACCCACAATATGCCATAAAAATATGAAATCATGAAATCTGCCACAGAATCATCCTTCAGGCAACTTCTTTAAAAAGGGGATTTTGTCTCTCCACAATCAACTGACTAAGCCATTTACCAAGATTTTAATTCTTCAAGTTGCTGCTCTTCACACAGCTCTGTCAGTTGGTTTCGGCTCAGTCCAAACTCAGTCGGTGGATATGTAGCTACACTCCCACTAATGAGGGATTAAATGATGTGAGACGTGGTAAAAAATGAGACCTCGAAAGCTGATAAAGTAGAGAAAGAAATCTAACGCAGGTTTATTCAGACGTCCTGCTTGCTCTGTAGTTTGAGAAGGGAAACCATGTGAAATGAAAGTGCAAAGATCTTGACTTGATGCAACGTTTGAACCTACCTAGCGTTTTTGCTGCGTGCTGCGACGGCACCAGCGGCAGGGGCCGTCATGGTGGCGGAGATGAGCTTGACATAACTTTTGGGGAACCAGCCTCTCTGCCCAGTCTGCAGTTCACCTAACCACCACATGTCCTGCTGCTCCAACACTGTGATTATCTATATTAACAAAAACAATTATACCATTGGTTCTATTCAGTTGAACAAATTATTCCCACCACACAGGATATCTGGTTAGCACAAAATGATTACAATAAAAACATATATGTATCATAATTTAATAAAAACACACAATAAAAAAGAGGGGAGATTGGAAAATGCTTTACTACCTCATTTTTATTGAAGTTGAGGTGGTTGTCCTTCTTCGCTCTCCAGGGATACAAAGCCTGAGCCTGAAGACCTTCGACCTTCTCCCCCTGACAAGAAGAATTACAGCCACAAATACCACTCAGTTCACAAGTCCACGTAGCGAATCACTACCACCAAGAACAAGCTGGGTCGGCTGGGAAGAGGATCTTTGGGAGACATTTGTACAATTAAGGTCCAGGACAAAAGAAGCCAAAGAGACTTGTTACCTGCCCCAGCACGGGTGACGGAGAGGAGCCTGTTGTCATGGTAGCAGGTGTGAAGGCGGAGCGTTGCCGTAGCTGCGCCGATGGAACACTGAGCGATGGATTCTGACTGGTCGAAGAGGTCGGCCATGCGTCCCACCCCTCGCTGTCTGATTGGCTAGCTGTATTTGAGGGCCAACTGCAAATATACGCCCACATGATGCACATGTATTATCAATACTGCAGGTTGAAGTGTGTTTAATGTGTCTGGGAGATTTACATCTATCCATCGATCTATCTATCTATCATGTAGCTGTAAGCAGACGTAAGTGTTTATTAATGTATTTGTTAACTGATAATATCGCCATCGGCAGGACTCACGTGGTGCTGAAGTCGGCCCAGTTACTGTTGGCGGAGGATGTGGAGGAGGAGGTGTGTCCGGGTGCTGGAGGAGGCGTGCTTATCGGCTGCTGGGCGGAGGTGGGAGTCGCTGAGGCTGTGGCGCGCAAGCTGATTGGTGCTTCGTTGTCAGGTATCCGTTCTGCGTAATTGGCTGGAAACCAACCGGTCCTCCCCCTGAGCTCTCCTCCCAGCCAGCCGGGTTCACCTGTTTGTGACTCGTCCACCTGTCAGAGCAGAGGATAAAACTGAAGCATACAAGCAGACACAGAGACACTGGTTCACAGAGATGTGTGTGTTCAGATTCATGGTAGAACAGAGCAGTGGTGTAAACAACAATGCCCATGAGCAGCAGCTGTTTAGAGTTGAATTCCAGGAAGTAGAATTACCAAATCAGTGGATAATCAAGTGGGAGAAATAACATAAACTTGATAACTCAATATGTTTAACTGTTAATGTTGTGCTATGGCTCCAGGGCTGTAAAATGAACAGAGACCCTTTCAAGTTATAAATAACTTGATGATAGAAACCGGCGGCTGCCCTCTTCACCACTAATTAATATATTTTCTTTTAGTCCATCATGTAGCTGTCCATGACACTTTCTGTTGCTATATTTACTCTTTTGTGTTGGACTACTGATGGATTCTTTTTGAAGCAAAATCTGGACGAGCCTCATCTCACTCCAATTGATGTCGAAATAGAGGTTACAACACAACACATTGTTTGGCAGGTTTTGAATGTAATCCTGCCAAGTGAGGGGAGTGACTGGGCCGTGGGTTGGAATAATGCAATGTGTTTAAAGAAAATGGAAAACCCGCCAACTGGACAGTTTTATTCATGAGGATGTTAATCTATGGAAACATTAATGGTAATAAAATATATTTTTTTATGTTTTTTTGTTTGTTTGTTTTTTCCGCAGAGGTCAGACTGTGAAGGTTTGTATTTCTTTGGTTCACAGTTAAACATCAATCATTAAATTTTCACATTAACCGTGAAAACAAAAACAACCTTTACAGACATTGACAAATCTGTTTACAATGACTTGGTTAAATAAAAAATAAATATTTAAATAAAAAAAAAAGCCAGACACATTCATCCACTGGCAAAATGAATGAACATGGAGACGACATGAGGTGACAGCAAAAAGTTCAAATGAGTGCTGGCTTATGATTGGTGGAGGCACAACACTGGGCAGGGGGGGGGCAAGAACTTACCCATTCCCCCTTCACCTTCAGTTCGCACAGCAGAGGAGAGAGGACACAGTTAATACACACACCGTGCTGTCATTCACACTCACACTCACTCACACACACACACACACACACACACACACACACACACACACACACACGGGAGGCTTTAATACAAACACACACATATAAATACAAAAGAGGCAATAAAATATGTGCTCACACACATACACACACATATTACTGTAAATCTGTCACAGTGGCAGCTGCACACTCACACGTCCTTCAGTCTGCACCGTCATCATCCTGTGTTCGCATGTTTTTGTAGCAAAGTTGATGGCTGAAGGTATGAATACTACCATTTGGGAGTATATACTACCTACCATGATTACATCTCCGGGAGCGATACTGATCTCATCATGGCTGCGAGCATCAAACGGATAGAGAGCCCTGTAGTAGACCACCTTCACCGGCTGCTGCTGCTGCTGGTCGAAGCTGCTGGCTGCTGCCTTCTGGTCGAACAGACTGGGTACTGGAGCCTTTTCCACTGGAAATAAACAAGGAAACACAGATATTATTATCCTGCCTAAACTGTGGGAAAAGCGTCAGAAATTCTGGAAATAAGTCAAGATGCCACACTGGGTACATCGATGTTGTTCCATGAATAAAAGTCACTGATGACATCAAACACAGGCGACCACCACACACCAGTCCCTGTTTTTTGCTGTCTGTTTTTCATGCATGCATAAACTGTAACAGACATAACACACCTGATGAAGCCCAGGGATCTGCCTGCTGGCTGAACAGCTTGTTTAATTTATCTTGCATGTCCTTCTTGCCTCTTCCCTCATCCTCCTTCTCTTCTACTGATCCTGCTCGCTTCCGGCCCTCTTCTTCTTCCTCCATCCCTCTCTTCTTCCTCTCCTCCTCTTCCTGAGTCACTCTGTTTAGCCAGGCATCAGGTGCCGACACTGAGACCGGGCTAGGAGCTTTAGGGGCAGAGCTTACTGCTTCGTCCCTCCAGGCCACACTCTCTTCTGATGACAACCTGCGGCATGACAGGGAAAGATGAACCTCCTTAAAGTCAACGCAAAAGTTTTTCATGGCATGTACTGAAAACAATACTTTCCATTCTAATGTAATAGCTTGGATAAAATCCAAGACCTCTGAAATTCTCAAGTGTATTTGGATCTCACCTGCTCTCCTGCAGCTCGGCAGACTTTCTCTCACTCGGGGTGTGTATGTGAGAGTGTGTGTGTGTCAGTGTGTGTGTGTCTCCCTCCATCTCCTTCTGTTTCTGTCTCTGCTGCCGGCTGTGGATCTCCCGCAACTCCTGCAAAGCATCATGGGATACAGGAAGGAACAGCGGTGAGGAGGAAGTGGGATCAGTGGGGCTGGTTGCTACGGGTTACCATCGACAACAAACAAGAACAACAACAGCAGCAGCAGCAGCAGCAGCAGCAAGTACGTATTAGTCAGGTGATCAAGGCAAGCTCCGCCCCTTCACTGAGGTGATGACACATCACGGCCGGTAACCATGGCAAATACTTGAATGTCATCCTGTTTTTAGTGATGATGTCGAAACTGACCAGAGCAAGAGACCAATGGTAAACAGGTTATTTCTGTCTTCTGTATACATGACATCGAACGCACATCTGTGCTTCCTCATCTGCCTCTCTTCCTGATGTTTCTTCCTTTTTTGGTCATTAAAAGGATTTTTTTTGGGAGTTTTATCAAACATAGAAGGTGTTTGCTGTACAAATTGTAAAGTCCTTGCAGGCGAAACTTTGCTTTAGCTTACAGCAAACTGCAAAAAAAGCAAAAACAAAACAAAAATATGAAGTGTCGGATTGGTAGATTTGTCACGATAATGCGTTGAGGTGACACATCTTAGGAGAAATGTTTATGATCTCCACGTACGGTAATGTGCAAAGGTTTAGACTCTCATCCATCAGGGAGGCGTCTGACCGTTCCCAAATTCATTCTGCAGCATGACAACGACCCCGAACATTCAGCCAGAGTCATAATGAACTCAGATGCTGCTGCATTTTTTAGTTGTGAGATAAACAAACTTCTCGGGAGAAGAATAGAGGGCAGCCAATGAGTGACGAGGGATCCATTAAAACCGTCTGTATCCCCACCTACTTTCCTCCCTCTCTATCTCTGACGTGTGCAGTGCAGCTCGTTTCTCTGTCTGAGCAGGGCTGACACTGTGGATTGCTCCCAACTCTTGAGCTGCTCAAGCTAGTGTGGACACCAGAAAAAGAGACATCCAGGCTTCTGCTCACAGGACTTTCAAAGCCCGTGAGAATGCATCCAAGTTTATTTTACCCTTATTTTTGGGGTCATTTACCAAGAAAAGATCTCCCAGCAACTAATTAGCAAACTGTCATGTACCAATCACGTCTGGTGGGGAGCAGATATAATTGTTAATTTATCCATATTGAAGCTTGGGGATTGTTAAAAACTAAATCATATATAAATCTTCAAGTGGGAGGGGACGTCACTGGGAGGGGGCTTCATCACCACTGGAGGTTGGCACGGACGCGGCCCAAAACACAGTGCCCCGGACACGGTGGTGGGGCGGAGCTTGCACAAGGCACAGTATGTTTGAGGGAGGGGTTAGAAGTAAACAAAAAAACAAAAACAAAACAAAAAAGGTAGGTGGGTGGGTGGTGGGAGGGTATGTGGTAGGGAAGGGGGGGGGGCAGTTCTGTGTAGTCATGACAACCAGCTGTGCCATTAGAACACACTCTGTTACTATAACAACGCAAGGCAGCTGTCGTGTTTCAGCCAAACAACCAACGTGAGGAAACCTTCAGAAACAAGCAAACCAATCAGAGATGAGAGACTGACGGAGAAGTAAAACTACAACTCTGGAGAGACAGAACTCCAAGTCACCCGAAACAGGAAGTGGAGGACTTAAAAGACAACACAGCATGCCTAGCATACACTCCTGTACACACACACACACGCACACACACGCACACACGCACGCACGCACGCACGCGCGCACACACACACACACACACACACACACACACACACACACACACACACACACACACAAATAAAGTTTATCAGCATATTAGCCTGGTGCTAGCTTCTGCTTGTGTGGCTGAAACATCCTCTGGGAGCGTACGGGTAGTAGCATTACAGTACAGTGTAGTAATCTAGTGAGATAACCTAGTTAATCACCTAATCTAGTACACCTGCTAACCTAGCATGATTGCTAGTTTAGCATTAACAATGACAGCACTGTTAGCCAGCTGGCTAAGTTGTGAACTAACACCAGCCAGACGATGGAAAGAGGAAGAAGATAAAAGAGGACAGAGGAGGAATAAGAAGAGTTCAAAAGAAATGCAGAAAAGGTGATTTGAAAAAAGAGTCTTTGATGGAAGAGCCGTAAATGAAGATACAAAAGATGAAAAGGAGCGGAAATAAAGAAACAGAGAGAAGTGCAGGGGGTGGGTGGGGTAGGCTGGGTTGTTGTGTGGACCTTTATAACGTAGTCTAGCCGAGCCAGACACACCCTGACGGCTGACACACACTCCTGTAGCTGTCCCTGCTCCTGGCACTGAAACACACATATACATATATACATACGCACACAGAGTGTCAGCCATTCTGTAGACAGAGACACACACTCACAGACAGTTAAGGTCAGTTATGTTTTGCTGGGTAAGTTTAAATGTTTTTTTGTTTTTTTTATTGAGCATTCAACTGTACTTTCATGCAGATTTAACATATATAACAATAAATCCAAGAGATTACCTCTTAGGTAATTAGAATTTAGACATCTGATATTTGCTTTTCCAATTTATTTCTAGCTGTTTTTCATTTTAGCTGGGTGAATATTTTAAATCCCTGATGCAAGTGTGATGATTTTCTTCAGTGGAGATTAAAGTGCCTTGACTCATAGAAGGAGAGGCTCTTATGACTCACTGTGTTGAGTAATGTGCTGGCATTACAGCCCAGTTGTCAGTTTACAACAACTGATTTGTTTTAATAACCTGTCTACACTGGAAGTATTTTTTTTTTTAAAAGTATTTACTACATAGTTTTGGAGTCAGTAATGAGGCTGATACACTGTTCACATTTGCTGTTTCTGGCAACCGACTCCAGGTACATGAACTTATCTTCTAATAAACCCTGTGTATAAATATCTCTTTTTTACTCATTCATGTTATTCTTTACCTTCATTTGCAGTTCTACGTTTTGCACTGTTTTTAATGAGTTACAAATGTTGAGCTTTGATATAAATGCATGTATTTGCTTTGGATTAGTGTATATTTAGTACTGTGTGCTTTACTGACACTGACCTGTGAGATTAGAAAAAAAAAAACAGCACACCAGAATCAGTAGTGTCTGAGTGTCAGTAGTCACACCACTCACAGCTTGACTATTATAGTCAAGCTTCAACTGGCTGCAGTATATCCAGCTGCCTGGCAGTGGCAGCACAGTGTAGAACACATGTTAAGCAGGAATGTCTGCACAAACCAGTCATTTTAAAAGTCTGGTTTGAAGGTGTTAAAGATCACAAAGGTGACTGAAGTACTTGAAGCTTGCAGGTTAGTGGTCTGAAAAGAGGGTGTACAGCGTTTCACTTGTAACGCTCTCTGTAATTTTCAGCCAAATCAGACCGTGCAGGTCCAATTCAAATGCAAAAACTGCTCTATGCTCCAGGTCTGCGATCAGAGTCAGAATGGTCATTATATAATTTGACAGTATTTAATGTTACAAATTGCATCCCAGCTGCAGTACCACCCCAGTCCAGCAGTGGCAGTGTGCTCTACCTGTCTCCCTCTCTGTTCCTCCTGAAGCTGGCGTCGCAGGGCTTCTATCCTGGCACAGTGGTTGGCATAGAACTCACACAGAGACTGGCATGGGCAAAGGAGCAAAACGCCAGTGTAGGAGATAAATAAAAGGAGTAGAAAATATAGAAGGAAGGGTTTATTATGAGGATTAAACAAAGAATATAATAGGGATAAAAATGAAGGCAAGAGGTGAAGAAATACAGGTTTAAAAAGCCGGAATGAAACAGAGAGGAGGACAGTGAGTTGAAGCAGAATTGGCAGGAGGAGCGTTGAAGAGTCCCAGTGGGCACAGAGGACAGAGGAGGCACAGCAGTATGACAAGAGATTTTGGGGAGAGGAAGTGGTGTAGAAAGGAAGGCGGAGGGTAGTATAGTCAAACATAGTTCACATCTCAGTGGTCTATGCACTGAGACATGGCTGCACCTTACTCTGGAGAACACTGGTATCCAACACTGCTGGCTTTGTTTGTTCACAAAGGCTTTGCAACACTTTCCCAAATCACTGTGTTATGTTCTCTACACTGAATAAAACTGAGAAACATCTCCATTAGATTAGCCATTTACAAAAAAATCAATTTATTGTTGCTAGTACTGTCTCTGCTTTTCTTCTCATCCTCCTCGCTGGCACAGACCACATGACTAATTCCCCTCTCTTTGACCTGACTCTGTGTTCTGGAAGAAAATAAAAATATACAGGGACAAAAGGTGGTCTACGAAACATAAACAGGCTGCTGTGCTTAAATACTAATGAATAAAATAAGAAACAATCCCTCCATCTTCCTCTCTCAACAGTAAATTGTTGATGAAAGCTACATAAAGCAGCTGACTGAAACCGCTAAGTGTTCTAGCACACAGCTAGCTCTCTCCAAAAACATCAATATTAATACACACAATAACACATCGCCATAAAGACAAACACAGATAAACTACATAAATATAAATATCAAACCTTTAACACATCAGAAAACTTGAACACTGTGACTATACTAAACTAGTTTGAGGATGAGGTTATGAGAGATAGGACAGGACATGATTTAAAGCTACATTCACAACACCAATCCAATGTTTTGAACATGGACAATGCTTCATTTAGAAAAACAATTACTGGGTTAGCAAGCTAGGTAATCAGTTAATTGACTGTTTAGTAAAATAGATTTATTTGAATTAATGAAGAACAACACAAGCAATATATCAAAGTATAACTAAATGTTTTTAATGGTTTAATTAAAGTGTTACTAAATTTATTAGGATATCCCACTACTACAGTTTCATGTTATATTTTGGATGAGGTGTTAACCTTAGTGTCAGGAGTTGTATTTGAGTTATTGTTCAAATTGTTGAGGGTTTTCCCACAAATATAACACATCAGACACCTTCAACAGAAGTCAGTGGAGTGAAGGAGTAGAGTGTGATTTTAATACAGGAGATCATCTATGAAAAACTGGAAGAAACAAGCTGTAAAATACCATGAATGCATTTGCCTTGTGATTTCCTGACACAAATAAACAAATACTAAAATATGTCAAGAGTAGGTCAGTTTTACAAGCTCATTGCCATCCTTCAACATAACCCTATTTTAGATTTATACCTGATATTTACTGCTATTCTTCATAGCTTGATTAAATACTTAAAGTTGCGTCATGACAGTATGTATCTCTAGTAGCTAGAATAACTCATCAATCCACTGCATCTATTCTGTTAAGTTATTTCATTAACTATTTAGTTTAATAATGGAAATTATATAGTTATATGACCATGTATTGAGCTGGTGTAGCCATGGCTTTTCTCTCCTGTCCTGTATTAACGCTTTGGTTTTACCTTTAGCTGGGTGTTGAACGCATCTATTTCCAGCAGTTTGGCCCTCGTCTCCCTCTCCACAGCATCCAGCTGCTCTCTGAGCTGCTGTCTGCTGGTCTCCTTCTGCTCCACAGCCTTCTGCAGGGACGACAGACTGTCACCTAAACACACACACACACACAGACAGCGTGATATCAGGTCAGGTTAATTAGTGACAGACATACTCATACTCAGTTTATGTAAAAAGAAAAAAAAATTAAATCAAGAGCAGTCTCCGACATCATGGCAAGAATAGGCTCAGTATGTAACGTGCAGTACATGTGAGTGTGTGTTACGTGTATGTGGTACTCACGGTGCAGGCTGTTCTGTTGAACCTGTTTCAACTGGTCGTTGAGACTCTGTTTATCAGGAATTAGCCTCCCGAGCCACTGCTGAGAGTCCTGAACAGTAATGTCCAAAAAAAACACCCAAAATCATTAATCACATATTCATAAATTATTTTTGACCAATTCATTTTTTGTTTCATACAAGCTGACAGTTGTTCTACATGACCTACAAATCAACGTGACACCAGTCTGTCTGTTTGTGTTTATTTGCTGATGGTTTACATGTGTTTTTTGTACCTGCAGCTGCTGTTGTAGCAGGGTGATTTCAGCAATGCGCGTTTCTCTGGTCTGATTCGTCTGCTCCACCTCTTTCCGCTGAGCTGACAGACGAAACCGAACATCCTTCAGTTTGCCCTCCAGCTGGGTCTTCTTATCGTTCTAGAGAATGGGAAATGAATATACTATCAAGTTTCTGCAGAGGCATGAACAGAGTGTTGGGTGATAGAAAGTATTCATTTTCAGCTGTTCTGTTCTTACTATTAGCACTATCTATATATCCAACTATATCTAATTGCTTTTGGTTTATATTTGAAGAAACTTTCAAGCCCATCATTGCCACAAAAATCAACGTGTCCTCTGTCAGTGTGAGGAGTAACTCTCTGTAACAGAGTGACTTGGTTGAGTTGGTAACGGGAGCACAAGTACTTACAGTCACCTTGGTTAGCTCATAGAAGCTTACAAAAACTAGCAGTGCTGACATCCTGAGTGGGTGTCTCTCTTTGCAGCATTTCCTCAGCTTACAGCAATCTGCTATGACTCTAAACATCTGCCATTAATTTTGGCATGTTGTCAGCTTTCACAATGCGACTCCCTTTGATTGACAAGCATGTTTGATTATGCTATGGCTTGGTGTGTTTGTGTGTGTGCCTGTGTTTGATTACCAGGGCCTCCAGTTCAAACTCCAGGGTCTTCTTCCTGGCTTTGAGCAGGACTATACTCTCCTGCTCTCTGTTTCTTTGAGTTAGAAGCTCCTGTCGACGTTGACGCTCCCACTCCAGCTGACGCTGGCGCTCTAACTCACGCTTAGCAGCCTGGACAGATGAAACACACACACAGCAAAGAGTTTTGTTTATTTTCACAATATTACACTTCAAAGAACTGCAAGGTTGGATATTACAAGACATCACATTATATACTTATATTACACACTTCATTATACACGAACAAGCCATCTGCTGCAGGAGTGTGAATGAGGCTCTTACTGTAAGAGCTGAGATGTAAAGAGGGCGGTGGTGAGCTGTGAAAGGCCTCTAAGTTGTCTGCAACAGATGTAATTACACGTCTGCAGCAGCTGAACGTCAACTCAACCATAACTCTTCAATTAAAATGCAGATACTTGGTAATCATTTCCCCTTCTCCTTGCTGCCTCTCTTCTTACCTCTCTTCTCTCTATCTCTTTGCGTCGCTCTTCTTCTCTCAGCCTCTCCAGCTCTCTCTGTTTCTCCAGCTGTTTTTCTAATTCCTGTTGTCGTCTCCTCTCCTGCTCCAGACGTTCCCGCTCCTGAAAGACAAACAGAAAAGTGAGCTGGCAGAACAAACAGCTCTATTATGTAGTTACCGGTCACCATAATTCATTTTCAGTTCCTACTCGCTTCAACACCTGTTATAAACTCAAATGAGCTTTTTGAAAGAGATGGGACATTGTGGCTGGTACAGTGACAACACCGTGGCTACTATCGCAGCAGAAATTTTATGGCCTTATATACAAGCGATAAACCATGATCAATTCAAATTCTGACTCCAGTGTGGAAAAGATGAATCAGTAGTCGACCTTTCTCTCCTGTTCCTCTCTCTCCAGTGCAGCCAGTCTCTCCTGTTCTTTCCTCTGCTGCTCCTGCAGAGCCTGACGTCTCTTCTCCAACTCCAAGTTTCCTCGCTCAAAGTTCTCCCTCTTCTTATCCTCGAATGTCACTGCGTACAGACAAAAGGAGATAATATAAAGAATATACAGTGGCTATGACGTAGGTCTTCGGGCTAACACAGCCCATTCGTTAAGAAGGCTGAGACAAGATCTAGTCCCAGTTTGGACAGTAACATGATGGTGTCCAAATGCAATGATGGCGAGGACCAAACCTGGTAGCTTCTTTTCTTGGCTGCTTTCAGTCTCCTCCTCCATCTCCTCCTGGACGCTCTTCTGGTCCGACTGAACACTGTCGCTCCGCACACGCCTTTAACACACGGACAAACACAGAAATAACAATACAGACCATCAACACCCATTTGCTTGATATGCTCACCCCACACATCTGGGGGACACATTGTATTAACTTCCATTTATGTTCACTGTTTAAAATAACCAGTGCAATATAAATATTGACTTATAAAAACATTTTGCATTCATCATGTTTATAACGTTTCTTTGTAAAACATAAAAAGGTAAAAACTGGTTTAATGTAGTTCACCCCTAGTTTAACCCGACACTGTACAAAACACCAACTGCTGCAAGTATTTATGGCAACTATTGCGTAACTATGCACATATCTAACATTCTGCTGTCAGTTCAGTCGTATAATGTGGCATTTGGTTACAGTGTTTACCTGAATGTGGGTGGGAGGTAATCTGGTGGTAACACAGGGGGTAGCGGTAACCCTGACATTGCCATATCTATGAGGTGCATGGCCAAGATAAACTCCTCAGCTGTTAGCTTCCCATCCTGGTCGATATCTGATAGACTCCTGGAGGAGAAAAAGATGAAACAAGTTCCCATTGAAGCACTAACGTCTTTGAAATGTGTCTCCTGTTCTGATAAAGATTAAATGATTGAATTTCAGGTGATTATTTAATGTACTGACCATATTGTGGCCAGCTGGCCTTGAGGAAGACTAGACTGCATCAGGATTGTGCGAGCCTGGGGACCTGGAACACGTGCACACACACACACACATTGAAATGCTGTAGCAAACCTGAAAGACATATTATCATACATTATGTTTGTGTGTGTGTGTGTGTGTGTACCTGTGAGGTGTCCACTCATCATCTTGTCATGAGAGTTAAAAAGCTGTCTGTACTTCAGCCTTGAGGACTGAGGAACGGCCCAATCAGAGGGGGGCTGACTACTGGGACAGGTAACACGAGAATAGAAAAACAGAGTGCAGTGAAGTCACAGCAAAAAGAGAAGCAATGAAAAGGCACACCCATAAATTACCACAGAGCAAGGCAAAAGCTAAAGTAATATCTACTCTAGGTTGCACAATCAGCTCCGAAGCTCCTCGAGTGGTTTAAGTCTACAGCCTAAATTTATATCAACTTGGAACTCGGCCAAATTACAGAATTCAGTAAGTTAGCCGACGACCGAGCTAACAGCCTGTCAAGATACTGGAGAAAAGATGTGACAATTTTCTACCATAAATTTTCTCATTTTAGTAGGTTGTTAATAAGCAAAATAGCGCTAACATTTCAGATCATTTGACCTACCTAGCAGCATCGAAGGACGACACTTTCTGCAACTTCGCACTGGATCGATTAAACGACGAAGACTTGTTGACAGATGGAGCTGAGAGAGACATGAAAGAGGACATTTCAGTCTGAGGCTGTGGTCAAATGCTTAATGACAAGCAGCGTATACGTTTTGTGAAGCATTTCATTTCATAATTCTTTTACAGTGTGACACTAAAACTCGGCTCGCAGCAAGATTTGCTGTCTCATCACAAAGTATCTATCTTCACTAAAACACAGTGACTTTTTACTTAGATCAGTTCAGAGTGTATACGGACACTGACCATCACCTGACCGTCCACAATGTAAATATGAAAGTCTACATTATGCGTAAATACAGAAGCTTAAAACCGAGACCTTTGCCCACACCGACAATTGCTACACAAACATTTCAACACTCCCTTCCCCACTGCTGTTATCTTACCTCCTGGGTGGGAGAAGCCTGAGATGGGCTGCATCATGCCTGTGGGGGGAGCTCCGTTGGCGATGGGCTGGGGGAGGGGAGGCGGGGCAGACGAGACCAGAGGGGGAGACACCCCGACGGGGAGAGGGGGCAGGGGGAGCGGGGGCACGCCTGGCAGAGGAGCTGGGATGGGAGTCGGGAGGGGAGCCATGGGGGGCATGCCTGAAGATAAACAGACACACAGTACGTGATTATCAGATAAACACATGTCGGTCAAACGCTGCACAAAGCTTTAGAGAAAACTGCAATCGATATTTCTTTGCTGCTGAATTTAACATTATATATTTATACTAAATGGGGTGTGAGAGCCACAGAGTGTTATTACTGTATACTTTTTGCATTATAACTTTATCGATCAGCACTTGTGCAATAGGCGAGAGTGAGAGCAAATATTTTCTATATGACCTCTGGAGAAGACAGACTCATCCTTATCAAATACATCTGCAGTGTTTTAGCAGGTCAGCTTTACCACCGCCTTTTTTCAAGGGCAACAAGACAAAAAAAAAAAAAAAAAAAGCTGTTTGTCACGTAAGCCGCGACAGATTACATCTATGTTATGACATCAAACTGTGAGCCGTGTTTCCTCCAGTTATCAACTGTAAGCAGCAGCACACCACCACAGCAAAAACAATTACCACCACTGCAGAAGAAAAATGACATTTAAATGATCATTTCAATAACTTAGTCTTACAATCATCTAAAAGTGCACGTAGGGCAAATGTTTTGGAGGCAACCTTTTCAAACAAAACAATGTGGGTTGTCAGCTGCTGTAAATATAAACATTTCAGATTCGTGTCTTACCAAAGCCGGTCTGGGGGGGTAAAGGCAGTGGAGGTTGTTTCATACTAGGAGGAAGTGAAGGTGGCAGAGGGTGACCCTGGAGTTTCAGTTTGATGAGTTTCATGGCAATAGAGAACTCGTGGATATCCATACGGCCATCACTGTTCATGTCAGCCAGAGCCCTGCCGGTACACAGAGAACACATTATTTCACCAGTGTACAAGAACAAAATGATGCACTGCTGGACAGAAACCACTAAATAATGAACTGGATGAACTGGCTACTTAATATTTATTAGCCTGTGAGCTAGTCGCAGCTTCCTGGCTATGTGACTCACCAGATTTGGGCCAGGATAGGAGGGGGCAGTCCTGATTGAAGGAAGAAGTTCCTGGCCTGGTCACCTGACAGACAAACAGAAACAGGACGTGAGATCACAGCACTGATCTAATAAGAGAGGCCACTGCAGACCGTGGCTGAATCCAAATGTCTGGACTTCATTGCGCTGGCAGACTTCCTGCGAGTGCGCCTCCGCAAGTGCCGAGGGCCGTCCAGATCCACAATTCATCAAGTCCACAAGGGGCCTTAATCAGACCTGCTGTGGACTTCCAGAGAGCCCACTTAGAACCCAATTATACTCCCTTACAGACGTGCAAATGCGCAGCTGCGGACACCGTGGACACAGTTGTTATTATACTTCTTTCTCATCCACTTGGGAGTCCACTCAGAGGAGCGCATGCCCAGTTGGTGCCACACAAACACAATAAATTGGAGGGTACATGAAACATCCGCAAAAAGTCTCGGGCGCACCCTCTGAGGACAAAATTTACATCACACGGGCGCTAGCATACTGGCGGATTCGGAAAGTATAGCACTCGCTTTACTGTATGTGTGGTGTGTAGATGAGAAGGAGGGAGGGACAGAGAGAGAGAGAAAGAGAGAGAGAGACTGTTACCTGTGATGTAACCCCCGGCAGTCGGAGAGAGGCTGTGAAACTGCTGATCATGTTTGGCTCTCTCATCCACCGAGATCAGAAACACATCTGGACCTATCACACCCACAAAAATAACACACACACGATGACAGATTAGATACCAAACCCGAAGGCCAAGACAAAGCCCTGCACAGACAGAGGCTGAAGGGGGAGGCATGAGAGGAATGTGTCAGTCATGAATTTCAGTTCCTGTTAGAGGTTTCCTATGAAGTAACACTTAAGAACGAGTGTCAACCCAGAGATGAGGAGAGAAAACGAGGATGAATGGATGAGGGACTGAGAATCAGAGATTGTTGTCTTTCCTTAGAAAGCTCAGTACATGACAAGTCAGTGCATGAGTCACTAATGTAATTTGATAGATTCATCACTTGCTGACACTGATTATATTGGTGCGTCATCAATAACTGTGGATGGGTGTCACCCAGTGTCTAACCATCATCTTAACAGTAACAATGTAAAGAACTTTATAATTCTCCGTTTCTGGTTTGACAGTAAAGGGATCCCCATGAGCCAGTAAAACACTGACTGCAGTCAGATTTACCAGTCTGTCACTGGCTTTACTCAATTACTAGTCTTGTTGCCTCTCTGCTCTGCTAATAGCTCAGTTTCCACTTTGTTGCATTTTTCTTCACATAAATTATATGCCAGATCAGAGTTAGTTAGGAACCTAGCTACTCCGAGCAGAGGTTCCCTGTAGTTCCAACTGACAGCTCCATCCCGTCCCATTTACTGACAATTTACATACTTAGTGAAACATGCTGACTCATTACTGCTGACAGAAACAGCATTTCCCTTTGCTCCCTTTGTTAACAGTTGAAGGAAAGCATGCTTATTCAGTTGTCTTCACACATACACCCTGGAGCACACATTGTAATCGTGTCATTGTAATTTATATTTTCTGGATACAGTAACTGTCCAAATGGCAATTTTTATCGATACCTGTCCAATACTTTATATTGATGATATCAACATTTTGATGTAAGACTAGATGTAATGTGGAATTTCAGTTATGCTTTAATTTTCCATCTTCAGCCTCAGTTGTTTCTCTTAGATTATAAACAGTGTTTCGGGTGGCTGGTCCTCATTCAGCCCAGAGACAAGTACGCAATATGTTCTATGTTACAGTTACAAATCTCAAAGCATTTGGAGTCGGTTTGTCTTTGTCTCCATCTGTTTGTCCTTATCTTGATGGCAGATCTGTCAGTCTGCCTCCAGGCTCTCTTTCATACCAATTTTGGCAAATTTTCTCTGATAGTTGCCAGATCTACTCGTGTCTTCATGTATGACGTTTTTTTTTTTACTTATTTGTAAACTGATTCTGGGAGATTACTGATTCGTTAAGACTTTTGATGTCGCCTTGATTCGTCTTGTTGTCGTGTGTCTCCGCCTTTAATCTCTCCTGAAGTGATACTATGTACTTGTGAGATTTTTAAAATCTGAATGTTAAAATGACTGAGGAAAATCAGAGTGGATTTATGAGAAGCTGCGGGTTGTCTTCTAATGAACTTGTGGAATATTATGGTGAATTCATGGAGTAATGTGCTGCCATTTTGGTTATAAGACTCTTCACTGACAACCCTGAGAGGGAAATACAAACATCAACTTTCATTATACCTCTGGTTCAAGTCACACACACACACACACACACACACACACACACACACACACACACACACACACACACACACACACACACTGACCTGTGAATGTGGTGGGGAACTGTGCCATGGTTCACTCAGTCGTCTGCAGCTACACAACACCTGAAACACATTTAGAAAAACAGAAGATGAATCCATCTGATCAGTATCATCCCACCTCGCTGAGCAGTTCACCGCTCAATAATGCAGTAATGTAACCACTTCACCCTTTCACTGGTGAACCACAAAAATGCTTTCACAGTGCAGGGGCTATCTTTTGTCAGCAAGGTCGGAAATCCAACTGGATGCTTAACGGCACGTTAAAGGGGCCGAATAATGTCTGGTCACCTGCCAAAGGTGCTGATACAGTAGACAAACTCAGCCAGAGGAAACGATTTTCCAGCACAAGTCTGGAGTTCATTTTCCACTCTGCTGTCCTTCACTGCTGAAGTTGTGAATTTCTATTTGGTCTCCAGCCCATCGAGCCTTATAGGATTACGGTTTTTGTACCTTGAAAGTTTGATTTGATGTAAGGGTATATGCACAAACAAAAACACAAAGCAAATAAGTACTTCTCAATGAGGCATATGCAGTCACATGTTTTTAAATCCTACAATTTGGTTTAGTCTTTTTTAAAAGGGGGAAAAACATGAAGAAATCTGCATCAATCTGCTGTTGTCACCCAGTGTTCAGACTAGTGCCAGGTCCACAGGAGACTGGACTGTGTGTCAGCCATGCTTGTGCATGTCAACAGGGCAGCAAACCTTTATTTATGCAGGGCAGGCTGCCTGAGCATACTCGCTTGTTTTCAGAACCACTCTGCTTCACGCTCACTCATTTACACACATTCTCACTTGGGAGCTGACCACAGTCAACACCAGTTTTCTAGTGTTGGTCTGTAAAAAGCTCCACTGGAGTCTTTTTAGAGTCAGCATTTCTTACAGGCAATACAAACTGGAAAGTTACAAACTAAAAGGCACCAAAAAAAAACAGGGAAATGGATTTGATGATGGATTTTTCTGAGAATATGCTGTTTGTTGGAAAAAAAAAACTTGTCTACAGACAGAACACCCACTCACCCAAGAAAGTTACATAAAAATTGCTGCAATAATCAAAAAACTCAACCGAATTTACTGTTGTGATGGACAAGTCAACAGCAGTGATTTGCAAAAACTTTACAGAATCTTTTTAAATTGTTTCCAGAAATTCTTTCAGAAGCAGAAGACATCATATTCAAGGTTAATATAAAAACAGTGAATAAAGCAGTGCCCTGCGCCCTCACAATAACACATCCATAAATGTGTGTGTGACATACCTCTGTCCTAGTAGAGGCATGTTAATCAGATCCAGACCTGCTCCCCTCCCCTGTATCTGTGTGACCAGCAGACAACCCACAATAATGATTTGACACACATTGCAATAGACAAGGACTTAATGAGGGTGTGTGAGTGTATATGTGGGTTGCTGACTTTTTTCCAAGTGTGAAGTAAATAAACATTTACCTTTCTTACAGTGGGATGAAGAGCAAACAGTTAAAAGGGCCAGTTCAAACAAATCACGAAAATGCTTTTCTCATTTATCCCTCGTGATATCTAACCAAGTAGCAACGGTTTTATTTGATGAAGTACAAAGACATCCACATCTCAGACTTTTGCCACATCCACAATATAATGCAGGTGGATGGAATTTAGTCTGCAGTGCTCACGCCACCAAAAAAAAATCTATTGCAACATCTTTCCAGAAACAGTTACTCACACATCACCGTGGACATTTTCACTAAGACTATTTCTTCAGTTGAAAATTGTCATTGGCCTATTGTGCAGCACAGTGTGTGTGTGTGTGTTAGTGTGTGTGTGTGTCCCATTATCATCAGAGTGGGAGGACAAAGTAACCAGCTTAACTAGGTCAGAGGAACAAAGCCCACCCTACGCAAACACACACAGGCACACACTTTCGCAGCTGCCACTTACAGAATACTGAAGCAGTTCAACAAATACAGTGCATTTTCCGAAACTTAACTAGTAATGGGAGAGATTGAACTGCTTGTCAACTCTGTTAAAGCATGTTAGCTTAGTCACAATATGATCTGAACTGACTTAGAAATAACCTGAAATTATAAGAACTTACAGAAGATATGTATTACAGCTGGTCATAGTTGGAAAGCTTGGTTAAATTTCTTTTTTTTTATCTTCTTAGGTTCTTAACCAGAATGAAAACAAAGCAAGTACATTGCAGCAGAGAGCATACTGACATCCTTAGGTGAGGTTACAGGTATTGGAAAAAACAATCACTTTTACTAAAATCTAGTGAGATATCAGGTTGCCAAAAGCTGCCAAAATGTTGATTCACAACTGAAAAGCTGTGAATTAAAATTACTTTTATCTATAAGCATCACAACAAATACCTGAGGACAAAGCCAACTAACAGCAACAATCACCAAACCCTATGGTACCCCCAAAGGTTTTAGTATGTTAACCAATGACATCTTTTGCATTTATCATAGTCTCACCTTGACTTAGCCGAGTTGCATGTCTCAGAACTACTGATGAAAAGAACATAATGCGCCTATTTCCTTTGTCATCAGTGTGTAGTTGAGGATTTTATTCTCTGTTCTCCCTGTGTACATGTATTGTATTTGTGGGATTAGTCTGTATAATTAGAGCATTGGGATGTAACTGGAGTGTTGGTCTGTTATCAAGGCTTGTGGCAGATGCCTGTTTAAGCCCCTCACATAAACACACACACACATATAGACACACACACACACACACACACACACACACACACACAGTCTAGGCAGCTTCAGAACATGACACAGATTAGGGTTCAGATTCTCTGCTCTCTTTTTCCCTCCCCTTCATTTTCCTGATGACCCCTCCAACATTCCTCTTTCCCGTCTTCCATGAATGAATTTGGGAAAACTACACACCAGCTGACATTACAATGCTAGATACTCCAACATACAAACTCTAATATTCTTATAATATCTGATATCCTTGGTCCGGGTTGTATTCCAGAAAAAAAAAAAAGGTGTTTATGTTTTTGGTGCTTCCAATTTCTCCCAAGCAGTCTTAGTTAGATTTCCATCTGTGTAACAGTGAATTATTGGCTCCTCCAGCTAGTTCTGCTTTCAGTCCACTGTGTCTTTAAACACAAAAAAAAACACTTTAAAAAACACCAAACATCAAAATGTGCCCAGAGATGCAAGATACGCCACAAAATGACTTTTCATTTAGCTCAATGTGCTGACTAAAACCCTAAATCCTCATGCATCTGATCCTCCATTGTTCTAGTTCGAAACAGAGCAGAAATCATGGGTCAATTAATCAATCTAGATGATTGACAAAGAATTAATCATTGATTGATTTAGCAAGTAATACGTGAAGATTTGCTTGGTTTCCTTCATTCGATATCACTGCCGATTAAACTATTCAAGTTTTGAAGAAACTGAAAATACCACTTGTGAGTTTGTTTTTAAAAATGTTTTTCTGGCTGTTTTTTAAGCAAAATTCTCAAATATTTGATGTTTCAAGCTTCTGAAATATGAGGATTTAATGCTTTTGTCACACATGATAGTAAACGGAACACCTTTGGATTTTGGACTGTTCGTCAAACCAAATAAGACATCTGACACCTTGGTCTGTGGGAAATGATTTACAATCATATTATAGACAAAATGATTCACTGATAAAAAAAATAATAAAAATAATCATAAGTTGACTTTATCTTGTATGGATGGTTAAACCATGATGGTGTTGGTACTAATAACTGCAGCCTCTTCACATCAGCCTTCTCACAGCCTACCTACCCCCCCCCCCCCCCCTCACAACACAACACACACTCTTCCATAGTCCTCTCTTCTATCACCACTAAAGACACACCCACTTTCAACACACCCTCTGACACTGACCCTAAGCTCTGCGTCTCTCTTTCTCCAACACACACTACAACATTATTATCACACTGCTGTCAAGTGGTGAGGCCTGAGAGATGGCAGGACCCCAACCCGCCCAGCACACGTACACAGACACACAGGATTACCACTGCAGTCTCTCCATGAGCTCCTCCTGCATCACTCCATCCTTCCCTCAGGCTCCCTCCTCCCATCCCTCCTCACCAACATGCTCAGCAGCCTCCACAGCTAGCTAATGTTAGCACTATCACACTGTACAATGCCATGGATGGTAACAAGCACAACTGAAGTGCAGCGCTGTGAAATGTTCGGGTCATGAAGTCATCTTTAGCTCATACTACAAGGAAAACGCCAATACAACATAAATTTACTATGTGACTTTCTTATTTAACTCTGAACATGCCTACCGTAGAAAAAATGTCTATTCATGACTTAAGGGTAAAAAAAAAATATCAAGCAAAGAACCAAAAGCAGCCGACCAATTAATCATCTATGTTGTAGGGAAGGAAAGCGTACTTTAACAGTCAGCACAAACAAATTATGTAAGAATCCTGCACCGCCTTTACATTTCTTCTATTGTGAATAAACACATCCACTGAGAGTTGGCCCAATCACACAAAATCACACCAAATCTTCTTCAAATGGTATGACTGACTATATGAAAGGGTTGTTAAGTTTCCTTATTATGATTTTGACACAAAATATAAGTGTGTAATTTGGATCAAGCCCCCTGATCAATGTGGCAACCACACACACCACTTTTGTTTTTGGTGGATAAGATTATGAATTGTGACCTTTGACGCTGTTAGACTTCAATGAAAGAAGCAAGTCACTGTGTTGAATGCAGTCCTGGGATATGTTAGAACAAACTGTATTATGCTGTCCTGATTCATAGGTCATTTGAAGCAGGAACATAAAGTCACCTTCCTGAACGCAGCTGAACTCGCTCAACCCTGACTGAACCTTGTTTACTGCTGATAGAGTAACTTTTGAACTGTTGAACTGTTAAAAAAATGTGTGTGATTATACTGGCAGTCTAATCTTTTTCAGAAAATCAGGATCTTGGGAACATAAAACATCACTGATAAGAGAACTTTTAACAACAATTAATTAAATTCCCGTTAGTGTGAAATCATGTACCTACGCTGCCAAATATGTGCCTCTAACTAACTATATGAATAAAACTGGATGCATAAGATGTGTCACACACACCTAAGCTGGAAAAGTTTTAGTGGGGGAATCACATCAATTTATGCCATGAAGCAACATTCAGATGGAGGTTATCCACATTGACAGCTCACCATATGCTGTAAGAAATTCTGTCTAGGGACAAAAGCTGATGAGGCTGCTAAGCAAGACCAAGTACAAATCATCACAGACAATAAGAGGCAAACCCTTAAACTGAAGAAAACTGAACCAGCTGTTTGGCATTTTTGCTAGAAAAATTACTCACACAGAATAAATCTTCACATTTTAGAGGCTCCAACCACAGAATAATTGTTACTTTTGTCAGTTTAAACAACTGTAACGATTAATCCATTGTCAAAACTGTTTCAGTTTAATTCACTATTTATCAACTAAACAATAAATCAATTGTTTCAATTCTGATCCACATAAACCCATCACAGAATGAAAGTCAGCAACACTGCATTTAACCTGTGTCATGCAAAACTGCAAAACCTTTTTGTGGAAGTGTATTATTCAAGTACTGTACTTATTTTTACTTATTTTAAAGTTTGCACTGTTGTTTGGACAAAGCAACTGTTGGGCTTATGTGGAATTTTGAGAGCATTTGTCACTTATATATTAACTTTTACAAACTAAAAATAAAATCAACCGATTTATCGAAAAATAATCAGCAGATAAATAAATAATGAAAATAATTATTAGTTACAGTCCTATACAGAATATTTTTTAATTATCTTCACCTCAAACAACAGCAATAAAATGCTGCTTCATCATTAAGGCATGAGTTACAGTAATCTAATGATGTGATATATCATAGTTATAACAGGGCACATTTTCCTTTTTATATTACATATTTTAGTGACATTCTAAAGCAGGACTTTTGGACTGGTGTTATCTACAGGAGGTGCTCATGAAAAACAGGAAATGCATGCAAATGTGCCTTTGCACTTTAAAACCAATATCTTGGAGTTTTTAAAGCATTCAAAACAGTATACTAATAATATATATATTAATAATCATGCTGGATATGGCTAAACTGAGTATTAACAACATGGTAGTCAAACAAAACTTAGCACCGTATGAACTTTAACTCACTTGGCATGGTGTTTTCATCTGCAATTCCCCCACCTTTAAGAGGACCTGTAGGTAAGCATCCACGTTACCATGGGAACCTCACTGGTCCTCACTGACGGTAACTTTTGTTAGCCAAAACCGCTGAAAGTTCATCTGACCTCAAGCAAGATAAGTGTGCTAACTTCTCTTAAAGGAAAGGTCTGTTTGACAATCCACCCTCACTTCCTGCATCATTTCCTCGGAATCGCCTCTGATGAAGTGCTTCGCTCAACAACCACAGCCATTCTTTCTGATTTCAAACAGATACTACGGTACCCTGAAGGTGTTTTGACTGGACAGGTAACTGGGTGGGCAGCTGTGACTATCATTGGGTTTCATGTTAGCAAACGCCAGGCTTTCTGAGAAGACCTCCACCCTGGAAGTCGCTACCTGCTCTAGCGCTGTCAGCGACCTTGTTGATTCATCATTTTAGTCTCAACCGACCCCCGGCTATTAGCGAGGCTAAGGTTAACCACAGTTAACACCAGTCCGTGTTAACGATATGTCACAGATGCTGTGATTTAATATGAGCGTACTGGCTAGCTGTTAGTGATAGCTGGATTGCATCGTCTTCCAATTCCTTGTCGCTCTGGTCTTGTTCCACAGACCAATATTAGACAGCTCTCAAACATGTTAACAGGACAGTTAGAAGCTGACATTAGTCAGCTGCACCCGGTAAAAACGACCAACTAGCCGCGTTAGCGCATATATCAACGCAAGCTAGCAAGCAGGCTAACCAGTGAGAAGCTAACGTCTTTTTCATATTACTCATACTAAACTCTGTCCTTACCTCATAGTTCAGCCTCCATGGTGAAATACTGAATAAAGTAGCTCGCTGTGTGTTTATGTGGCCATATAATGTGGTATATTCTCCTAAAGTGAGCCGTTTTATCACCAAAACCCTTTCCGGTGATTCTCCTGTGGTTCCGAAATCCCGACCGACTGAGGGACAGCTGGAAAATGGGGTAACGCCGCTGACATATCGCGAGATGTCATGGTATCTATAAGGAGTTGATGTGCAATCCCGCGAGATTTTATGAGCTGTTGGCTTGCCTGGATCACAGGGACGCTGTGAGGTAAAAGGATTAGTAGCGCTCCTGCTGGATGCTGTTTACTAGGGGGGAAAATCAGTTTGTTGATAAAATATATCAAAAACCCAAAATATGCAAGCAACAAAGATGTAAGGTGAATAAAATAAAGCTATGAGAGGTGTTTTTTTGTGGAGTTTTCAACCATCATGTAAAAGGAGCACAGTAGATATGGCATATCTGTATGAGAGTGACACATAATTGATTCCACATGAATGATTGATTGAAGTTTTAATAAAGATATATTTTGGTATATTTACATTGAATATTGTATAGGTGCGTGGTACTTTTAAGATGTGGTAATCCATAACATCCAGTAGTAGGCGGTGTTGTGATAATATATTAATACCACCAGCCAAACATGGAAAGATAGACGAAGAAGAAGAAGAACAGGTCAGCTGATTTCAAGCTAGTTAGTGTAGCAGGCAAAATAGCAGGAGAAAATAAATGAATAGAGTTATTGCTAATCAAATTTGATTATCTTGAGATCCTCTGTCTGTCTGTCTGTCTGTATGAATTAACGGTGTAACAGCATGAAAGGTTTATACTGCCGAGCTGCTGGGAGTGATGCTGAGCCCAAGTTCGTTATTCAGGAAACGGTGAGTTTGTGTTTTTATTTCCAGGCTGATTGAACGATACCTGATCAGGAAAAGTCAATAAAGTGAAACCATGGCTGCACCTGCAGTCATGAGTCATCTGCTGCCGAATAGTAGCTACCAGAGCTAAATCTTAATTTGGCACATTGTTAATATTGGTTAGATTTATGCTATTTTTTATAGACTTGAAATTGAAAACCAATCAGTCTCTAATTACTTGTTCATTTTTCCAAATGAATTGCAAACCATGATGTGTTGTAGGTTTATTAGACAGAGAATTGATAGCACTGTTGTGATGAATTGCAAGGCATCCATAATGTATGACTTAAAATCTGTTTTTGTGTCTCTGTCTCTTTATTAAAACCTCTACTTGTGTTATTAAATAGACTGTGTTTGCCTTTTGCCTGTGCAGCTGATGTTAACCCAGACTGACAGCTTGTGTCTTTCTGTTTCTCTCCAGAGCCTCCCAGAGGTGTTAGGCAGCCATCAGGTCCGAGTTCAGGTGAAGGCATGTGGACTCAGCCCGCTGGACCTCAAGGTACTTAAATCACACACAGTTTATGTGGATATAACTTTCTTGACTTTCGTGCCGGTAAAGGTCACTGAATTGAATTGAAATCATTTGGTTAAATACATCAGCTCTTGCCTGACTGTAGCGATCCCTGCTGACTCCTCTCTGCTCGTCTGTCCCGTGCTCCAGTTGCTCGGTGACGTCGGGATCCAGAGAGATTTAATTCCTGTTGGCAGAGAGGTGGCCGGGGTCGTCCAGCAAGGTCGTACACACACACACACACACTTTTACATTTTTGTTACATGATAGTTATATAATAATGATAATAATAATGACTATGATAATGAATTTTAAAGAGGAATACATTTAATTTATAGTGTCCTTGCTGTGTGAGCAATAGTTTCACTGCTGTGTTTGTCTGTTTTTTCCTGCAGTGGGCCCCAAGGTCTCCTTCTTCCAGCCTGAGGACGAGGTTGTAGGTAAAAAAAACATTTCTATATCTGAGGATTAACAAGTTTAACCATAGTGGTTATTAATCATTAATATTGTAACATACGTGTTATTGCCATCTTATTGGTGTCCATATTGTCCGATACCCAGTATACATTACACCCACAGGTGTACTTGAGTGTACAGTACATTCTCACATCTTCTCTTCCCAGGTATTCTTCCCCTGGACTCTCCCTGCTCTGGACTCTGTGATGTCATTGACATAGATGAACACTATTTAGGTAGCATACTGCGCACGCACACACACACACACACACACACACAAATGCAGGTTGTGTAATATGCTTCTGTAGCAATTCTTTCCGACTTCATCTTGATGCCTCAACATTACAAAATCCTACTATACGACAGTCCAGCTCACTCTCTTCTAAAAGGTCAAGGTTCTCAGCTGCTCCACTCTGCCCTAAAAAAACACTTGTGATGCAGCGGTTTTTTAGAAGTGGTTTTTCTTTTTCCACCTTGCATCTGCACCTCATATACTTTAAAAAGAGGAAGCGGTGCTGGGAGTTTGAAAGCAGCAGAAAAGTGTAAAAAGTGCACACATCGCCCCCTCTTTCACAAGTACAGAAAGAAAATGATTTCTCTGTTCTTTTTGATGTTTAAAGAATCATTTGATAAAGTATCAACGCCATCATAAAACATTTAAAACATTTTTATTTCTCACATATCAACCAGCTCTCTCAAAGCTAGAAACTGTGATGTCATGAAAACATAATGAAATCCTATGAAACCGATTCAGTAAATGTATGAGTGTGTGTGTGTTTTCTGTTTTCCAGTTCAGAAGCCAGAGAAGCTCAGCTCAGTGTGTGTTGCGGCAGCGCTGCGCGATGGCCTCTGCGCTTACACTGCTCTACACACTCATGCTCGCATGGCAGCCGGACAGACGGTCCTGGTCCTGGATGGAGCCAGTGTACGTAAAAAAACACAAAACACAGAAGAATCAAACATCTTGGTAACGTCTCATAATGTAAAATGCATCAGTAGACCTTTGCTGTGTCTTCTCCTTCCCGTTTAAACTTTTGAATAAATGCCAAAAAAAAACCAAAAGATTTTCAGATTTTCATACATTTCCTAACAAGCCCATCTCCTCTCCCGCCTCAGTGTTTCGGCCTGATGTGCATCCAGCTGGCCTCTTACCACGGAGCGAAGGTTCTGACGACGTCACATTCGCCACAGAAACACACATTCCTGGAGCAGCTCCGGCCCAGCGTAGGTCCGTGCGGGCCAGTGCTGTGATCTGTAGGAAACTTGTACAGGCTTTTAAAGCTTTGAACCCAAACTCCGCCAAGTGTCTGTGAACGGTTAAAGCTGCACTTTCTACAAAATCACAGCAGTTATATAAGGAACGGAGAACTACTCTTGTCTGATCATTTCATCCTCTTTTACTCCGCTTTCATCTTTAATTCCTTTTCCTTTCTCTCTCTTCACCTTCATATTTTCCTCAGGCGTTCAGGATCCTTTAGTAGGTGAGATCTTTTCTTTCTGTCTTTCTGACTGACTTGCTTCCTTGTTGGGTTTCTAATTCTTATAATAAATCGTTGTTGTTTAACTTGTAATTGTCAGTAAGATGTGTGTCTCTCATCTGTCTGAAGCCAGGATTATTGTAGTCTACAGCAAATCATAACAGTTAATTTTAGTTGTACTATTTGTCTTTTTATTTATTTTATTTTTTAATATTTTGCAGTTTATTTGTTGTTTATATCATGTGTAATTTAATTAATTTGACCAAAAGGAGTAGTTTAAAAGGGAGACAGAGTGGAAAAAAACATTTTATGTCTAAAATCTGCTGCCACCATGTGGAGAACATGAAAAACTGCAACAGTTCAACTTGAATGAGCTTTGGATGAGATGTTTGGTGTAGTTTTATAGTCGGTTTTTCTGTTTTAAATGTGAAGGAAAGTGACTCATGATTTCATGTGGCTGTGTCTGTGTGTTTGAAGCCAGGGTGATTCAAGTCTATAACGGCTCATCAGACCTGCTGCCACTGGTCTTGGAGGAGACAGGAGGACTGGGAGTGGATATAGTCATAGACTCTGGAGGTAAAAACACATATTCACCGTTAACACTGATGCACATGTGTGATTGTAAAAATCACACATGTGCATCTAAATCTGTGTGTGTGTGTGTGTGTGTGTGTGTGTGTGTGTGTAGTTCGTCTGCAGGAAGACAAGGAACCAGAGGAGACGAAACTACTTCCACACAAACATGACATCATCAGTGTGCTGGGAGTCGGGGGGCACTGGGTCACATCCCAACAGGAACTGCAGGTGAGTCAGATATAACAGCTGCAATTTACACCGATTACTTCACAGCGATTAATTAATTCAATATTGATTATTAGAAAACATATTGCATTTTAAATTTATTCACAATTTAACAATATTTGAATGAACAAATGAGCATTTCTGTCAGTTTATCAGGCTAAAATCGAGATTACCCCCAAAAAGCCACACAGGTACGATGACAGATCAGTTATGTGCCAACAACAAGATACAGAAACAGAAAAAAAGGGCTAATCAAACCATTTTGAACAGCAATTTGCAAATTCAGTCGAATTCAAGAATCACACTGTCAGACAAAGCTGAGTTTAGCCTTTTTAGAAAGCATCTTCATTCTCAGTCAGCATATAGTTCTCGTGGCTTTAAAGTGTTCGAGTAGTCGAGTGAATATTAAAAGTGAAAGTAAACCTGCTCCGTCTTTAACAGCGTTTTTTTTATCACCTCTCTGTTTTGTTTTTTTACAGTTGGATCCTCCAGATTGCAGATTATTGCATTTAAAATCAGCCTCTGTGTCGTTCCTCAACCCTGAAGTCTGGACCGCTTCATCAGCTCAGCAAGGGAGATACCTCCGTATCCTTTTCCCACAAGTGTGAAATCTAAAACACATGCAACATGATCGGGCACATACAGTACACGGTCTCCTTTAAGGTCTTTGTGAGTCCTTAACAGCCTTTTACAGATATTCTGAAGGACATTGTGGAGAAGATGTCAGCTGGAGTACTCAGGTAACTTATAAAACACCTCAATCATACTGTGGGGTTGAAAGGTCCGTCACGTTAAAGCCCTGGTGTGTAAGATTTCCTGCAGACTTATGGGTAGATTCATAATACTGAATACCAATTCAGCTTCCCCAGTGACATTTAACAGGATGAGCAGTTCATAAAGTGGATGGATATGTAAATTAAATTAGATCGAAGCTGGATCTTCATACAATTTTAATATATAAAGTTATCTGAATCTTATTATCCAGACAGGGGAATGTCACATGACATGATTTCTGGTCATTTTAGAAGTCGCCTGGTGCAGCTTTAAATATATTGGAGGTATGAAACTGAACAGAGCTCACAGTTGAGTTTACAGTTTTAAGACCGCTGTAAACGTGTCACTGCAGACATTTTTTCTTGACACCGTCATGTGACCTTCAGCCAAAACTGCCAGAGCAATAAAAGGATTGACAGCCCACTTTTTTCTCAAGATGCACTCGCTACAATCCGACCTAATCAAATCCAATCTGTCTGTCTGGTTCCAATCTGCCTCTCCAGGCCTCAGCCCGAGGAGGCGGTCCCTCTCTATGAAGCGACGGTTGCCATGGAGACCGTGCAGCGTCACCAAAAGAAAAAAGCCGTTGTTCAACTCTGACCAAAAATAATCACATTCTGCTGCGACGTGAGACAAACACGGCCCACGGTTCAACAGGATCAGGGCTTAAACTGTTTAATGCAGCCAGTGAACATGTACAAACAGTTGTTGTTTTCACTCGTTAAATTGTTTATCACAACATGCGTCATGTGGGAGACGGGGAGATAGACCTGATGCATTTCCATTAATTGGGCTAATACTGAGAAACAGACACATTAACACCTATAATCAGCGTCTCTGAACCTTTTTTTTTTACTTTAAACCACAGGAAGAAACCGTTCTAACCGCGGAGTCAGTGGGTTTCCTTCAAATACACACTCAGCCTCTGGATCTGTGTGACTTCACGTGAGACTACAACCCCACACCAAAGCCTCTGTGGTCGCTTTAGATATCTTAAAGAATCCATGCACCTCCGTTTGACTCAATAAATACTGATTTTATTTTTTTTAAAAAGACAACAGTTCTGGTGATTTAATGAAAGAGTTGATTTTGATGTAAATAAAAAGTTTTGTGTGAAGAACTTTGTAATTACTTGAAAAAAATCCTCTTGAGTGGAAGTGATAAGAGAATTTTTGTTTTTTTTTAATTACTGTGCCATTTAATCAGAAAAGAAATAAAACAACACGAGAGCTGGAAGTGCCTCTTTCTGACAGATCTGCCGCTGTGTTTTCTTCTTACATGAGTCCAGAAGGCTGCAGGAGTCATTTCAGTGCTCTGTATCAAATGATGGTGGTGACGAGACCTTCATCGTCTTACTTAGTGTCATCATAACAGGGCAGATGCTCTTGCAACATACCTGGAATCAAACCTGGTTCCAGGACGTCGGGCAGTTCTGCTGCCGTGGTCAGACCTAATGGTCGACAAGCAGAACAAGAACATGGAGGCTGTCCAGCGTCACCAGTTCGGCCAATAACCTCGCTTCTTGTTGCGACTGGCAGAGACCAGAGCGCCAATCGGATGTCAGCTCACAGTATCGACACCAGGTTGGCATGACAACGGTTCGTCTGGTTGTCTCATCATGCCTTGCAGCACCTCAAGACAGCGCCCCAGGATGCACCTCTCCTCCCGTCGCAGTGACCTGACCACGCCTAGCTGCTCCCTGACTGACTGGTCACACCGCTGCATGAGGTCCGCGATCTAAACACACACACACACACACAGCATGTAGAAAAACAGGTTGTGCTGCATCACTGGAAAATAGTTAAGAGTGTGTGTGTACACACACCTTGTCCAGAGCTGTGTGTGTGTCTTGCAGCAGTCGCTGACAGAGAGTCTGTGCTGTGTGGACGCTCCACTCCTCCCTCTCCTCACACACCGCCTGGCCAAGCAACACTGCCTTCCACTGGTGACTGTGGAAATATACACACACACATGCTGACAGCAGAACGAGCAACTGGACCTTATCTTTTATGTTGTGCAATTCTGCGTGTGTGTGTGTGTGTGAAGACTTACTACAGTGTTTGTGGCATGGACAACAGTCTGAGAGCCGTCATCAGCCTCCAGCTGGGGCCGTCGCTGGATACGGTGAGGTTTCTGACAGCGAGGAAGAGCGTCACATTTCAGATTTATTTTTAAATTTTATTTCAACTCTGAGGGTTATTCAGCCAACGGATGAAAAAGGACAGTGACTTAGTTTACAGCCTTTGAGTAAAGACATTTAACATGAGAGAAAACATGTTTCAAAAATGGAAACCTGTCCAACACGACACGACACGACACGACACGACACGAACCAATAGAACAATGACATGGGAAAAGGACTCACTGAAGGAGGCTGTTCTCCTTGAGGAACTTGATCTTCCGGTTCAAACTCACGTCGCCTCTTAAAACATCACAAAGAAGATCTGAGGGTTCGGGGTCAAACGTACAGGTACAAAGTTAAACATGTAAAAATGACTGTGTCACCTGAATCTTTTGGAAAACACAACAAGGTAGTGTGTGTTGTATTCAACTGGTGTCAGCAATATCTTATACAGTGTGAAAAAACCACTAGAATATCAACAACCTATGTCTACATAGACAACACTGTGGGGGTTGCCGGGGGCGACAAAGCCGTACTCCAACAACAGCCGCTGGTTATCGTGGGAACCGTAGTTTATGAAGGCCTGCTGGAAGCGCGCTGTCCCAGAAACGCTCCTGATTTCATAACATCTCGTCACGTCGTTGAAACTCGCTTTTACCTGAGAAAAACGTATTTTATGATATTTGTGAAAAGTCGAGGAACGTCACAGATTCTGTATATGAAGAGAAACACACCCTCAATAATTTAGACAGATACACGACATCTTGTGTACAGGTAAGTGTAATGTTTACCTGCACGTCGGGCTGGTGGTTGAGCAGGTCCAGGAAAGGAGCTAAAGCATAAACATCCTGTCCGGACAGGAAGTTGTTGGATGGGTGGGACATGAAGACAGAGCGTGTGTTGACACTACACCATGCCCACCTGGAGGAAGATGAGTGGGGGGGGTAACAGCTTAATAACCTGACAGGTGAACAGTCCAACAGATTTTAGTCTTGAAACATTTTCATCTCAGAAACTGTTCATTCAGAGATCTATCGTTACTAAACGTTAACGACAGATACTAAAATAAATAAAGCACAGCTCTTTGCTTTAGACTGGCGTGTGTGTGTGTGTGTGTGTGTGTGTGTGTGTGTATGCACTTGTGAATACCTCAAGGCTTCATACGTCAACACCTCCTCCACAGGCTGATTCAGGATTGGCTGCAGGGATCTGGATCAAAAATAAAGCTTGGTATGTTTTTTGACGTTGTTCTAATAAGGACGACTGCACTCTTCTGCAGAATTACATGTTTTATATGTGTACAGACACGTTGCTGTATGTGTTGCAAGGATTTGATGGTAGTATGACGTCGCCTTGACACCTATAAAACCACAACACCATATTAAATAAAATGCAAAATACAGTTTCAAAGAGGTTAGAAGAGTCATCTAAATACCAAAGACACTACTAATCAAACACTGTTTTGATTTAATTTGGATTCTTGTCTCAACACGCTCGCACACATAACCTGAACGACCTGCTTCAGTGACCTGTGCGCCGGACTCACCTGAAAAAGTCCTGATTGGAGGAATGGATTTCTCGTACCGCCTCCCTCTGCTCCAAGGCCCGCCTCCGCACACAGGCGGGCAGAGCGGTCACGACGTCGTCGGTGAAATAGGCGGGGCAGGTGTAAGTGGTGGGCAGCACGTCGATGTAGGGGAGCCAATCAGACGCCTCCCCTTGGTGCCGCTCACACACCAGGAAGACGCAGAGCGCCAACAGGGGAGAGAGGCGGCGTTTCCAGCTGCGGAGGGAAAAATTGTGTCAGTTTGGTTCATTCTTGTTCTGGCTCCTCCACCCTCAGCCTCTCCACTCCACCTCCACCTCTACCTCCACCTCCACCTCCACCTCCACCTGTGCTTTCGTGTGTAGAGCAGCAGGAAGTACAAGTGAACTATAAAACAGCAAGTCTGAAAAGGTGCTGACTGACAAATGAAATCCCACAGGACAAAGAATGAAGGATCTGATTGTACAGTTATTACTGGGCCACTGAAAAGATCATATTTGCATCTCAGTATTTTATATTGTTTTTACTCAGGTGTGTTTCTGTGTTTACCTCTTGATGTACTGTCCCAGGTAGCTGTCCAGAACAGTTGAGGTTGTGAGGAGACAGGACTCTGGTAGAGAAATGAGCAGCTGGCCAGGCTGACAGAAGAACAGAGTCAGACAAAGAGATTTAAACACTCTACTATCGCACGACGACAGAACCGCTGACACATTTCTACTCTGCTGATGCACAACACTTCATCCACAGATCAATATCTGTACGAAGCGTCAAACATCGAAGCTCTCAACAAAACTCATCAACCCAAAAGTCAAAAGTCATTTAGATCTCAAGCAGTTAAGCTTGAATGATATTTACTTTATAAATAACTTGGTAAATCAACTCATTAAACATATAAACAGTGTCCATGAGTGTAATTATTGCTGATTTAATACATGACTCTTTCTTTAAAATCAAAAGTAAAAACAGCAAAAACAAAATGAATATACAAATTTATGAATGTATAACTTACAACAGACTAAGTGATAAATTAAGCTTGAAAATTGAGATTCTTCAAAGAAGATTTTGCCTAAAGTTCATTTCTATAAAAGCACATGTAGGTGCAAAATATGTCCCGGTAAAATATAAAAACAAAAAAAGCATAAATATTGTTGTTGGTTGCTTGGTTCTTTATGACATTCATTACAGTTTATGTAAGTAACCTGCATTACCTACAGAATGTAGCAACCTATTTAATCAATACACATCAGTCTGTATCAGCTGTCTTACCTTTATAGCTCTGAGAGTCTGCAGTCCTCTGCCTGTGTCTGCATGGAGAAGGGGAGGACATATACACACACACACACACACACACACACACACACACACACACACACCCACACACACACACACACACACACACTCTGAAACTTTAACAGAGTTTTTGCGGTTATTAATCAAGTTCGACTGAAAACATTTTAAGACATCTTTAACACAGCACGGAATAAATTCAATACCATTTTCAGCTGCATATAACAATAATTCCCAGCAATATAATTAATCAATTAGTATAACCTGCAGCCATACATGGATTACTGTGCAGGACTGCAGGGCACAGTGTATGAAGTGACTGTTAATACTTTAAGTTAAAAGACTACAAAGATAAAATTATCCTAAAGAGATGCAAAAAAGCTACAAAGAGACGCAAAATGACTACGAATGAGACGGCCGCGTCTCTTTCAGTCTGGAAGACCTATGTAGGAAGGGTGGGGTGGGGTGGGGGGTTAACTCGCCTATGTCCAGGGGCCCATTGTCTCATACTCCTTCCAGGCCTGGACACACATAAGCACCATTTAAGACTTTAATACCTTCTAATGCCTTTTTTTTTTAAAAATGGAAGTGGATTCAGTGTTTTTTAAAGACGTGTGACGACCCGCAGACATCCCGTTTACGTTCTACAACAACTAACCAACAACTAACATCTAACGAGTAAACAAACCTACTGAGGTTTTATGTACAGGACATAAACGTATATAGGACCAACTAGGACACCAGAGCCGTACCGGTGAAGAGGGCTGGCTGCAGCAGTGTCGAGGTGAATCCTCGCTGGTGAAGAAACTTCATCAGCTTCACATACTGCAGCTGGTGACACAGAGAGACTGAAGAAACAGACAGAGACAGACTGGTGATGAAAGAGACCAGCATGGACAGCATGGAAGGGAGTGAAACACAAGTAACATTACAGCAGTAAACTTGTTTATACCCGACTGGACAGTGCTTTCACTTTTCTGCCTCCTCTTCCTCGCAGCTCGTCCAGCCCGACGGCCGCCACCCCTCATGACCCAACCTGAGCCCGTGGACCCCTGTGGTGGTCAAACACAGATACACACAATAAACACACCTTAAAAAAGTCGACCAAACCAACTCTACAACTTTCGGAAGCTATAAAGCTCAAACTAATATCCCCACTTATCTTCAGATCACTATCAGCAAACTGTAATAAATGATCCAAACTGTTGCACATGCCTCAATTACTGTTGACTTTTTTTGTTTCTATTTCTAGGTTTATGAAGTAAAACATACATAAAACTATAATTTAAAGTAGGAAAAGAACACAGTTTCTTATGGCTAAAAGACGCCAAACGGCTGCAGTGTGGTATCCACAAGCCTGACATAGGACATACAGCACCTGGCCTAAACTGAATGTCCTCTACAGGACAGGAAGCATCTCTAGAGTAGATTTTGAAACACTGGGTCACATGACATGGAAGCTGTTACAAAAATATTTGTATTGAAAGTGATCAATAAATAAAGTTTCAATTGTGGTTGAAGGGGTGAGCACTCTGCAGGATATGTAGCCACACCTAATGATAACATTTCCCTTAAAATATTCCTTATACATAGACAAAATACTAATTTACCATGAACCATGTATTGATTAAAAAATGATCCGCGGGGGCAGGTGAGGTCCTGGGCTGGGGACAGCGATCACCAGACACCGGTCGGTTGCTTCGAGGTCTTTTTTTTTTTTTTTTTAAAGTGAATATCTAAAGTAACTTCAAACTAATTCCACTGCGAATCACCCCAAACCTTCACTGGTGCAGTAACCAAACCCTGACTCCCCTGCATACATCACACCCATCATGCACCGCGCCGAGAGCAAAAGTCTATCAATCAGCCTAGATACTGTGGATGCAATACAATGAAAATCCAAGTACAATACCTATAAAATGTTCATGTTAAATCTTCATCCTGCACTGCGGCACCATGAGTGCTTCTTAAACCCACGTGGTCAGTGTGTTTTGTTTCCGGGTATGCGCAGTGACAATGCGCGAAACTCCCTCCGGCCATCCTCTCTCTTTCTTTCCCGTCGTTGTCTCACAGCGCTTCACTCCTCTCTGCAGCTCCACCACCGCAGCTTCACCCAGCACCACGACACCAGATCACAGTAAGAAGCGTCCGCCTCACTTCAGAGTTAGTTAGCTAGTTAGTAAGCTACTACAAATATAGTAAATAAAATATAAATATATATCGCTGGAAAACGCTGGAAAACGCTCGGATCAGCCAGTCAGCGTTATGCAACTGAAATCAGGCGAAAGGTCCTCTCTTAAAGCTGACAATGCGTCATGAAACAGGCGACTCTTGATATTTCCTTTTGTCTTCAAATGCAACGAAAGTAACGTTTACTTTCACACCCCTATTTGCAGTAATAATCCTGTATAAATCCTTGCACCACCGGTTCTCATGGAAGTTTGCATCAGGACCCAGGGTCATATAACAGTTGCCCCAGTGTTGATAGTATGACTGTGCACTTTTTTACTTTTTAAAGTAATTTGTTTATAATTAATTGTCATTTTCAGGTTGAAATCATGGATATTTTGTTGGTTCTAGACCCACCTTGGACAACTTTTAATTCTGTTTTGACATAAAATGTATAAACTGAGACATTTAGCTTCCACTTTTAATACCTAAATTAAAGCCACAGTTGCTTTATTCCAGTTTTCTCAGATTATTACACAGTTATATTTGGATTTCTCACTGTTTTCTCCCTGCAACTGTCACCATGACTCAGCAAATCTTATCTCTTTTTCAATCAGCTCTCCTCCATGTCTGATAACTGAGTCAGAGTTTATTTGGACAGAGTTGAGGAAGTCTCTTGGCTGATAACTGTGTGTGCGTGTGTGTGTGTGTGTGTGTGTGTGTGTGTGTGTGTGTATATGTGTATATGTGTATATCTACTTTTGTGAGAGTGCATTTTTCTCCTGTGTTTAATATGTGAGTTAATACACTGACGTCTCTCTATTTGGACAGACATGGCCACCAAGGTTGCCGTGGTAACGGGCAGTAACAAGGGCATCGGACTGGCCATCGTCCGGGCGCTCTGCAAGCAGTTCCAAGGAGACATTTACCTCACCGCCAGAGACGTGTAGGTATCTCACCTGGAAACACCTGGGCCAGGATGATGTGTAGGTCACGTGCATAATATCTTAGCTCTGTTTTTCTTTTTGACGTGACTTTTTCGTTGTCGCTGCAGCGGCCGTGGTCAGGAGGCCGTGCAGTCTCTGGCCTCAGAGGGACTGAAGCCCATGTTTCACCAGCTGGACATCAACGACCTGAACAGCATCACCACCGCCGCTGCTTACTTCAAGGACAAGTACGGAGGAGTGGACGTCCTCGTCAACAATGCCGGGATCGCATTCAAAAGTAGGTGTGATATATGGATATAATGTACGTTATAATACACTGGAGTCATACGTGCAAAAATGCTACATACAGATACGAGATTAGCACCAGCAGCATCAACCTTTAGTCTTATACCAGTAATAGCATTCAAAACATACAGTATCTCAATGTCAGCCATAATTACAATTAGTATTAGTAGGAGTATTAGTATTATTATTAGTTGGGTTGCACAATTATGGCTATAATGACAATCACCTGCATCTATATTTAAATCTATATAAACTGAATATATATTATCATTATGTAAGACCTAATCTGAAATTTACATTTATTTCAATCACAATTTCCTTTATTCATACGGAATCTATTGTTCTTTTATTGAGCTAAAACTAAAAACATGCTCAGTAGTAACAATACGAAAATGCCACCAAACCATTAAACTAAATATCAGGAATTTAGCTCTACTTGATAACTTTGATTATTTGCCTGAATAATGAAACAGCTTTGAAGGGAAAGAGTAATCACAGGGTAAAAAACCAATGAACGCGTTTGTTCAAACTCTGAAAAAGCAGCACTTGACTTGATGCAATTCAGTCGGCACTCTAAATGCAAAGCAATCAATCAGCGCTGCATCCAAGCACTGCAGTTAATTATATATCTTGTATTTGAGTTTTAGAATATGTTTGAACCAGGGGGCTTTAATTTGTGCCCAGGAAGTGACAATTACATCATGTTAATGCTCTCTCTCGCTCTCCCCAGTGGCAGACGACGCTCCTTTTGCCGTCCAGGCGGAGGTGACGCTCAAGACGAACTTCTTCGCCACCAGAGACATGTTGACTCACTTCCTGCCGCTCATCAAAGCAGGAGGTAAAGACGCAGACCTGGACCAAGCCTGACTTTCTTTGACTGAGAATATGAAGTGTAAACAGAAATACAGATTTTGCAGATGTTTGTAATAACGTTTGTGTTTTTTTAAGGTCGCGTGGTGAACGTCTCCAGCTTCGTCGGCTCCCGTACTTTAAACCAGTGCAGCCCGGCCCTGCAGCAGCGTTTCCGTAGCGAGGACATCTCCGAGGACGAGCTGGTGGGACTGATGCAGCAATTCGTCGACAAGACCAAGAAGGGCGAGCACAAGGAGGGCGGCTGGCCTGAGACGGCGTACGGAGTGTCCAAGACTGGACTGACGGTACGATCGATCAGTCTGTCTGCAGAGTTTTGATCAGTTGTCTCACCTGCTGAGGCTTTAAAATAGATTCATATCGACCTCTAGAGTCACTGGTCTGAACCACGGCGCCAAAGATTTGAGAGACTGATTGAAAGAAGACATTGATTACACACATATATGTGTCTCTGTGTGTGTGTGTTTCAGACGCTGTCTATGATCCAGGCTCGACGTTTGTCCAAGGAGCGACCGAATGACGGGGTAAACACTGAAATACAACGACTTTAAATCAAACAACAAACAGAAACCAACCACTAAAAAGTCGTATAAATAATGTTAATGGGACTTTATATGCTTTCATATGTTTTTATGATTTAACGTGTGCAATGAATCACTTTTGTGGCTCTGTGTCACTGCTGACATAAATGTTCATCATGTGGATTGTTATTATTATTATTTATTTTTTTTTTACAGATCTTGCTGAATGCCTGCTGCCCAGGATGGGTGCGCACCGACATGGCTGGTCCCAAAGCACCCAAGTCACCAGACGAGGGCGCTGTCACCCCGGTTTACCTGGCCCTGCTGCCGCCCGGAGCCACAGAGCCTCACGGAAAGTTTGTCTCTGAAAAAGAGGTTCAGCCGTGGTGAAAGGGTTAAAGCTGTGTGTGTGTGTGTGTGTGTGTGTGTGTGTGTGTGTGTGTGAGTAAATGAAATAGTGCCAGTGTTTGTACCAAAACAGTAATTTGCCAAAAACTCAGAATAGATTCAATCTTTCCAAAAAGAATCATATTCACCATTAAAAAAATATACGACAAGCATAACATGATCTGGAATCTGCGTGTGTGCGTGTGTGTGTGTGTGTGTGTGCGTGCGTGTGTGGATGTGTGTGTGCGTGTGTGTGTGTGTGTGTGTGACTGATGGGTTACTTACAACAGTAACCATGCAGTGCTGGCTAATCACTGGTGTTGATGAATCTCAATTTTTGCTTTTGTTTCACTTTGCCTTCAGTTTTATAAACATTTAAATATTTTTTACAAGGAAAGAAGAAACTTTGTCTTAAATGGATGAAAATTAAATGTTCTGAAGTCAAAGAATATAAAATGCTTTTCTTGCAAAAATGCTTTTCAGTGCTTTTTCATTGAGATATTTCATTGCCAATAAAGAAACTTACCAACAAATGAACTTTAAAATCCAGAATACTACTTTTTTAGACAAATAATATATACAACATATAACATACGTTCTGCACCCTTCATGTATTAGCTATGCTGATATAACAGGTTGTACCTGCGCACATATGCACACATCATCAAACAAACACTCGTGGTGTCCTTTTAGATTTTATATTACTGACATTGTTACATTGAAAGAGAAAAACACAAAATGATCAGGTGTGTTCAGTTTCCACAGGTACAATATAAAGGTCAAGTCACATGTAGGTTTCATTTAACCATATAACTCCACCTAGTAATTCTACTTTATAGACACATTTATGGACATTATTTATGAGCCACATGTGGGTGTGGGATGTTTAGCTGTAGAGCTGGAGAAGCACAAAAAAACCCCAGATTCATCCGATCTGAGATCAGCTGTCATGTTGTTATAGGCCCAGTCTCTCTCGACGTTATGGTCTAACGGTTGTCTCTTTTATTTTAAGTAGCTAATTCTTTTTTTTTTTGTCTGAAATCTGCCAAATTGCCAATTTTTTAAAATATTTTTTAGCTTTAGAAGATCCAACAAGTGTCTAATCTAAAAGACGGTAAACTCCTGTAGCCCAAAGACGTGACGCTGGTGTCCTCAGCTGCAGCTGTGGTCCTGCTTTTATTATTGTTATGTCTTTGCAGGCTCAAATTGTTAGAGGAGGGAAAACAAAAGGCCATTTTTACCAATATCATTTATTTCACTGTAGCCAAATGTAATTTTGACTTTGCCCTGAAGTGTTTTGTATCTTTATTCATCTCCAAAATGTGTTAGATACATAAGCCTGGGTTTTTATATCTTTCTCCACCACACCGAATGAAATCCAAACGCCCAGAGGCCTTGTTAATGCCAAGTGCAAAGAAGGTCAGGGAAGGAAATCTCTTTCATATTGTTTTTGAGTGATAAGAGCATGATTTGTACAAAAATGTTCCCAGATTTTTCTGCTTTATCTCTCGTGCTTCCCTCTTTGTCCGTTTTAATTCTCGAGTCAATAACAGAGTATAGACTGTGTAGAGCTTATATATTCTGTGTGTGTGTGACGGTGGGAGTTGTAGTCCTGTCAGACGGGAGTAAAGCCCCGATTACCTTGTAGATAATACAAATCCACACGGCGAGAGAGAGACGGAGAGAGAGAGAGAGAGAGAGATGATAATCCTCTAATCCCTGCTGCCTGCCAAGGGAAACCCCATCACACGCTTGCTTTGATAATCACAGTGACCATGGTTATCATTGGCTGTAATTGCCGCATGAGCATTATAATTACTTTATTGATCCTGTGGTGGGGAATTCCCCCGGAGCTGAAACCCAACAAGTGATGCAATATACACAGTGATCGATACCAACGCTGTCCACATGTAGCACATAATAAGATCTGAGGGGAACCGCTTTTACTGATGACTGGTTCTAATTGATCTGAACTTCAGCAGCCACTAGGTATTTAGCATAATTGACATTTTGTGTGATGTTAAATAGGTTTAAATTTCTCCATTTTTAAGACAAAATGGAAATGGACAAATGCTCATGGGATTTATAAGTTATTGGGTGTTTTTAATTTAACAGTCTTTTCAAAGAATAACTAATAATCTTGACCAGATCACCTTTCCCTATCGTTTTGTATTTAACCTTATTTTATTCTTTCTATTCTTTCCACTCCCTCATAATAATTTCATTCACTCTATTTGAGTTGTACCCCCTTTGCTCCAGCTGGGTTTTTCTGCCCCCCCCCCCTGCAGGGAGCTCAGCATGAAGGACGAGTCTGCAGAAAAACTCACCTTAATGAATATAGAGAAAATAAAAATCTAAAAGTTCTAAGTGCATTTACTTGCTGCAGTTCTGACTGTGAGTGTGAAACACGTTCAGGCCGGTAAAAGTGAAGTCAACTTCAAAGTCGCACCACGCAGACTAAATTAATCCAGCAATCATGCTCAGAGTCAGCCTTCATCTTCTGATGGACGTGCTAATGAAGCTGATGTTCTCCATCTGAACTCCATATGTACGCTAATTATTCTCCGTGTTAGGACTTGATTCATGAGCAGGTTAGAAACTCTGTCATATCGGCTGGAAGCAACACCCACTGGCTGATATTTGACATATAAATCTAATTAAAACACATCGTATAAAACCTGGGTTTACTATCGAACTTCTCAAACAAGCTGATGTGACCCGATGACTGTTTCTGATCACCTGATGTGGCTGAAAATACCAATCCTCCCGTGTTGCTTTAACATTTTTTGACTCAGTTGGGTACCACTGTCTGATAAATCACCCTTTAATTAATGGCTTTGCTTTATCGAGCATTTACAAGCCAATAAAAAAAGAATAACTTGGGTTTCCAGGTCGTGGAAAATCCTCCTCCAGCATCACATTTTTCTTTTTCTGGGTGTGGCAACAATACGCTTCAGTACAAAATGAATGGATTAATGTAAAAGAATCTTTTATTGATGATTTATTAGTCTTTACTTTCCGTTAAGTTATAACTGTTAGTAAGTCATTAATAAAAACACCATGAGTTTCTCGCCTCTAAACCCCGAGTATACGGAGACTTATCAGAGAGTGGTACTCCACGAAGACATGAACTCGTCATGACTCCGGTTCAGTGGCTGCAGAATAATCACAATAGTTGCTGTGACTTTTCTAATAATCCTTTCGCAGCCTGCTGTTGTCCTCTTTTGATCAGTTCTCCAGGCTGCATCTGAGGACGCAGCCACAGCCACTAATCCCAAAAATCACAAGAATCTTGTCACAAACATTAAGACTTAAGCTTCTTAACACTTTCCGAACTTTTCTTTGCATTCATCCTTTTGTTCCTCGCAGACTGGGTTATTTGGCCCAGGGTAAATCCACCTAAACTCTAATTATATTGTTATATTTAGAGAAGAGACTGAGGGAGTTTGCTAACCTTCTTTACCTGTCAAGAAATTATTCAGACTGAGATTTGTGCTTTGTCTCAGTGTGTGGTGTCAGACTGATGAAAATTATGTAAGTGTTAGACCATAAAGACAAGAAAGCAAAAAGTAATTGTTGAATTTTAAAATTTTAATTGATGTCTTATGATTTCTTCTGACAGGACGTCGCGACTGCAGCTTTCATCCTCCAGTAAATAACGGTTTGTCAAACATCTATCCTGACCTTTAACCTCTCCTGTGTCTTTATAACATTGGATATACAGCTGTTGTCGGCATCAGCTGGTGCAACTGAGGACGCTATAATCCAACAGAGATGGAGAAAAGTCAAACTTTCTCGCCTTCTCACCTGTAGCAGATGTAATTAGTGAGATTTAAAGGTGCTGGGAGTTGGATTTTGTTACCTTTTGGCAGCCAAAAGCTTAGCAGTCTTTGTAGTAAGCTCAGCTAACTTGCTGCTGGCTCAAGGACGGGAGCTTGACATCAACCTTCTCATAAAACCGACAAGCATATCTCCCAAAATGTTGAATTATTCCTGAAACGGGTTGACACCTCAGAGAGCGTAGGTCCAGTAGATGGTCAGAGTGCTCAAGATTCACTGTCTTCCGTATCTTCCTGTCTTTCAGATGGTTAATTTGGCTGCTCAGGTGAGGCCCTTTCACTCTGCTCTGCCCGCTCGCCTTTTGTTCAGAGTGACACTTAATTGCCACAGAGCCTCTACAACCCATTTTAAATTGGCACAGCTTTACATTCTAGTCGTATTCTGCGGTTTCTGGTGGTTATACACCCCATCAAACAGCAAATCTGGTCTCACATTCGTTGCTTCAACCTCTGGTGGTTAGGCTAAGTAAGTCCCCGGCCTGGGCCAATGTGAATACTCCACATCTGAGCTGTATTCAGCGGGCCGCAGGAAACTGGCAGTTTCTCTCCTCCACGGACAGCAGAGAAATGTATGGAAGAGAGAGGGTTCTGCTGTTTAGTTTAGTTTAAGGAGAATAAATTCATTACATCAGAAAAAAAATTAAGGACAGTACAATTTTTTTAATCCAACTGGACTCAGAGTGACTACAGATCTACGTACGCCTCACTTGTTTTTTAAAACAAAAAAAAATAAAATTAAAATGCACACCAAACGATCTGAAAACAAAAGTAAACTCCCAATGTTCAACGTGCTCTAAGTGTATCAGAATGACGATACTGTCGTGGCTTCCTATCCAAGACTTTTGAACTGTTTGAACCTAAGATTAGGATCACTGTATGTAACCTCAACTACATTTTTTATTTTTTGACCGTTTACACATACTTTGTAAAATATTTTGTCTGTGCTTGTAAGTGAAATACTTTGTTACTCTGTCCTCAATGTTCGACGTAAGACGTGAAAATTTAAGCCAGTTTGCAATTTTTGCAAGCTTAGCAGCCGCCAGGTGCATCTTTAATAGCCTGCATCACTTTGGGCATGTGGATGAATGGTTTCATACTGTAGCTTTGTGTTGTTGCAGTTCATCCTGTTCACCACTGGGTGTCAGTAATGCACCACATCACATTACAGCTCTTTGCAGATGCTGCTCAGGAAAGATTCCTGCTCACAGAATTTTAAAACCTCTCCCTTCTGCCTTTGGTGTCTCAGCATGATCGTCCTGTCTGTCTCCCTGTTAGCTGAAGTCAAATGTTGATTAAATAAAATAAATACACATTATGCAGCCAGTGATTGTAAGAAACATCCACTGGTGTGTGTTTTCTTCAATGGCCTTTTTGGGGATGTGACACCTGGACCAGGATAAAAATGTAAAAGTTGGAGTCATTTTAGGTCAGTGGCCATTTAAAGGTGTAAAGGGACGTTGGTTCATGTTTGAATTTAGCTCATGTTAGGTTGAGGCTAAGGGTTAGTGATTGAATGTCAGATTAAATGTCATTTTTATATGTCAGGAGAGAAATCCAAGTCCATGCAATGCATGACAACAAAAAAAGGAAATATCTTGCTTTTGTGCCTTTTCGTGCCTCCTCCTCTCTAACTAATGTGCACATTCAGTCAGTTTTTATTTTTTTATTTTTGTCTGTTCTCTTGCAGGGACATAAACA